CAACAAGTACACACAGACAAACCTATTCAGACAAGTCAACCTACTGGATGACAGGGGGGAGACGCAAAAACGTCAAAATCCATTAGACCTTTGCCCTCTGAGCGCAGATAGGCTTTCCTACAGCTCCCAACCACCTAGACACACTCGACACAGACACTAAACCACCCCGCGACTACACACATCCATCTTCACTACCATAATTAGCTCAAAACTCACTTCCACTATAGTCGGTAGCCATGCAGTTTCCGAAGGGAGGCAACACAGAAACAAGCCAGGACCAAACAAGGAGCCCTTGGAGGGAAAACCACAACACATCACATGCCTAACACGGCTCAAGTCCTGGACTCCACAAGGAGCATCTTATTAAAATAGATTCAAGCGGCCAGACCGGGGTTTGACCCCCATAACTAGAAGCATAGCGGATACCACATGCCTCACACACTAGCTGGCTCCAAGATAACTGCGCTGTCACACAGTCAGGAGTATACACAAAGAGACTGTTTCACTAATTAAGGCCCCCGTTACAACATACCAGTCCAATATAATTTAAAATGTATGCGAACTGTACCTCAGTGTATTCAATGTGAAATGTTTCAGTAAGTCATGTACATACGGTTGCGGTATTACAAATATGACTGTCTTTTCATCGCATGAAAAATAAAGAATAAAAAAAAAAAGACAATCTATTTTTGTTGATAGGCTCTAGACCAGGTTCCCCCAAACTCCGGCCGTCCAGATCTTGCTGAATTACAACTCACATGATTCTATGAATGAAATAGATAGGCTGAGAATGATGGGAGTTGTAGTTCAGCAACATCTGGAGGGCCAGAGTTTGGGGAAACCTGGTCTACACTTTGTCACATTGCTGCGATTCTGTTCCAGAAGCTGGTCTAGCTATAGTACATTTTCATGTTCTTTCATGGAACATAACCAGATCAAATGGAGAGTGTTTATATCCTATTTCCATTACTGAGTGCCAGACTTTCCCACTTTTCTGTTAAGAAATCTGCTCTAGGTGACACAACTGCTCTTGTGATTTTTATGTAGCTCTCTTACATTTTATGTTCACACAGGGACTAGTATGAGCTAGACAGTCATTTAGAAATAATGTTCTGCGGGGAAAATCTTAAAAATGTACAGGCAAAAAGACAACTTGCAATATATGTGCATATTTATCATATTTTCTTTCCCCCAAAAATATCTTTAACATAAATCTTATTTCTTAATTTACAGGCCATCAAAGATCTTTTGAAGGCAAATGGTTGTGAAAGGGTTACATCAAGAGAGTAGTAAAGCAAGGAACCCGCTGTAAATACTGAATAAAGTTTGCAGCACATGGGCAAAGATTAGAAAATAACAGATTCACTGTATATTTAAACAGTTTTCAATTCACTTTAAATCATGCTTTTATTAAATGCGCACCCAGGTGCCTATTTTCATTACCAGTTCCTGAAATGTCCAGATGTCACGTTTTGTATATATTGCAAAAACGGAAAAGGAACCACACTCAATTCACTTAAGACAGGGTGCTTAGCTGAACCAAAGGCCAGCAAAAGCCCAGAAGATAAAAAAGAAAAAAAAAAATACCAGTATTAGAAAAAAAGTCTAGTCGAAACATCGTAGTGTTCCAGATGTTCTAATAGAGGTGTCTGTACAGGCGTACATACCGCGGTCGAAGGGGTCGCAGCTCGGCTGGGCCCGACCACCCTTTGATCCGGATTTGTTAACACAGTAAAGGAGTTTAAGCATTCGTGGGATAGGCATAAGGCTATCCTAACTATAAGTTAAGGCTAAGGACTAAAGAAAGTATTTAGAAAATTGGGCAGACTAGATGGGCCGAATGGCTCTTATCTGCCGTCACATTCTATGTTTCAATTGAAATAGCTCAACACAACAAATGCTTCAAGTGGTTTCCCCAAATTCAACTGAAAAAACAACTTCTAATGACCTCTCCAGTCTCAAAATTATTCAGCCACATGAATAAAATCTCTCTCATCACAAATATGCAAAACAGAGTTGTCTCAAGCATACCTGATGCAACTAATCAAAGTCTCCATTAGTTCACAAAGTTAAGAGAAAAGATCATTGCCCTTCACAAACTACACTGGACAAACATATAAACACAACACGGCCGCATTTTGCCAGCCTCTTCACCTGGGGGGCCAAGTAGCTGGCCACTTCAGGCTGGTAGTGGCATCAGTGACGCACCGCAGTGATGCCGGAGCCGGAATATGACATCACTCCGGCTCCAGCATCATTAAGCAGTGCGCGAGGGAGCTGAACAGGAGGATCATTGCTCCCTCGCCACCTGCAGGACCGGCCACCCAGCAGCCCCATTGGACCCCAGGGAAAACTGGAATCCCCTCAGCACTCCCAAAGGTAGTGAGTGTGTGTATGTGTGGTAGTGTGTCTGTTAGTGAGTCTGGTGTCTGTCAGTGAGTATTTGTAAGTGAGTGTCTGTCAGTGAGTGTGTATGTATGTCAATCACTGAGTGTGTGTCAGTAGATGTGTGTGTATGCCTCTGTTTGTTAAAGTGTGTGTGTGTGTGTGTGTGTATGTATGTGTACGCCTGTATGTGGATCTGTATGTGTATCTTTGTCTGCATGGGTATCTGTTTGTCTGTATGTGTATCTGAATGTTTGTCATTAAAGGACCACTATAGTGCCAGGAAAACGAATTTGTTTTCCTGGCACTATAAAGTCCTTAGGTCCCCCCACCCTTGTGGCCCCCCTCCCGCTGGGCTGAAGGGGTTTAAACCCCTTCAGCAATTACCTTTCTCCAGTGCTGGGCTCCGTTGGCACTGGGGATATCTCCGCCCCTATCCGCCTCTCAGCTCCGAATGCGCATGCGCGTCAAGAGCCGTGTGCACATTCAAACCGCCCATAGCAAAGAATTACTCAGTGCTTTCCTATGGACGTCCAGCATCTTCTCACTGGAATTTTCACAGTGAGAATCGAAGAAGCACCTCAAGTGGCTGTCAGTGAGACAGCTACTAAGGGTGGATTAACCCTCAGTGAAACATAGCAGTTTCTCTGAAACTATGTTTTCAGCTGCAGGGTTAAAACTAGAGGGACCTGGCACCCAGACCACTTCATTGAGCTGAAGTGGTCTGGGTGCCTGTAGTGGTCCTTTAAGTGTATGTGTATCTGCATGCACTGATTTACATACCGGGGTCGCAACCCTGCGACCAGGTGCCCGCCATGTGTTTTGGCCCCGGCTTGCGCAGTGAAAAACGCCAGGGCCCCCGGATCAGTTTTCACACCGGGGCCCCATGGATCGTGTGAACGCCACTGGGTGCCTTAAGACATTGGAGTGTCTGGACCCTTTTTCTAATACTAGTCTGATTTGTATAGAGGCTCCTTTTAATTGTTTGTCTTTTTTTTTTTTTTTTTTGAAAGGGTGATGTGCAATATTAACCCCCTCACTACAGAAGAAAAACAAAAAGGGATGCTGTGAAGGTAGCTGTACCTTGAAGAGAGACTTACCGGCTAGCCTCTTACACGGAGACTATGGACAGTGGTGTATTTTGGATTTGTGCTGCTCTAGGCACGACTAAATTCGGGCACCCCCCAAAATCTAAATTTACACCCCCCATTTCGTGTCAAGGCCATTTTTTTGACTCACAGTCACATGCCCTCATTGATACATGCACTGATATACACTCGCTGACAGATACACAGTCATTTGCACACACATACAGTCATTGCCACACACTGTTTAACAGACACACACTTACACACCCACTCACTGAGAGGCACACACTCTCAGATACACATAAAATTACATACACACACTGACACACTCACACCCATTCTCACTCACAGACACACACTGACAGCTACACTCACTCACTTACAGTAAGGTGGACAGCCCCAGAACACGTGGCAAACAAGACATTTGTCTGGGAGCTTGGGGTGGAATTTTTTGGCGCCCCCCCTATGCAAATGCCTTGTTTGTCTTGTGGTAAATACATCCCTGACTATGGATCATCTGTGTATTTAATCATCCTTCAGGCCTAAAAAGGTTACTCTGTTCAGAACATCTCAGTACAAATATATTGGCATGTGCATTTTAACCAGTTAAGCACCAACAACAAAGTGTAAAACACCAGCTGGACATTGTGCTTCATGAAGTTAACCCTTAACGTTACAAACCAATGTGGACAACAAAAGATTAACAATGTGTGGGACTTGTGCCATTTACCAAGGAATATAGTTTTTGATGTGGCAGGACTGGAAGAGTTAATTGTGTGCATGTTTTACAGTTTAAAGTAAAAATGCCTTCTGTGCAGAGATGCTGGCAAACATTCAACTGGTGCCAGCTTAGTGCAGAGATGCTGGCACCAGGTGTGTGTGTGCCCAGCACTCTGACTGGTTCCTACTGTGTCTCTGCAGTCTCCCACCAAGTCATCACATGGTTTTACACCTTGTACTGTGTCAATGCAGTGCATGTCGTTCAATAAACTAGTATTGGCTTGTCCTTACACTCAGTCGTATCTAATATGAAGGTACAAGGTGTGAAGTATCTGGCTAATGGCTGCATGAGATCACTGAATAAGCTCAGACCTAAGTTACCAGGTGGCTGCAATAGCAGGTTCAGGTCTGGGTACAAAGTCTGGGGTCAGGCATCCTGGTCCTGTTACAGATGCAAAGTAACATATAAATATAGAATAAACTAGCAATTTGTGTACAGAGTGCTTTTCAGACAACCTTAATTTATGTTTTGTTGTTTTTTTAATAATTTTTTTGTTTGTTTTGTCATAAAAAAAAAAATATATAAGCAGTTGTCGGATACAATGATTTAGTAAACGGCTCGAACATTATATACATCTACCATATGTAACCACGTAATGAGTGTTTCTCCATCCAGTTGTACATAGGAATGCAGTATTCAAACACATCTTTCAATAGGTCTATGGTAAGCTTTGTATATCCGACTGTTTGCTTAATGGACATCAAAATCAACAAAATAGTTTTGAATTTTAAACGTATAGGTAGAACTGATAAGTAGGTATGTATCCAGCACGGTTGCTATACAGTAACCTGTATGCCCCCATCAGGGTTTCTAAGTTCCAACTCCACTTCGCCTTATAGTTGATGCTATGTATGGGCTCTGTGTCTGCTTGTTTCCATCTATAATTTACATTTTTATTTTTCCCACTTACTCAGTCTTTATGAAAATATTTTGTTTATGAAAAACTTTTCGGTATGGTATACAGTATTCTTTATCATGCATTATTTCATACAGGGTCTAAAATGTTAGTATAAAAGCAAAAATACAATTTCTCACAGACAAAAGCTGGGACAAAATACAAACAGATATATAAAAATGGCCAAATACATTGCTTATAGGTATTTGTAAGGACCCTGAAGACATTGCAATCAGTAAAGTGGCAAATTAATTTAAAAATGTCTGCATTTAAGCATAATACCCATACACACTAAACAGGAGTAGTATGACTGCTGAAAATGTCCACACAGGAAGTTTTAAATAAACTTGTAGGAACTATATAAGTGACTTCAGGAAGAGAAATGTGTATCTACAGCCTGGCAATCATTCCTAAAGTATTAATGAGGGAGAGTGAGGCTATGGACGAAATTGAATTATGAAAAGAACAAGAGATTTAAACATTTTATGTTGGTTTCGGGAAGAGAATATGTCAGAAAATAATTAACTTACAAAATATATTAATTATAAAAAAAAATAATTTATTATAGATGTAACGTAGTCAAATAGTATTCTTTCTTAAAACGTAAAAGGCAATATAAAATACAATTATGATGCATTACTTGAACTTTTTAAAAGTTGTGTGGTTTCCTCCATCCTAGAGATAAAAGAAAAGGAATAGATTAAGGTACTTGTATGGCAAAAATAATAAACACTGGGAGTAACACATTTGTAAACTGAAAAAAAGAATAAAATGAAACATGAATGTAAAGTGACTGTCGACCCATAGTAAAGAATATTTTGTAACAATAAGGTAATAAAAAAAGGTGACATCCAAAAAAGACAGTAAAACAAACTTTTAAGTATTAAATAATTTAAAAAATATATATTTTACCGGAAAAGTGATAATGTGCTAGTACTTGCTGGTAAGAGATAACATATTGGAAAGATGGGGGAGAGTTGGAAAACATGCACATTCATGGTTTTAGTGCAGATGCAGGAGCAAGGACAAAGGGATCAACAAAGAAACCTACCCCACTGAATCAATATAGTTCATTGAATAGCAGACTTATGTAAAAAATTTGTTTCGCCCAGTACGACAATCAAATTTCTTTTAATCCACACACAAACAAAAGATGGTTAAGGTGTGGATTAAAAGGAATTTAATTGAGACGAACCAGCCAAATCCACTTTTTGAACAAGTTTACTGAACAGCTGATAGAAACAATAAAGATAATATTTGGAGTCTTAAAACAGATATACAGATCAGTACGCAGATTAATTATATATCTTTCCTTCAATCTAGTGGTTATTATGGCGAGCCATTTAAAGTCGGAGTACTGGAGCTCCGTTACAAGGACAAATCGACATTATTACACTGACAATTTGAAACACTTTTATATTCCAAGAAAAAAAAAAAAAAAATACATTAAAGGCTGCTTACTGGTCACGGAAAATGCACCACACACACACACACTGCTGGGAATTTTTATTTGAGAGTGACAGACAAAAACAAACCAAAAAAACTAAACAATGGGCACCAATAAAATAAAAAAACACAGTAACACATTTGTAAACCGAAAACAAAGAATAAAAATAAAACACGAATATAAAGTGACGGTAGAGGCACAGTAAAGAATATTTTGGAACAATAAGGGAATAAAAAAGGGATGACTTGCAAAAAAGAGCCCAAAGCTGAACACAAAACCTTTTATACATAACCCCCATTTAGTTAGGCAAAAATAAACAGCCAAATGAATATTAAAATAAAAAGAAGAGTAAACTAGACATTTAACTAAGCTCAGCTGGTTTCCCATGATTTCTTAATAAAATACAATAATGTATTACATTTCAATCATTTGGCAAAATATGAGGGGGTTTTTTTCAATCATTTGACTAAAATGTATTTTTGTATTTTTTTATTTTTTAACTTGCATTATAAAAGAACTCTAGAACACTAATTAACACTAACTTGAAACCAAAGAAAAAAAGTAAAAGAATAAAAATATGATGCTTACATTTTACCTATCCTTTCCATTCTTTTTCTTGTGGTCTCCTGCAAAAATATATTTATTAATGTCAGTACATGACAAAATAAGACATGTTCTGAAGAGAATAAACACTGATTAATTAGCCCTGTCACATAACAAAAGGATCATGCAATATGAACCAATTTAAATTTCACAAATTTAGCTTAATGAAGCAATGTTTGTGTATAGAACTTGCCCATGCAGTCTCACTGCTCAATTCTCTGCCATTAAGGAGTCAAGTCACTTTGTTTATGCAGCCCTTGCCACACCTCCCTACATGTGACTTATACAGCTTTCCTAAACACTTCCTGTAAAGAGACATCTAATGTTTATACTTCCTTTATTAAACATTGTTTAATTTAGGATTTCTTATCTCCTGCTCTGTTGTAGCTGCTAGACATTGCAGGAGCCTCCTTTATGTGATTAATGTAATTTACAGAGCAAGAGATACAGACTTCTAAAAGCAAGTAAACATTTGATTGAAAATGGAAAAAATAAATTCTTGCAGGCTGTGTGAGTCAAAGCCAGCAGAGGTGTGGCTAGGGCTGCAAAAAAAAGAAAAATTGATTTAACTCCTTAACGGCAGAGATTTGAGCAGTGAGGCTGCAGGGGAATGATCTATGTACAAAAACTGCTTCATTAACCTAAAAGTTGTTTTGGTGACTATAGTGTCCCTTTAATGAAGAAGAACTCTTGCTTCTATGGAAATTACACATTTGAATACATGATTTAATATTGGCAATAGCAAATAATAATCACAATCCCGTTCAGTCCAGGCACAGCCAGGGCACACATTGCAAATCACAATAAGGAATGGGCACATTGTTTCATTTCTTCTTTTCCCTGTATGCTTTCATTAGACTGATTGACAGATGCCAAGGACAAATTTTATGTTTCATATGCTGCTCACATCACTCGGTTTTGTAAAATGCATTTTGTTTCCACACACTCAACGAGATTTAGCATCTGCTAGACTGGGCAAGCATTCTGTAGGCCAGAATAGCATGGACAGCATTTACCTTTACTAATGTTGGCATGTTCTATTGACCTTAGAATGGAATTCACTAAATCATTTGTAAGTTCAGCTTACCTTTGAGTCTTCTGTCAAGTTGGTATAATGAATGTCAACAGCTATGGGTGAGGTGTCTGCAGATAACAAGGAACTGTATCCAGACGACTGATGTTGGCACTCAGGTATATCTGCTTTTGTTTTAAAATCTGTAAAGAAATTGTAGTTGTTAAGAAACCGGTTTCTTTACCAGTTCAGCAATAATAGAAACTAATAAGTTTTGTGTAGTTATACTTCACATTTTTTTCATGTGTGTATTTTATTCAGTTTTGTATCATTGTATGTGCTCATCATTTACTTTACTATACATTACTATAGAACAGGGGTAGGCAACCTTTTAGTAGTACTGTGCCAAAAGAAGATCTTTAAGTCCCTTGGCATGCCAGTCATTTTTTTTTTTTTTTTTTTTTAATATACAATCGAGGCATGTATGTTGCCATATTCTGCTTGTGTTATTTATGCGTTCTGCAGTTGCTTTGTAGCGCTGTATTTGTGCATATGGTCAGTGGTATTGTGTTTGTGAGGAATGCATGTTTTTGTGTGGGCTGTCTGAAATATTCTTCTGCAGCTCTGTGTATTTCTAGTGGGTGGTTTCACTGGGGTCCAGTGGGGACCAAGCTGGCGAGGTGCTGATCAAGGGCAGGGCTGCTCTACTTCAGTGCAGATTCCATTCACAAGTGCTGGGAAGTGATGAGATTACTTTCTCGAAGTGCTGCAATGAGTAAATCGAGGATTGTCCCTCACCACCTGCAATCACCCACTCGGGTTGCACTAGCAGAATAATGAAGTCTCATTGGGACTCCTGATAGGCCAGAGCCTGTTTGTCTCTGGCAGTCTTGAGTGCCGTGAAAAGGCACCTCAAGTGACTTGCATGAGAAGTAGGTTGCTGATCCCTGCTAGAATATGTTGAAATAAAAAATATATAATATAATATAATATAATATAATATATATCGATCTGTAGTGATTAGCACTCACGGATTTCCAGAAAATAGTATTAAGAAATAACTTTTATTGGTCCATTAAAAAAACTGCATGCAGTTTTTTTAATGGACCAATAAAAGTTATTTCTTAATACTATTTTCTGGAAATCCGTGAGTGCTAATCACTACAGATCGGTATGTAAATGTTCCCCTGATTTTCAGCACCAGGTCTTTATTGATTTATTGGAGCTTGAGTGCAAGGATTCTATGGATGCCTATATATATATAATTAATAGAAAACCAGCTGCTAAGAGGAGAATTATATATGCTCTCAGCAAAACATATTCAAACAGGCTACAGCACACTTGACAACGGTGAGGTTAATTCTCTGTTGCTAAATAATCATCATAAACAAAATTATATTGCAATAAAAATATAATCAAAAAAGATATATATAGATATATATATAGGAAACACAAACTGCTAACTAAAATAAATTAGAAAACAGAAAAGAGGGAGTCAGCCTATCAGACAGAAGCTCTAAAACTGGAAAGATATAGGAATCCACCAAAAACCTATAAGAGAGTATAGAAAAAAGGCTGGCTACTATACAAGATAGTAATCATAAATCCAGGAGCTTACTTAGTATAATATGTAAAAAGAAGGAGAACAAATAAATAGTATCTGTCAAAGAGTTAACTGAGTTGGTGAATATAGCAAAAAAATGTATCTATCAGAAGGATACAATAGCTAAATGGTTAAGTCACTCACAAAGTGTCCGTTGGCTGCTTACAGTCAAATAGAAAAATGAAAAAAGCTCGGTACAACAAAGCTAGTGCGAATAAGCAATATAAATATATCGCTAAAAACAACTGTAGATATTAAAATATTATTTATTGAAGATTAAAAATGATATAAAATAAATAGCATGTCCACAATCTAAATGCCAGTCAATTTCGGGTAAAATTTGCAAGACCACCTTAGTATAAAGTATGGATCCAGATGATGTGTGTGATCCTCTTGCCCAGATCCTGATCGCCTGTGAGGACGGCGTGCGTTCCACAGTGCGTTCCACCTCGAGCCTCACTTCGGGGGAACAGCACTGTTCTTGCGACGGTGTTGGTTATGCGTCTAGGATCCGGGATAGGTGAGTTCTTCTGCAGAGATACCCTGGCTGGATAGAGTTCGTGTGGATGTGCCTTCTTGCTGTTCTAGCTGTCTAACGCGTTTCGTAGAGGATAGCTCTACTTCATCAGAGACGGATAAAGCACCCTCTACATGGGGGTGTTTAAATACCTCACAGTTGTTAATTTAATAATTGAAAAAATTGAAAAACTTGAGAAATTACTTGAAAAATGTATACTAATTCAATATAATATATACATATCCAAAACAAGATTGTTACATATGAGTTTATATAATACAATAAAATAAAATAAAACGAAATAAATAATATATACCATTCTTTCATTTGTTGTGTCTTATTACTTATGCATAATTGGTATGAACATAATTGACATCAAAAGAGGTTGATATCAGAAGTATGTATTTTGTGACGTTTTACTTCTTATATATGATCAGTATAGCATAGGCATGAATGCAATCAGTAGTTAAGAGAGGATGAAGACAAAAAATAGAAAATAATAATAAATGGAAACGAAATATACTAGAATAAAATGCATTAGACATTCTATGGTAATTAGGACAGAAAGCTTGTCATACGTCTACATTATATAAACATTTGGAAGGAGTCTTGTATCCTGAAACGAGACATAATTGTTAATACAGGGAACCATTAACATAGTTTGTGTGTAACAAATGAGTTTACAATTAGTTGCTTGAGAGAACATAGAACATGGAAAGCACCAATTAATTAGAGGTTCAGTAGTGTACCTTAGTGGGAGTTGTATATCAGAAAAACTCATGAGTTACATAAAAATATAGAACACTATAAAAAAATCTATAATATAACCCTAAAAGACTCTGTACAAACAATATAAAAGTTTGAATATGTAAGACAGGTCCTAGGGGAGCTTATTGTAAATTCTTCTTAAATTTGCATAATAGGGACAAGTAATATATTGACAAAAATGAATATAGACAAAAATGAAGATGAAAGTGAAGATACATGAATGTGGGAACGTAAAAAGCCCTTGACGGCTAAAAGGGGCAAATATCGTCTAACTCAAAAATTCTGGATCACAAATAAAAGGAAATATGTGAAAAAAGAAGTGTAAAATATAAAATATCAAAAATTAAAATTACAATTAAAAATAGAGTTAAAAATAGATATAAATATAAAAAAAAGATATAAATATAAAAATAGAATAAAATAAAAATAATAATAATAATAAAAAATAATAAAAAATAAATAAAAGATAAAAAATATAAATAAAAAAATAAATATAAAAATATAAAAATATAATAAGAAATGATAAATAATAAATAAAAATAGAAATAGAAATAGAAATAAATAAAAATAAAAATAGAAACCTAAAATAAAGTGCTACTGAAAAGAGATCATAAAAAGCGATCATAAAAAAGCATTAAGCTCAAAATCTACATTAAGGCCATAGGGGACCAGAGTGTTAAGGGTAAAAATCCATTTCGCCTCAGTTTGGTCTAGATTAGTGTCTATACTCCCTCCTCTCCAGTGAACATTAACTTTTTCAATGGAAATGAATTGTAACACTTCAGGTGTTATATACCTCATCATGTGTCCATGCAAAAAACAATACATAGGACGCACTAAGAGACCCCTGAAAGTGAGAATAGCGGAGCACATACGCAATATCAAGAAAGGTCTGATAACCCATAATCTCTCTAAACATTTTAGAGAAACACATGGAGCTGACCCAGCAGGACTGGTATTTTTTTCCATTGAAAAAGTTAATGTTCACTGGAGAGCAGGGAGTATAGACACTAATCTAGACCAAACTGAGGCGAAATGGATTTTTACCCTTAACACTCTGGTCCCCCATGGCCTTAATGTAGATTTTGAGCTTAATGCTTTTTTATGATCGCTTTTTATGATCTCTTTTCAGTAGCACTTTATTTTAGGTTTCTATTTTTATTTTTATTTTTATTTCTATTTTTATTTTTATTTTTATTTTTATTTTTATTTATTATTTATTATTTATTATTTATCATTTCTTATTATTTTTTTATTATTATTTTTTATTTTTATTTATTTTTTATTATTATTATTATTATTTTTATTTTATTTTATTCTATTTTTATATTTATATCTATTTTTAACTCTATTTTTAATTGTAATTTTAATTTTTGATATTTTATATTTTACACTTCTTTTTCTTTTTTCACATATTTCCTTTTATTTGTGATCCAGAATTTTTGAGTTAGACGATATTTGCCCCTTTTAGCCGTCAAGGGCTTTTTACGTTCCCACATTCATGTATCTTCACTTTCATCTTCATTTTTGTCTATATTCATTTTTGTCAATATATTACTTGTCCCTATTATGCAAATTTAAGAAGAATTTACAATAAGCTCCCCTAGGACCTGTCTTACATATTCAAACTTTTATATTGTTTGTACAGAGTCTTTTAGGGTTATATTATAGATTTTTTTTTATAGTGTTCTATATTTTTATGTAACTCTCATGAGTTTTTCTGATATACAACTCCCACTAAGGTACACTACTGAACCTCTAATTAATTGGTGCTTTCCATGTTCTATGTTCTCTCAAGCAACTAATTGTAAACTCATTTGTTACACACAAACTATGTTAATGGTTCCCTGTATTAACAATTATGTCTCGTTTCAGGATACAAGACTCCTTCCAAATGTTTATATAATGTAGACGTATGACAAGCTTTCTGTCCTAATTACCATAGAATGTCTAATGCATTTTATTCTAGTATATTTCGTTTCCATTTATTATTATTTTCTATTTTTTGTCTTCATCCTCTCTTAACTACTGATTGCATTCATGCCTATGCTATACTGATCATATATAAGAAGTAAAACGTCACAAAATACATACTTCTGATATCAACCTCTTTTGATGTCAATTATGTTCATACCAATTATGCATAAGTAATAAGACACAACAAATGAAAGAATGGTATATATTATTTATTTCGTTTTATTTTATTTTATTGTATTATATAAACTCATATGTAACAATCTTGTTTTGGATATGTATATATTATATTGAATTAGTATACATTTTTCAAGTAATTTCTCAAGTTTTTCAATTTTTTCAATTATTAAATTAACAACTGTGAGGTATTTAAACACCCCCATGTAGAGGGTGCTTTATCCGTCTCTGATGAAGTAGAGCTATCCTCTACGAAACGCGTTAGACAGCTAGAACAGCAAGAAGGCACATCCACACGAACTCTATCCAGCCAGGGTATCTCTGCAGAAGAACTCACCTATCCCGGATCCTAGACGCATAACCAACACCGTCGCAAGAACAGTGCTGTTCCCCCGAAGTGAGGCTCGAGGTGGAACGCACTGTGGAACGCACGCCGTCCTCACAGGCGATCAGGATCTGGGCAAGAGGATCACACACATCATCTGGATCCATACGTTATACTAAGGTGGTCTTGCAAATTTTACCCGAAATTGACTGGCATTTAGATTGTGGACATGCTATTTATTTTATATCATTTTTAATCTTCAATAAATAATATTTTAATATCTACAGTTGTTTTTAGCGATATATTTATATTGCTTATTTGCACTAGCTTTGTTGTACCGAGCTTTGTTCATTTTTCTATTTGACTGTAAGCAGCCAACGGACACTTTGTGAGTGACTTAACCATTTAGCTATTGTATCCTTCTGATAGATACATTTTTTTGCTATATTCACCAACTCAGTTAACTCTTTGACAGATACTATTTATTTGTTCTCCTTCTTTTTACATATTATACTAAGTAAGCTCCTGGATTTATGATTACTATCTTGTATAGTAGCCAGCCTTTTTTCGATAGATAGATAGATATCTATTTTGGGGGATGGGCTGCAACTTTTGATTTTTTTTATTCCAATATAATTTAGATTAGGATATTATATATGATTAATATATATTATAGTTAATACAATGTTAAACAAAAGTCTGCACACCAGTCAAGCCATAAGACTTGCTTTTCCCCACATAAATCACAAATTTGCAGTGATGTTACTACCGCAAAGGATTCTGGGTGAGCATATGCAAATTAGTTTAACAATTAAAAAAAATATATATACACATATATATAAAAAAAACAATGTATTGATCTTAGCATGATCTTTTAACTAGAAGCACAGTGATAAAAAGTAACACTCCAGGCACCATAATCACTACATCCCACTGTAATGGTGCTTAGAGTGTTTCTTGAATTACAGATGACATCAAATTACAAGGTGCCAACATAGGTTTAACACTGTGGAAAAATTAAAAAGTAGATACAAATACTAATTAGGTCAATAATATTAAAACACAAACAAGAAAGCCTTAATACGTTCCAATGTAATTTTTAATTACTTAGCAATTCCAGTAGATGGCAGTGGAACACCATACAGAATGTAATGATATGCTAAACACCACTTGTATCTAAAATTTAACATACATAAAATACATAAAAATATCAGTTACTACAGTAAAAAAAAATAAAACAAACAAACAAAAAAAAAACACTATGAAATTACCCATGTCAAAATATTTAAGAATATGTTTATTGAACTAATACATATGCATAAACAATGCAATGCATATTGTGGTCTACATGTTAAATTTCGGGAAACTGCAGATCTAGCAGGTGAATAAGAATTGTAATTTACTATAGCTCATTATCACATATTACCAACTATGTCAGATTAAGTACAAGACTAAGACGTCATCCTTTTTTTTTTTTTTCTTCTTTAAGAATTTGTGCAAAGTTTCACAGTGCAAAATAAATAGGCAATACGCTGTTCATGGTGCTTTAAGAATACACAATAAGCAGGAAATGAAACCTATTTTTAATGATTTTTTTTTTTAATTCTTTATTTTTCACGTGCATGAGAGTAACAAGCATTCTCGTTATGCCACAACAGTAACATTATAGGCATATTGATATGACAGTACATATTTTTGTTTTTATATAGAGAAACAAGAGTAATACATGTTTAGCATATCTAGTGAGTTAATAAACGTTCTGAACCAGTAGCTTGTGAGGGTTAAACATAGCTTTAACCTACGAGGCTAGTAATGTCGTACATGCTAGTCTATCAGATGCAACTAGGGGGAACAAGGGTAGCCAGGTGTCAGCCCGTTTTTTATTGTTAGTAGAAGGAGGACAATATTCAGTTAACTGTTGATTAACAGTTTTATGCTCGTCTAGCTGTTAGCTGGGGCTAAGATTAGCTCAGTCTCGCCATAGAGGTCCACTTAAGCGTTAAACTAACACCTCTGGGAGGAGTAAATTGGGTTAGTTAGGCATGTGATGCATAGTTGAAGAAAACATGACAGATATTCCTTCGTTTAATTCTAAGGTAGTATAAGCGAAATGTGGAAGGATAAACATATGGTTTGAGTCCAACACCGGTAGTTCTCACGCTTGAGCAACGTATGTATACCACCCGGATTAAAACTCATTTCAACAGGCAGAGAGCAGGATATGCGTATTAATAAAGCTATACATCCAGGCAGAGCAGGCCAGAGTTCAAGATAAACCAGTAATGGAAAGCAAATACAGGGTAGCATCAGTTCGCAGCATTGCACCTTTATGGGCGATAGTCCAATGTACCATGTGACATCCTGGTCCCCTCACCTGTTGTAGCTCAGAGTGGTAAATTAGGGCAGCGTGGGTGCGGTACTGCTCTGTTCAAGTGTCCCAGTTCACCCGATGCCAGCCGTGGGTAGAGCTCTAATCCGCCTTGCACCTGTTTTCATTAGGTCGACGGGATGTCGTGCGAGGCAGTGGAACCGGGCAGGCTTGCTTGTATGAAGCTGTGCCGTTTTCCAATTGGCCTTGCGGGTCTTCAGGTGTGGGGTTGTGCATTGGTGGTCGGGAAGTTCTGGTGCCTCTGAGTGGAGAGTGTGTCGGGCGGGTTTGATTTCTCGGTCCGATAGCAGTGTGACTGGGTGCCGGTGTCGGAGGGATATGTCGCCCTCTCTCGCCACTTTGATCCCCTTTCCCGTTTCTGACCCGAGACCGCTCCGGGAGCTTGAGGTAGGTGTCTGCCTAAGTGGCGCGGGGTCGCTGGTCGTATCCATGCCGCCAGTTCTCTGAACGTCCCTGAAGTCGTCAGGTTTCGCTTGGGAGCAGGCCTCGTGCCGGGGGATCGGCCGCCTCCCCCAGGCCTCGGGCTCCGCTCCAGTTTAGGCCGTGCGGTCGGTTCTTGCACTCGCAGTGAGTGGCGGAGCAGGTCGGGTGTCATTCTATTCCCCATATGGTTCTGCACCGGTTTTTGGCCCCCATGTGATCCTGGCGTTATTAATTTAGCCGGGATTGTCGTGTTTCTGCCAGTTGTTGCTGGAGCTCTCATAGAACACGTCCGGCCATGTTGGCTGTCAGGCCCCGCCCCCTGAAACCTATTTTTAATGCAATACATAGACAATGTTTAAAATTATACAGAAAAACATAAGTTAAAAAAAGCAACAACAAAAAATTATTATAACTAGAGTTTCTGAAGAATCTGTGCTTGCACAGGCAGACCCACCACTTACTTGGTAGAGATCTCTCATCTTGGGCTAAGGGGTCTGATCTTATCTCATTAAAGGACCACTCTAGGCACCCAGACCACTTCAGCTTAATGAAGTGGTCTGGGTGCCAGGTCCTTCTAGGGTTAACCCATTTTTTCATAATTATAGCAGTTTCAGAGAAACTGCTATAATTATGAATGGGTTAAGCCTTCCCCCTAATCCTCTAGTGGCTGTCTCATTGACAGCCACTAGAGGCGCTTGCGTGCTTCTCACTGTGAAAATCATAGTGAGAGCACGCCAGCGTCCATAGGAAAGCATTGTAAATGCTTTCTATGAGACCGGCTGAATGCGCGCGCAGCTCTTGCCGCGCGTGCGCATTCAGCGGCGGGCGTAACGGAGGCGGAGAGGAGGAGGAGAGCTCTCCGCCCAGCGCTGGAAAAAGGTAAGTTTTTACCCCTTTCCCCTTCCAGAGCCGGGCGGGAGGGGGTCCCTGAGGGTGGGGGCACCCTCAGGGCACTATAGTGCCAGGAAAACGAGTATGTTTTCCTGGCACTATAGTGGTCCTTTAATGCCGGTCCAGCAAGCATTTTCATGAAATAAGTTTTTTTTTTCCCCCAACTGTGGCCACAATCTGTTTATACACCTTCTGGTGTGTGTAATGACCTGCCAAAACAACAATTTCATGTGTGCCTAACCACGGATCATGGCTCTCACTAAGGGAGGAGAGAAGTCTATTCTAATTGACTGTGTGGCATGCACAAAAATGTTGGAGGAATTTGACACTTAAAGGGGAGAAGTAAAACTGTCCTCAACTGACACATTAGTTCAAGGGGCAGGTTTATAGCGTTAGAGAATTTTGCAATCAACCCTGGGAGGGTAGCTAGGGTGAAATGTATCTTTGCAGTGATGCTTATTTGCTATTGTGCCCACCCAGAATGACCCTACATGTGCCAAAACTTTGTGAAACAAACCCATCCTAATAAATTATTTGGCTTGGTTGCAACTAACAGGACAAAACGTATGTTTAGAAGTACATAGAAGTGCTTGCTCTGTTTATGTGCTCTATACATTACAATAAAAAAAACACAATAAAACAGAGGTACATTCCACCCACTTCACAGCACTTAACATATTATAAAACCAATAAAATCTGCTATTCAAAAAATGTGCTTAGCAATGGCATTATCTCACTGCATCAATTAAAAATATTAAAATTAAACCCTTAACGCTGATAGGACATTCCATGCTGTCCTGCAGGGTTGGCCTAAATATCTGTAGGACGGCATAGAATGCCCTGCAGATCTCGTATGAGCAGGGTTAAATTGCTGCCCACACCACTAACCACAGGTATCAATTGATACCTGGGGCTCCCCTTGATGTTCTAAGGCTAGTGGCCCCAGACGTTTCGATGTGCTGTGTACAGAGCCCTTTAAATTCATGGATAAAACTGCAGCTGAGCAAGATCACGTTTTTCAGGCCTTTTCTTTTTTTTTTTTCCTTCAGTTGCTTTGGAGAGACCCTGGCAGGGTCTCCCAGCTTGTCCACAGTAGATTGTGACTGATGCTGGGCTTTGCTAGCTGCCCAGCAACAATTGCAATATTGTCATCCAGTAATTCTTATAGTGCAATTATGAAAAACAGCCAGTAGATGGTGGTCACTGACCACTATCTACTGTGTTAAAGAGTAAAACCCATTTCTACTATGAGAATTGATATTACTCTTAGGGTTAGGTGTAGGGGTAAGAATAGGGTAGGGTTTATGCCGTTTTGGGGTTAAACATGATATAAGGATGAGGTTAAGTGTAAGATTCGAGTAGGCATACAATTAGAGTTTGTGAATGCATTGGGTAAGGAGTATGGTTGGTATAGCGTTTGTGTGAGGGTTGGATAAGGTTAGCTTTAACCATCAAAAATTTATTTAGATCCTTATTTAGATGGGATATCACTTTAATTATGACCGACTACAACATTAGCCAGCAGACAATGCAAAGTTATAAAATAATTTCTGATACACAGAAATATCAATTTAAGTCAATGTAAAAATCCTTTCGCATCACATCAACATCAATTTTGTTTTACTAGAACTAAACATAAAAATAAGTGCAAACGTACCTTAAATGATATATACTGTTAAAAAGTTGCAGTAACATACCTGTACAGACTTCATGAGTCATTCGACTTGATGTGCGCCCTTCACTCATGAGAGCTGTGAATTCGGATGACAAATCACCCTAATAAACATAATGAAGTCAAATTACAGAATGAATCTAGCGACTTCAACAATATTACAAAGATGTATTCATTTTCAAAGCCCTTACAGTATATATGAGGTTGGTTGCCATTAAAGTGACTTGTTTTGTTACCCAATTTAATTCTATTTGACCACGTTTTTGAATTTTGAAAAATGTTTTGTTTAAAAGAGATACATAAGGAAAGAGACTACTTTTCCTTATGTATAATCAGTAAATTGACAAAAGATGAAGGGCGGAGCTTGAATCAAGCTCAACTTCCTTTGTCAAGGCTGTCATTGGTAGTAAATAGCTATATTTAGCTCTTCTTGCCTCATGTCTCACAAAATCCCGGTGGCCAATTTGGTGACATGCTGCATTGAGCACTGGATGTTATCTTATTTGGTATGGGGCAGTGTTTGGCAGCACCAGGTGACCATCCCATCACCAATGATTTCATGTAAGGGCGGAGGCACCTGCCATGTAGGAAGTTTTAAGATGGCAGCTCTTCAGGTAAGTTAAGTTCGGTCCAGGGACATTTGGACCTAACTGGGTGGAAGATTATAAAGATGCAGTGCAGGGAGAAAAAAAAAAAAAAAAGTGACAGAGCTGCTTTAAATGAAGCATATTAAAGGTGCCTCTGAATTCAACAATACATTGCCTCTTTCCACACTTCAGGTGGCTTGTAAAAATTATGAAAGAATTAACAATATTTTAAACAAGCATGTCACCACAACCTCACAGACAGTTGAGCTGTGTGGGTCTTCTACTAACTATAGTCAATAGCAAAAGAATGCAACAGTTGCAACAACAACTTCACAGTGAGCCAAAATGAAGGCACCCAGTTCCAGGATGGATGGATGGATGTTTTTCCTACATATAATTAAATTTTTCACATTTCACAAAAAACATTTGTGAAATATAAGGCATAAGTAAACAGATTAAACATGCTTATAAGTGACTGGGTCCCCTACATAAAAAAAGGAAAAATAAAATGGGTTAAGGAAGATTATATACAGAAGTGCGCATCCCAATAAGGCAATTCCAGAACAAACAATGTGACATATGAGAAGGAATTACAAAATATATATGTGGCAGTTCTTGTCACAAAAACAAAATACTGTATTTCTGAATGCAACAAACCATTAAATCTCTAACAATTTAATTGAACCTTTTTTGAATGTATCAAGCGATCTGTTTCCAGGAGAAGGACCCGACTAAGAAGGTTGTTCCAATCTGTCTCATCAATAATTATTTTCCCTTTCATACTAGTCTCCAAGACTTGCAGCTTCTCTTCCATCCAGTCTAGCTTTTGCAGTTTTTCTTGACATTCAGCAAGCTGGGCCTTCAGCAACTCAATATGTGCAGAGTCATCTCTTGATGCCTGAAATAAAATCCGGATTTAAACTACAAATTAACGTTAACAACAACTAAAAATAAGTGCAATAATGTATTGTCAAACCCAAGTACTGTGTATATAATTTTCAAAAGGGCAATCTAGGCACCATAATGACTTATACTGCCAATATTACACGTAAAGAAATGAGGTCTCCTACCCCCTAATCCATATAGATTTGAAAATAAGTACAACATCTAAAAATAAATACTTTGGTGGTAGGGACCTCATGCAGTTTATTCTATACCGGCAGGGGGAATGAAGGCACTCAAAAAGAAGATTCCATTGGGGCAGAAGATCTTGACAGTATATTGTAAAAAAAAGAGATCAGCTGGTCCCAAAGTCCCAAGATGGTTTCCATATATATGTATAGGCACTAGACAGGTTAGTGAGCCTGGATGAAGTCCATGTTCAACAAAAATGTCCACATCACTATTATAGGATTGGCTTACAAGCACATGAAGTCTAGCAAATACTCACATTTTATTATATCACTTAAAGTCATCTGGTGGAGAATACCACAGAGTATTCCTGGGATGCACCTTTTCTAACACCTCTGATAAAAAGTAATTACATGCAAAAGAGAAATTGGCTGCTTAGTTTTGTTTTATAAATAGAAGTTTCATACTCACAAGCATTGTTTTTTTTTGTTTGTTTTTAATAAATTCTTTATTTTTTTTATGTGTGCAGAGTAGTACAGATAACCTTGCAAGGCCACAATAGCATTAGCAAGAGTAAGATAAGTCATACACAACATTTTCATGGTCTTCATGAGTAAGCACTTTTTTGTTAATATTAAGGTTGTTACAGGCTAGACATATACAGGTGATACTCAAAAAATGAGAATATCGTGCATTAATTTCAGTAATGCAACGTAAAAGGGGAAACTAATATATGAGATAGACACATTACATGCAAAGCAAGATAGTTCAAGCCGTGATTTGTCATAAGTGCGATGATTATGGCTTACAGCACATTAATCTAATCACTCTAATCAGCTAAGTAAGCCATAACACATGCAAAGGGTTTCTGAGCCTTTAAATGGTCGCTCAGTCTGGTTCAGTAGGAATCACAATCATGGGGAAGACTGCTGACCTGACAGTTGTGCAGAAAACCATCATTGACACCCTCCATAAGGAGGCAAAGCCTCAAAAGGTAATTGCGATGGAAGTTGTTTCCAAAGTGCTGTATCAAAGCACATTAATAGAAAGTTATGTGGAAGGGAAAAGTGTGGAAGAAAAAGGTGCACAAGCAGCAGGGATGACCGCAGCCTGGAGAGGATGGTCAGGAAAAGGCCATTCAAATGTGTTGGGAACTTTCACAAGGAGTGGACTGAGGCTGGAGTCAGTGCATCAAGAGCCACTACACAAAGACGGATCCTGGACATAGGCTTCAGATGCCTCTTGTCAAGCCACTCCTGAACAACAAAAACGTCAGAAGCGTCTTACCTGGGCTAATGAAAAACAGACCTGGTCTGTTGCTCAGTGGTCCAAAGTCCTCTTTTCTGATGAGAGCAACTTTTGCATCTCATTTGGAATCCAAGGACCCATAGTCTGGAGGAAGAATGGAGACACACACACTGTAAGATGCTTGAAGTCCAGTGTGAAGTTTCCACAGTATGTTTTGATTTGGGGAGCCATGTCATCTGCTGGTGCTGGTCCACTGTGCTTCATTAAGTCCAGGGTCAACGCAGCCGTCTACCAGGAGATTTTGGAGCACTTCATGCTTCCTTCCGCATGCGACGAGCTTTATGGGGATGCTGACTTCATTTTTCAGCTTGGCACCTGCCCACGCTGCCAAAAGCACCAAAGCCTGGTTCAATGACCGTGGCATTACTGTGCTTGATTGGCCAGCAAACTCGCCTGAGCTGAGCTCCATAGAGAATCTAAGGGGCATTGCCAAGAGAAAGATGAGAGACATGAGACCGAACAATGCAGAAGAGCTGAAGGCTGCTATTGAAGCATCCTGGTCTTCCACAACACCTCAGCAGTGCCACAGGCTGATAGCTTCCATGCCACGCTGCATTGAAGCAGTAATTGCTGCAAAAGGGGCCCAAACCAAGTACTGAGTCCATATGCATGCTTATACTTTTCAGAGGTCCGATATTGTTCTATGATGGCTTGAGGGTTTGTCCTGGAGTGCTCAAAGCCTGACCTGCCCATCAGGGCCCAATTGATCCCCCTCACTGTCGTCAGAAAACAATGTGAGTAGGCTTGCCGGTTTTTCAGGGTTTCCATGTATGACGGTAAGCTGGACTGGAGTTTTGCTTGATTACATGGGGTAGCAGTCGTCTCTTGGTGCTCATGCGTGTTTGCTTGCGGGTGGGTAGCGTCGTCGTCTGTGGTGCCTTTTATGGGTCTGCTTCTTCAAGCTATATGTGCCTCTAAGATGAGACCAGGAGGGCAGTGCTACAGGTGTGCACCCATCCGGGGTCTGTGTAAGTGCCGGCTTGCCTCTCAGCTCTAGCTTCCTCCAAAAAGCTGCGAATACAGCCTCCAGCCGTGCTTGGATGTCAAGAAGGCAGTCTCCGCCATTTTGTGGTCAGAAGGCTTCGCCTGGGGCTACTGTCGTGCAGCTCGGTCAGACTCTCCTGGGACCGAGATTACCTCCATCGGTCCATGGGAGGGGGACGAGGGCCCATGTTCAAGATTGTAGCCACAGGGGGTGGCAGGGAAGCGGCCGCCTCCCCCACGCTGTCCATGTTTGTAGGCCTTAAGTGTCACATCAGTGATTCCTACAGGGTAGGCTGCTTGTTTGGTGCCAATATGTGCCCCTTGATATCACCTCGCGGTTCGTGACCCATTTGTGGCTTTTAAGGGCTGTCTGTGGCTTGTAGTCAGCAATGTGTACCTGGCAGAGCAGGACCAGCACTATCTTGCGTCCGCTCAGCTCAGCAGCCAGGCCCCACCCCCACAAATACCTCATTTTGTTCGCAAATCTGCTTTTATTTTGCAATTCTTAAGTATTCAGATGAATTTGTCTTAACTTTACCTAGATATGTAGGCTGAGATATTCAGACATTTTGAATTGCGTTAGTTTGTTGGTTAGAAATAGTAATTTTTTTTTAATAAATAATGAGAATTGGCCAAAAAGTCGATATCCTAGAGTCTAAAGGAACAGAATAGGGGTTAACCCTCAAAGAATACAGAACAAAAAAGGAAAAGAAGGTCTGTTCCTACTACAAATATCTTTAGCTTTAGTTTGTCACTTATCAGCATAAGCATTCTTTGTTTTTTCACTATCTATCCTATACCTGGTGCCCTTGAAGGCACTATTCCGACTTGCTTTTATTTGGTGTAGGTCTTATTATGAGTATTTAGATTTTCGACTAAGACTATTAGGCATATTCTAGATAATGCTGTATTTTAAACCTTTTGATTAAGCAAATTTACCTATGATCGTTTTAATACGAATTTAGTATGCTGATGTGACTTATACTTAGCAATATTTGTCCATGTTCTTACATAAGAACTTCTGACGATATTACAACTGTACAGGTTCATTCACTATTTCCACAACAGATTGAGTTTATATTTGATTGCAGAAGAATCCCCTGTAGTTGAACTGCCTTGATACTTTGCAGTGTATCTTTTCCCTGAACATATAGATACTATTATATTGAACAGGAACATACAGCCCCACTTAGTGTGATCCTCTGTATTGTATCTTATAATTGTATCTATGTATCAAGGATATCTAAATTTAATTTATACTGACTGTAGAAGAATCCCCTGTAGTTGAACTGCACTGACATTTTTTATTATATTTAATTTCTGACACACAGAAATTAATATATTGAACGATAGTGTCAGTTTCACCTATGAGGATCCTCTGTACTGTATCTTATCTCTGATTTATAGATACTATTATCCATCTATTTATATCGCTATGCGACGTGTATAAACTATTATTTTATTTGTTCAAATTTACCCCTATTTCCCTCTTCTACCTTTTTCCTTTTGTGTGCTCTTTGCTTTGACTGCCGTGATTGACTTTTGTTTAGTCAGGCAGCCATTGCTGGGGTTTCTTTCAGATTGATGTTCCCTATTTATTAATAAATTATCTTCTAGATTTTTAACTGTTTGATTTTTAACTGATATTGGTAGTAGGAACAGACCTAGTATTTTTTTTCACCTTGGATTTTTTATCGTCAAAACCTTTTTTTGTTTTACACTAGAAATCAAACTTTTTCAAAGAACATGGTTTTCTAAGCTATGGATGTACATACCACATCCTCACATGGAATTTCAAAGTCAGAATCTGATGAAGTCTCTTTCTCACTGGGCGGCACAGTTGCAGTGAAAGACTGAATGTGAAGAACACTCCCTGCATGTCGCTCCACTAATGGCTTCTTCTACAATACAAAAAAACAATACACCCAATACTTAAGGCATTTAAATTAGACAATCTTACAGTTAAAATTAATAGAGTATCTAAACTAAAAATATTAAGAGTAACAAAAATAAATATTATGTACTCCACACAAGCGTAAAGGGATACTACAGTCACCAACACAACTACAACTTAAAGGGAGACTATAGTGTTAGAAATACAAAGTGGATTCCTAACAATATAGTATAACAGAGCCCCTCGCTGCAGTGATGAAAGGGTTAAAAGCCCTTTGATAACTTACCTGAATCCAGCACCAATGTCCCTCAGGCTGCATCAGGCTCTGCCTCCGGTCTTCCTCGGGCAACGTTAGACGGCGGAGGCAACTTAATGCGCATGTGCGACGAGCGACATGCTCGCACTAGGGCTACACCATAGGAGAGCATTGGATCAATGCTTTCCTATGGGGTTTTAGCAGACGCTGGATATCCTCATGCAAAGAGTGAGGACATCCAGCGTCTTTTAGGTTACCAGAAGTCGCCTAACCACCAGAAAATGCCTCTAGCGGCTGTCTGGTAGATAGCCACTAGAAGTGGAGTTGACGCTGCAATGTAATGACTGCAGTTTATCAATAACTGCCATAATAACAATTGCTGGGTTAAACTATCAGGGACAGTGAACCCAAACCACTTTAATGAGCTTAACTGGTCTGGGTGCCTGAAGTGTCTCTTTAATGTAGTTGTTCTGGTGTGTATATTTAATCCCACCAGACATTTTCATGTACACACTGCTGCCTAGGGATGCCTCCAGTAGCGGTAATTCAGACCACGTGCAGCACGAACTTCAGCGTCTCCATACAGCTGAACAGTCCTCATAGCGATCCATGGATTCAATGAATATATATGAGGAGATGCTGATTGGCCAGTGTGGCATTTGGCTCCACCCATTGCCCCGCGTCTTTGGCAGAGATCATCAGAACTGGCTATTTCACCCAATCCAATGCTTTTCCATAGGAATTCTGATGAACTCCGCCAAAAAGGAGGAGTGGGACGGAGCCAGTGTGGCGCTTGAATAAAGGTGAGTTTTACAGCTTTGAAGGAGGGCAAAGGGGGGCTCGAAAGCTAAATAGTGTTTAACGCTAGAGGATCAGGAATCCAAATGTCTAAATGAAAAGGACGGTAAGCATGTTTTAATCTAAAAACTATTGGGCTTATTTTTGTATTTTTATGATCATTTGTCATGACAATTAAAGAAAAGTAATAGACATATGATTTGCATGAGAATTAAGCTGGTGATAATTTGGACTACGTGAATTTTAAAGCCTTCTTTAGATTATATTATGTACTAAAGTTATTTGTTGGTAGCTTACTTGAGTTTGTGTCTCAGTTTTTAGGGTGGGTTGCAGGGATGTCTCCTCAGGATAAAAGGTTTCACACTTGTCTTTTACAGCAACATTCTTTCTAGCTGGCTGTAACTTAACCTTAGAAAAAAAAAAAAAAAGTAAATACACTCAAAATAAATAATTCTAATTTCAATATTCAGAGCTATTTACATCAATAGCTGTAACATGTGAAAAACTCCCCTTTTCAAGTGCGTTTGCCACCAACTCCTGAGGAGCTTGCCAGCCTCCTGCCCACTGACTATGGGCCCTGTAATAAACACTGAAAAAGTCTCAGTTTGTGTATTTAGACTATATGGCTCGGAAACCGAACAGCCACACGAACCAGACCACCCTGGAGTTTGTTAAGCCGAATTGATACTTTGTAGCAATTTCCACCACAGTGTTCTAAGTGTTAGTCGGGGTGCCGCATTCCCTATGGACAGCCACGAGGTGGCGCCCATCTTGTTCACATGAACACAGGCTGCTCTGTTTGGTCGTCGAGTTCATGAAACTATTTTCAGACACTGAAACTCCTGAACACCACTGGACTTCCATAATCGCCTGTGTTCGGTTTTATAACACTTAGGAAGACAATGTTCAGTGGAAACGTTCCCACGAACAATGGGAACAGGCTCCAGGATATGACTCTTGAATATGTTTGGTAGTTTGTTCGGTTTTTAAACTACCAAACTAGACCGACCGCAATCTCTGATTCTCTCTAACTGTTTTGGGCAAGAGCCGGTGCAGTCGGTCAAATTATGACTTCCATGGAAATCCAGAACCCCTGAACTGATCTGGGTGATTTTTGGATATGTTGGTCCCCCAGATCGTGGCTATCAGGGGATATGACTGTGGGGTTTTCATGTGTTTTGGGGTATTGTAAAATGTATGTTTTCTGTGCCTGGAAATAATTGAGTTTAGTACAGTTCCTGACTCAATTATCTCCCAGGCACAGGGGAGGGATTATCTTGTTTTATGTGGGAGTGTTGTGGACCTGATAGCCAATGTAATCCTGTGTATGTTTTTGCTGTAGTCTACTCTCAGGTCGAGTGGAGAATGCCCCTGGAATATGTAACCGGAAACCCCTTGCATGGGGACCTGCATATAAGGCCAGTTGTGGCTGCCATTAAACAGAAAGGCTTACCCTTCATAAAGTCTATGCTCATGTTTGGGGGATTGGGAGCTATGTTCACACTCTGGGGATTGCTATACTCCTTATACTCCCTTGGATTATAATCACTAGCTCTTTTAAGAGCTATCCTGCTTTGCTCTCTGGACTAGGAGAGGTCTACCCATTGGAAGCTGGATCCTGGTCTTGGGTCCAGGGTGGGTGGAGGTGAGCGAGACCCCAACCAAGCTGCGGCGGTTTGTGGGGATCCGGTTCGGTGCTTATGGAACTCAAGGATTACTAGGAAGCAGCGATTGGCGGAGGTACCTGGTCAGGGGGGCAAGGCGGTCCATCACACAACTATCATACTTCAATTTGTGCTGGTTTTGTAAACACAATATATTTATTTTATTTTTTTATAGATAGATTAAATATATATAAAAAATAAATATATAATAGCATTTTATTGAAGAAAAGAAAGAAATGGACAGAGACAGAAATAATCTGCCCAGAATAGCTTGTAAATTAGACATCAGATCCTTGACAACCTAATAACAAGTCATCCGCATCTGTGATTATTTTATGTTAACTCTACCTGACACAGATTCCTTGACACAGCATCAAGGCTTTGGATCTTTTTGAGAAATGGCTCCAAGGTCAGGGCAAACAGGAGAGGGGACAATGGACACCCCTGACTGGTACAGTTTTGGATAGTGAAGGAAAACAACAAAGATCCATTGTTTTCTAGCCTTGATGACAGGCAATATTAAAGAGCCATTATCCAGGACAAGAACTTGGGACACTAATGTATAGCAAACATGAAGCCCCAGTCCACCATGTCAAACAACTTTTCAACATCTGTATAGAGCAGGTGGATTGGGACTCGCCCGTACCATGCCAGATGCATCAGGTTCAGCGCACAAATGGTACTTCCCTACCAAGGATAAAGATGGCATGGTCATGATTGATTATGGCTGGGAGATTATAACTGTAAGGCATGGCACAAGAATCTTGGACAAAGGTTTAAGGTCAACATTCAGAACAGACATAGGATAACAAAATTATCAGGTCCTTTCCCTCTTTTGTCAGGAGGATGATATTAGCAGAGTTAAAGTAAATTAAGGGTGAGGCTCAAACAAAAATGGAATTAAGCACTTCCAAAAGTAAGGGGCCCAGCACAGGAAAACATTTTTATAATAAGGTAAGGGGAAGCCATCCGGTCCCTGAGAGATTACAGTTTTGGAAGAATTCAGAGCCAGCCCAAACAACTCCAATGTGATTGGCTCCTCAAGAGCAGTAATTTCCAACCGCTGGAGTTTTACTAAGGTCCATGGTTCAAAAATATATACACCGATATTGCCGATAAGTCATGATAAAATGGCAGAAAGGACTGAAAGTTGGTGCATATGAATAGTGAACCCCTTCACTTTGGGAATATACAGTGGTGTTTTGTGATTGCGTAAATTTCAGCTGTATTTAGTGCCCGGGTCATAGAGAATATTGTTTGTACTGGCAGTAAGAGCATTTGAGAATGGCATTCATTATATAAATGCCCTAAAAATTAATCAAGACCATAACATGAAGATAAATTACACTACACAAGCTCCATAGCCAAATCCACCTAGTTGGTAGCAATCCTCAGCGGTACAGGAGAGCAGGCAATACATCCCAGGGGCCATAGTCACATGGCAGGAGGCTGGCAATCAGTCTTCTCCAATGCCCAGTGGCGAGGCTGGTTCTGCCACATACATGAATTCTTAAAATCTTTAAAACAAAGTCGTCCCCTATACCCCACCTACAAAAAAAATAAAAAGCATATCCCTTCTTCTCCCTCAGATGCTATGCTTGCATACTTTAGGAAAAGACATTTATTCTTAGTTGTACCAGGTCTTATGGCCAGCTAAGCTAGGAGGTAGCAAAAAAAAAAAAAACACAAACTATTTTTTAGTGCACCAGTGGGTACATGGATTTAATGGGAAACCTTAAAAAGGCACATAACTCCATACATAGAACACAAGGAAGCAGCCTAATGTAAAACAAAATAAGTATAGCTGTAATGAAGCCCAGAGATTTAAGGTCAACTGAGCAGATAATACAAACAAAAACACCACCATTTCATGAGACTCCAGGTGCACAGTTTTTATGCTCATGCCAGGACAGAGTTTTCAAACACAAACAGTATATTTATGTTGTTACAATGAACTCCTTACTAAATAGATTATAAAGAAAGATAACAAAATGCATTAAAAAAAAAAACAAAACAAAAAAACCACAAAAATACATAATTAGATAAAATATGCCAACCATAAAATATATCTGAAGGTTCCACAAAAAAATTTAACAATAAAGTTGATGTAACATTGCCATCTTTGACAATATCAATTCACCTATAAAAAAAAATATACACTGTAACTGTAAGTAGTGGCTTCCCCCAACTAAAGTGATTTGAATTCCCTTGGTAACATACACATTGTAATTTAATAAAGAACCAAGAGAATATATTGCTTAATACCTTGTTTTGTTTCACTAATTCTTTGTGCTTCTTCATAACACAGTCAATAATATCACAAACTATGTGTATCTTCCGTTCAGAATATGCACACTGAAGGAACTGCTGCTTTGTTAATATTGGTTTATAATTAAACACATCACGTAGAACCTGGAAAAGGAAAACAAAATGAATTTACAATTACCATGATTCACAGCAATGTGTAAAGAATATGTGTATCTTCTTTCCAGTACATAGAGTTGTGTTCGATTCAAATTCTCTATGGATATAGTGGATATAGTCATGTGCCAGAAGTTGTAAATTGTCTATTTTTATTAAAAACGTTTGTAAACCCACTCCCTATTGTTATATATCCTAAAGGATGTTGATCGTCAATCTCTCTACCTAAAATTATGTCTAAATCACAAGACCCTGTAAATGTCACAAACATAACTGATCTCTACCTTAACATGGTTATATACAAGAGAGTCTTATATACTAAGTACCATCTAGATATAACTACTTATGTCACTGGTTACATTTTGGATATTGTTATGGTATTTGAAAGTTTCCTGCCTGCTTTGCAAGATATTTCAGATTGCAATGTGACTTCCTAAAATAAGTGTAAAATAAGAATATTTGTCTTTCTCAGCTTAAAGTAAACTTGTAACTGGTCTTATTGAACATCAGTTTCACAACTTTGAGAATAACCCTCACAGGTCATGGCTTTAGTTTTTTAAATGTACTTTACATTTTGAAAAGATAATGTTAGTTTGTTTATTTATAGCCTCGCACTTGGCAGAGAAATGTACGGTAATTAACTGAACTTTCAATTATCACATATTTCTTGGGTGAGGCAACTTTAAGCAATGAATTGGCCATTCGTCTAGTTAGAAGGGCAAGATTACTTTTATTTTAAAATTTACTTTATAATCCTTCTTGAATACTTTTTTCTAAATCATACAAGTACTATAACCACTTAATCTCAATAAAGTGGTTAGAGTCCCATGGCTCTGTCTTACCTTACAGTATTAAACCATTTTCGAATGCCTTTCCTCTGGTGCTCAGGCAATGCGGTAGTATGCTCTCAAGTAGCGATGGGCAGCCAGTATCAACATGTCACTGTCTACCAATTCCAAGTAATCGTAGATATAATTTATAAGCTGTACAGGTTTCCACATTAGTCGAACACCAGGAAAAGCAGCAGGACTGGCACTTGGAAATACTATTTCTGTGCTGAAGGGCCACTCCAGTTAGGAACAACTGATTTATTTCCAGAGCCGATGTCAATACAGATTGGTTAACTTTTGGGCATATTACCAATAATCGGTGCCAATATTGTCTACATTTAAAGTTTTTAAAAAAAGCAACAATTTCTAAACAAACCTGGCATTAACTAAACATGCTGACAACAGTCACACTCCTACAATTTTTAGGCAGCCAGCCCAGTACATTACAGCAGATTATGTACTGTCTAACCTCCCTGCGTACAGCTGAGCTCAGCATGGAGGACTCACAGGGAGGAGGAACATGATGCCTCAGCATGGTGCCTAATTGACGGGCGGCCAAAGATTCCAGATGAAAAAGATGGTAAGCGGTGACTGGGAGAGGTAAGTTATCGACAATATCCGTTAATTACAAAACTGTAATATGTTGAATACCGGCTCATCTCTACATTCCAGTTACCTAAAGTACTTCAACTGGCTGAATTGCTTAAGGGATTAACTGCATGTCCCTATCCCAATTCATAAAATTGCATATTTCAAGAGATTTGTGAAGCCACGGCTGCAGCTCTGTTATAAGCCATAGAAAGGATAAGTCCATTCAAGTTATGAGTGCACCACACACACGTGGGATGGAGAAAGAATGCAAAGGAGGATATAAAAATCCTCCTTGCCAATGATCCAAAGGACAGTTTTAAAACTTTAATGATTTGTTATAAACCGCTGCAGTTTTAAACCATTCTGGCCAAAGGGACAGTATAGGATCTGTACTGTGACCTTTGCAATAATGCAATTTTGTTGGAGCTTTATAAATACCAGTAATAAATAAAATAAATAAATGCAGAGTTGTTGGGGTGCTTAGAGTGCATCTTTAACATAAACCTGTACAAACTCCTCAATCAAGGTTTACATATTTCTAGCTTATTCCAGAGAAAATTCAAACATCTAGTTGAATTTTAGCTTCAATGTTGTGCCTTCCTGCTGGGTCCCACACAGCACCATCTTTGTGTTCTTAAGATGGCGTCAGCCCTTCCTTGGGCATGCACGTCCAATGACATTTTTAAACAAATGTAAACTACTGAATGCATAGTAGAACTTAAATTACAAAAATAAATTAAGAATACCTGCTAAGTGCATGAAATCATTTTTATTGATATTATCTTTCCCTTAGAAATTGAGCTGGTAATTACGTATCAATAGTGTTTAAAAAGAATCAGCTTTTTACAGATTCATTTTACCTTATAAACAGAGTCAATAAACCTCAAGTCACTCTTTGCTGTTAGCTCTATATCCATTGACACCAGAATCTCAGCAATATATGTTGAATAGCATGTGAATGTGAAACTGAGTATTGGCAGTGAGGCAGCAGGATCTCCTTTCATTAACCTTTAAGCAATAAAAAAAAATATGAATACAACTCGGAGTGACAAAATGGAAAGTCCAGGCTAATGTAATGCAAAAGATAGAGATTACAATTTTAAATGGTTGATTACAAAGGGGATCATAACATTCTAGATCTACTCAATTACTAGACATGACTATTTGTTGCACTCTTCTTTAAACTAAATGATTCCCCTGGCATAACACTTTAATTTCTTCCTTTTTAGATTGATCGATCAGTTTAAAAATGAATTGAAACGCGTTCGTTCTATACCAGACTAATTGATTTGTTTAAGGAAGAGTGCAACACATGCAAATTGTCTATTAATAAGTAATCAGCATACTATGAGACAGATTGCAATCTATAGGGATATATCCTGAATGCAGCTTAACTCTATGAAGCCTGATTTTCAATATTATACATAATTACCTTTGTATAAGATGGGTGTTTCATGATTTACTTTAAAGGAACACTATAGTCACCTAAATTACTCTAGCTAAATAAAGCAGTTTTAGTGTATAGATCATTCCCCTGCAATTTCACTGCTCAATTCACTGTCATTTAGGAGTTAAATCACTTTGTTTCTGTTTATGCAGCCCTAGCCACACCTCCCCTGGCTATGATTGACAGAGCCTGCATGAAAAAAACTGGTTTCACTTTCAAACAGATGTAATTTACCTTAAATAATTGTATCTCAATCTCTAAATTGAACTTTAATCACATACAGGAGGCTCTTGCAGGGTCTAGCAAGCTATTAACATAGCAGGGGATAAGAAAATCTTAATGAAACAGAACTTGCAATAAAGAAAGCCTAAATAGGGCTCTCTTTACAGGAAGTGTTTATGGAAGGCTGTGCAAGTCACATGCAGGGAGGTGTGACTAGGGTTCATAAACAAAGGGATTTAACTCCTAAATGGCAGAGGATTGAGCAGTGAGGCTGCAGGGGCATGTTCTATACACCAAAACTGCCTCATTAAGCTAAAGTTGTTCAGGTGACTATAGTGTCCCTTTAATTGAATAATCAACTCTTGTGTAGATCATGGTAAATACATTTACATCAGGATAAATACATTCAAAGCCATATACATCTTTTTACCTCAGGTAAATCACCACCAGAATACGATGTGCTCAATATTCAAATTAGTGACTTGTCAACTGACATAAAATGTAAGTGTTACAAGATAGACAAGTCAATTTAACTGCAAAAAGCCCAACCTTCCATTATAGAATAGTTCCCCGACTGGGATTAAAACCCCGTAATGCACTCTACATTCTTTACAAAGACAACCGCTAGCTTTTAAAAATGTTCTACATCCACCTTGTGTCAGTACAGTATTCATAAACAATGATCCAAATGAAAAACCTGCATTAGTCGTATGCTATATTTAGACAAAAACACCAGCTGAACTTTCGCTCTTCCAGCCAAATGAGATGCATCTGCCATAAACAACTTCAAATATTTCTCCACACAGCAAACGCGCAGTGCCTAAAAGGGTCACCAGAAGGACTATAGATCTTACTGCTTTAAAGAAATGCTACTGAGAAAAATCAACATGACAAAGAAAAAAACCCCGAAATAAGCATAACATATTATAGATCTATATATAGAACACAAAAAGATTTTGCCATGTTGTCACCGATTTAAAACTTGAGGCAGTTACAGTTTAATGTAGCCATTATAGGATACTCCAGGCTCCGTAAATACTTCATCTCAATGAGTCATTATGCATTTTAAAACATTTTTCCCAAATGGGAGGCCATTGATACGCTGAGAGCCTCATATGATGGTCTCAGTCTATAACGGACATCCTGTTAAAGACATCAGCATTTAAGCCAAGACCTAAGGAAAATTACAAGGGACCAGAAGGATAGGTGCAATGAGAACACTTTGGGGTTAAAATAGTTTACCCCTTGACACTATAGGCACCAAAAGAATTTTAGCTTGTTTTGCTGTATAGATCATGCCCCTGCAGCCTCACTGATCCATTATCTGCCATTTAGCAGTTAAACTTTTTTTTTTTTTTTTTTTTACAGCCCTAGTCACACTTCCCTGCATGTGATTTACACAGCTTTCCTAAACACTTCCTGTAAAGAGAGATCTAATGTTTATACTTCTTTTATTACACATTCTGTTTAATTTAGAATTTCTGCTTTGTTAACAGCCTTCTAGACCTTGCATGAGCCTCCTGTGTATGATTAAATTTAAATTTGAAGAGCAGGAGCTAGACATTTTGTTTTCATGCAGGCTGTGTCAGTCACAGCCAGGAAAGGTATGGGTAGGGCTGCGTGAACAGAAACAAAAAGTTATTTAACTCCTAAATGGCAGACAATTATGCAGTAAAACTGCAGGGGCATGATCTATACACTCAAACTGCTTCATTAAGCTAAAGTTGTTTTGATGCCCACAGTGCCCCTTTAAGGACAGACTGTGGAAAGGTGCATAAACATCACAGAGATGCTATTATGGTGCCTGTCCTTTCAATGGCTACTTTTTGCTAATAACTGAAGAAAATCTAATACGTCAAAGGGACATACAAAACCAACTTCAGCTTAATGAATGCGTTTTGAGTATAGATAATACCCTGCAGTCCCACTACTCAGTTCTCTGCTATTAAGGAATTAAAATCACTTGTTTCTATTTATGCAGCCTTAACCTCTCCTGGCTGTGACTCACATAGCAAACATTAAAAAAAATAAAAAAAATAAAAAATTATTTCCCTTTAAAATCAAACCTTACATCATAGTGTATTTATTTTAGGAGGTATCTGATGCGCTGTTAATTGAAATGTATTCACACAGGAGGCAGTTGCAGGCTCTAGCAGGCAATTAGAGCAGGAGGCAAGAAATTGTAAATTGAACACACTGTACGAGAAGCTAAAAATGTATGTATGTAAGAAGGCTGTGTGAGTCTCGGCAATGGGAGATGAGGCTAGGGCTACATGAACAAAGTGATTTAACTCCTACATGGCAGAAAATATAGCAGTGACAATGCAGATGCTTGACATATACAGCAAAACCACTTCATTAAGCTTATGTTGTTGTGCTGTTTAGAGTGTCTTTTTAAGCATAACGAGTGTGTTTCAGTGAAATTCCAGGCAACAATTAGGCATTTGTTTTTCATAAAGTTTCTTCAAGATAAAAGTTCTACTTAAACAAATGTAACATATACACATTCAACTTACCCCGCATAGTCAACATCCCGTGGATAATTAATTAGTCTTAATCTGTGTTCTAACTTTCGGATGCCACCTTTCACATCTCCTGTTGCCATAACTTTCTTATTTCAGTGTACAGGTAATAACGTTCAACTGCGATCTTCAAGGAAATAGAAACAAACATTTAAATAAGTGCATAAACTGACATCACAGGTGCATAATGCTTATGTCTCCTTTAACAAGGTGTGGCAGCCGTAAGAGGAATTCATGGAAAGGTGCGACAACATATAGATAACTAGCAGGGTGATCCATCCGGGTTGCCCAAGCCACTACATTGCGCTAACGTCATTAGTTTGCACCATAAGCCCCTGATACCCTTACCCCCCCCCCCCCCCCCATCTCAACCCTCTTTCTTTTTCTCTTTCTTTAACCTCTCCCTACACCCCCTACTATGCCACTCTTTTGTCTGCTAAACTATACCCATAAATAAATAAATAAAACAGTTCAAGATAGAACTTACCATCAGATGGCATACAAAGGAATCTGCTCCTTACTCACTTTTGTCCATCGCAACAAGAGCCCAGCGAACTAAAGTTTACATGTAAACGAGAACATGTTCTAATGCAATATACCCTGGCAAATGTTAACCGCTACGAATACATACAACTGTACAAGATGAAAACTTTACAGTATATTTTTCTATGTACACCAAATATGCAATGCTACATTTTGAACTTATAAAGAATTACAAAAAAATAATCAGTGCAAAATACAATTTAAGATTTATTTTCAGATATTTTGGAAAGGACTCGAACATTTAAGAACATAACTATTACAATAAAAACTGCAAATAGTTTTACTTCCTCATCAGTGCATCAGATTTAGTAATTGTGTACAGATACTGGTGAAGAACTGCATTCGTGTTTTAAGTGTGTGCAACGATTTGACATTTCAGCCACCCAAACATTTTCACATATCCACATAAGCTACACATATTGGAAAGCAGCATAAGATCACTTTTCACAGATTAATAATAATGATTAGATCATCACTGTGCCAAAGTATATTTTCCTCACTCTGTAAACTATAATAAATATATGTCAGCTCATTGAATTCCCAACCACAGAATGATTCTCCCATTTTAAGACCTTTACACAGAGTGATATGTGAGGACGGCCACACAAAATGTTCCTAGGAGCAATAATGCTTTTAAATTTTTCAGGCCTAGGCCCAAGAAGGCTCATTCACCCTTCACATGTATTTAATGTTTCTGTAAAGAAGGTTTACAGATGGTGGAGACCTGCATCTGAAACCCCCAAGATGAAATATAACAATTTAAAATTTGCAAATAATGTAATGAACAATTAATATAAAAAGGACTCTGCAGGAATGAAACAATCTATATATACTTAAATCAACTGGACCAAGCATGTCAAACTCACGGCCCAGCGAGCCGTGAGTACATGCTCGGTGTTATAGCAGAGTAGGCACCTGTTTTCCCCACATTGCAGGTGCCCACTCTGCTATCATTTACCCGGCCGGGGAGGAGGGCCGCGAGGGAGCTCAGTGTTCCAGCTCCTCACGGCTCCCTCACGAGTGCCGACTGAAGTGAAGCCGGGCGCCGGAATATGACGTCATATTCCGGCACCCGGCATCGCTAAACCCCGCGGGAGCAGGAAGGATCCCAGGGAGATGCCCCCCACCGGCTCTATAAGGTAAGAAGCAATAAAGAAAAGTATGTGTGTCTGTCAGTGAGTATGTGCGTGTGTGTGTGTCTGTCAGTGAGTGAGTGTGTGTGTGTCTGTCAGTGAGTGAGTGTCTGTGTGTCTGTCAGTGAGTGAGTGTCTGTGTGTCTGTCAGTGAGTGTGTGTCTGTGTGTCTGTCAGTGAGTGTGTGTCTGTGTGTCTGTCAGTGAGTGAGTGTCTGTGTGTCTGTCAGTGAGTGAGTGTCTGTGTGTCTGTCAGATGCATTACCTTCTTTCCTGCTCGCCATCAGCTTTATTTCTCTTAATCTCCACTTTACTGCATTATTTTAAATGCATCATAAAACTCCCAATTTCTGTCTGTGCAAGGGGGTATCATTAGTCTTAACCTCCAATAATATCATCATGTAAACTAATGGTCTGCTCCTACTGTCAGCAGAGATCATGCTCTCCTCTAGTTCCCCACAGGTGCCTGCATTACAGTGGCACCTAGATGTGATGTCATGTCTGGATAACCGGACAGGGACGCTGATACATTGAGCTGTAGCTGTTCTGGAGACTGTAGTGTCCCTTTAAGTAAGGTCTTGTCATTTGAAGCTACCCCATTGTAGTGGATATATTTTGTTCTATTAGTCAGGGCTCTGTGCCATAGACTCAGATGAAATGCTTAAAAAGACCTATTTGTATCATAAGGTCTATGCTTTAACTGTGGGTGGGGGCGTCTTGGTCTGAATGTGGATGTTTTCCAATGAAGTCTATACCCTGTGTCATGGGGGTAACAAAGGCATCCTGTGAGATCAAACCTTTTAAAAGTTACATCTAATTGACAATAAAACCAGTGTGTTTTCATGCTTTCTGCTTCACTCACACCCAGGTGAGGTGTGGCTAGTGCTGCATGAACAGAAACAAAAAGTAATTTAACTCCTAAATGGCAGATGATTGAACAACAAAACTTCAGGAGCATGATCTATATAAAAAAATGGCTTAATTAAGCTAAAGTTGTTTTGGTGACTATAGAGTCCCTTTAATGTAATAATAATAATAATGCAAGAATGTCAGCTCTTTGAAGAGAACATAGCGAGTTGATAGTATAGTTAAACAGTATATATTTGATTTTTACTTAAAATTACCAGTTGGTTAGTTCACTTGACCTTACATTGGTATGTTTAAGCCTTTCTCTAAATGATTCTGTGCACTTTGGTTAATAAATATGTTCCATTTTATTATATATCATCCCAGAAGCAAAGTACAGGAAAGAATCCAAAATCTCACAAAAGAATTTCCATTAATCTCACTGTTGACTTAGTACTTTACATCACTTACTCAGTCCAAGAGAATAGAATCCATATGTTTACATTTTTATTTTTAATTATTACAAACACACAAATATCAATACTTCTAGACTGCCTACCACGTCTCGTTCATAAAATATATAATATCCCAGAAATCATATTTCCATAACTATCCAAGAATTCTCAGTTTGAATTGCAAATGAGCACAGCCAGGCATCGTGTTTCAGACTTCATTGCTAGCCTTTTGTTTGTTTGTTTGTTTTTTAACCAAGGCATGGGTTTAAATTAAAAAAAATTAATTAGTTTATGGTCACTGGTCTTTTTGGATTAAAATGCATGTCATGACTAGGAACATATCTACAAAACGGTAAGAGGCCAATCAGCTATTACTACCCCTGTCTGTTGTCACCCAGTCAGAGCACTCTGATTGAAACTGTTTGCACAGGTAAATAGTGCTTCAGGTTTCTGGTGACATCATAGTTCAGAAAGCATGTGCTCACCACATGTATGGCATGTTAATCTAGTTTACATAACAATATAAATTAACCCCTTAGTCACCAGACCGTTTTTCAATTTTCTTACCGTTAAGGACCAGGGCTATTTTTACATTTCTGCGGTGTTTGCAGCTGTAATTTTCCTCTTACTCATTTACTGTACCCATACATATTACATACTGTTTTTCGCGACATTAAACAGTCTTTTTTTTTTTTTTAATTCTTTGTTTTTCAAGATGCTTTGTTTCAACATCATTCCATTGAGTAATTGGCATATGAAAACAAGTTGTTTCAGTTACATATATAACAGGGAGTATAACATTACTCTGAGAACTTGTGTAATCATTTTTGAGAGCATCAATTTTATATGTTACGTGCCTCAACTTTTGTGTACTGCAAGGGAGAGGTCGCTCAGTCATGAGCTTTTGCTTGTGTTTTGCTTTGAGTGTGGTCCCTGTGTGCGGTACTTATGACCTATGTCCTGGGATAGTGCATGCTTATGCTTGGAGATTGTAGGATGCAGGAGCATTGTCATGTATAGAGTGTAAAGTGTCATGCTGGTTCCATTGGTCGTAGCTTATCGTGTGCAGCGTGGGCATGTGCGCCCCAGATAATGTGGGGGTGAAGTATGGGGATATGCAACCACGCTGTGTGCCCCTTACCTAGGGGGCAGCAGGGGTGGGTGCGGGGGAATGTTATGCCATTTGGTGTTCGCTTACGTGCTTAACAGCCTAGTCTGCCCTTGCTTGTGCCGGGCTCGTGTCTGTGTGGGCATTGTGTGGTGTTGCCATGTTTGAGCAAGAGGTTAAAAACACTTTACAGAAGTAACACAAACTGGGTCAGAATCAATTTGAGGAGGCGTTCCTCGGGGGTTTGCACCCTGCAGTCACTGTGTTTCTGGACCTGGGTTCCTCTCTCTCGGGGTGAATGGATTGACAGTGGCGGGGTGCCATGTGGTCGCCTGCTGCTTGGAGGTGTGGGTGGGTGGAGCAGACCCAATGCACCCAGAAAAATCTGTGCGTCTCCCATATGGGGTAGCTTATGTACAGTCCCATTTTGAGTCACTACTAAGGAGCCGTTTGCTCCCCAGCGGTATGCCAGTCCTGCGTTTCTCAGTTGGGTTGTGACCGGCCAGTAGCTTTTACGGATCTGGAGAGTGGCTCTTGTAAGATCTTGGTAAAACGTGAGGCTTGAGTTCTCAAATGTGAGCAGTGCCTTGTCTTTTATTGCCACCATAATTTGGAGCTTGTCAGGCAGCGTGATGCATCTAAGAATGATGTCTCGTGCCGTGGTTGTCATGCGTTGGGTAGTGCTTGGGAGGCGGTATACACTGTCTATGTTTATGCGTTTGGCCACAGTATGTGACATGATGGTTGTCAATAGTCTTCTAACGTAGTGTGGCAGTTCTCCCGCAGTGACCATTGAGAGAATGCCCCTGATCTTGATATTCGTGCACCTCTGGCGGTCTTCCAGGGTTGCGAGTCGGAGTGACAGTATCTGGTTTTGGGTTTGAAGCTCTTGTACAGAGGTATCTACATTGGTTAGGTGGGTTTGTACTGTGAGTATTTCCTCCTCTGATGCCCACACTCTCTCAGTGACCGCCTGTACCTCCGTCTTTAATTGCACGGAGTCCGCCGCCAGTAGCTTATGGATTTCTGCCAGAAGGAGTTTTAGGTCCCTTTTTGTGGTGGGAGCTGAACATCTGGCTGTTCTTGCTGCTCAGCTTGGAGGATTTGTGGTGCCTGTGAGCTCTCAGGTCTGTCATAACCTGTTGCTGTGCCCTTGTCCCTAATTTGCATGCCGTCTGTGGGAGTGGATCTGTTATGTGCAGGCCTTTGCAACATGGCCCCTATGTACTGGCTGTCTGCCTGATTTTGGGGCACTTGGGAGCGCCAACCTTTGCCTGGCATTGGAGCTGAGGAGACTGGTGGTGTCTGGAATTGCGGGCTGTGTGCTCCGCTCGCTGTGAGGCTTCCCAGAATTTCCTCCAGGCCGTAAAGCGCTCGGTAGGCCTCAGGCCTGTGCTTCCTCTTTGTTGTTTTCTGCGCTTGAAAAAAAAAAGGCATCAGTCGGTTCCGTTTGCCCTGCTGGGTCCGGCTCGGTATGTACCATGTCTGGATTGCGGTGAGTTTTGTTGATTTAGACCGGATTAAGTTTGTGGGCAGAGGAGCATCTAGAAATGGCGTTCGATTGGGTCAGTGGTTAGGCCCCGCCCCCATTAAATGGTCTTTCTAAAGATACCATTATTTTCATCATATCATAATTTACTATAGAAAATTACAAAATATGATTTAAAAAAAAACCACTTTTTCTAACTTTGACCTCCAAAATCTGTTACGCATCTACAACCGCCAAAAAACAACCATGATAAATTATTTCAAAATTTTGTCCTGAGTTTAGAAATACCCAATGTTAAAGGGACACTATAGTCACCAGAACAACTACAGCTTATTGAATTTTTTCTGGTGTGTAGAATCATTACCTTCAGGCCTTTTGCTGTAAACACTGTCTTTTCAGAGAAAATGCAGTGTTTACATTACAGCCTAGTGATAACTTCATTGGCCACTCCTCAGATGGATGTTCGAGATCCTTCCTGGGTCATGGCTGCCTAAAATGCATCAAAACATTCAGAGTCTCCTCCCTCTGCATGGAGTCACTGAACTTTCCTCATAGAGATTCACTGATTCAATTCATCTCTATGATGAGATGCTAATTGGCCAGGGCTGTGTTTGAATCATGCTGGCTCTGCCCCTGACTCCTTGTCAGTCTCAGCCAATCCTATGGGGAAGCATTGTGATTGGATCATGCAATCACTTCTGATGATGTCAGCTCAGCAGATTGCTTGGTTGTTTTTTTTTTTTAGACAAACAGCATGCAGAGCTACAGCTTGTGGCTTGAATACAGTAAGATTTTGCTATTTTTAGGGAGGCATGAGGAGCCGAGGGGGGCTAGATGGTGGTTTTAACACTATAGGGTCAGGAATACATGTTTGTGTTCCTGACCCTATAGTGATCCTTTAACATGTTCTTAGCTTTTCTTTTTGCCAAGTTATAGGGCTATAAGCACAAGTAGGACATTGCTGTTTCAAAATATATATTTTTAAAATGTATCAATAGTGACATTGTAACACTTATCGGTATAAATCTCTGAATCACACCTCACATGTACATATTTTTTTAAAGTAGACAACCCAGGATATTCAATATGGGGTATGTCCAGTCTTTTTTAGTAGCCACTTAGTCACAAACACTGGCCAAAGTTAGCATTTATATTTGTGTGTTAAAAATGCAAAAAACCATTATGAATGCTAACTTTGGCCACTGTTTGTGACTAAGTGGCTACTAAAAATAACTGAACATACCCTATTTGCAATACCTTGGATTGTCTTCTTTTGCAAATGGTATGCCATCATGGGGGTAAATCGCATCCCTGGACTACCATACGCTCTCAAAGGCAACATAACCAATCCGGCAAATTTCAATGTGAAAAACGGAAAGGCAAGCCTTATATTTGACCCTGTAACTATCAAAAACACTATAAAACCTGTACATGGGGGGTGGGGTACCGTCAGAGAGATAGCCAATAAAAGCTGGATTAACCATGCAATGTAAAAATAGTTTCTCTGAAACTGCTATGTTTTCAGCTGCAGCGTTAAAACTAGGGGCACCTGGCACCCAGACCACTTCATTGAGCTGAAGTGGCCTGGGTGCCTATAGTGGTCCTTTAATTATGAAAATATATTACATAAACATATATACATATTTGAATATCTGAAGTCTACATGTATATTTATGAAATTATTTATGTAATTATGTATATATCGTATTATTAAATCTGCACACCAGTCAAGCCATAAGACTTGTTCTTCCCATAGAAATCACAAATCTGCAGTGATGTTACTACCACAAAGGATTCTGGGTGGGCTTATACAAATTAGTTTAACAAAGAATCACATTTTTTCCTCATTTCATTTTAACCCCGTAAGGACACATGACATGTGTGACATGTCATGATTCCCTTTTATACCAGAAGTTTGGTCCTTAAGGGATTAAACATGTGTTTGCTGTATACAACAGCTTTGAAACACAACTTAGGAAAAGATGCACAGCTGATTAACCACTCATAGACAGCTGTTTCATTGTTAATGCAAATCATCAGCATGAGGTTGGTTACTGGTTTGCTTACAAAGGTCTGGTAGTGGGAAGCAAAAACCGAAAAAGTTATGGTTGGGAAAAAAAATTTGATTGAAAACTCCTTCCACCTGAAGTCTGTGGATAGTTAATACAATGTTAAACAAGAATCTGCACACCAGTCAAGCCATAAGACTTGCTTGAGTTTGTTTTCCTGGCACTATAGCAGTCCTTTAAACACTTTAGGTGTTGGGACTATTTGTATCTTTTTCTGTTTTTTGTTATTGATATTGGGGTTAAGCCCCTAGAGACCCCTGGAGTCTCATCTCGGTACTTAACATAGGTGGACACTCCCGGCACTGTCCCTTTGGGTATAATGTTTCTGGTGGTGCCCAGTATCTAATTTCTGCTCGCTCAACTTATATTATCACTGATGAATTGAACTGCTACATGGGACAAACTAGACCAGATTCAGAGTGAGGGCTCTATTTTTCCTCCTCTTGGAGCTACCACCATCAAGAAGTGTCAATCCCCCAGCCATCACCAGTGACGGCTGCAGGCAATTGGCTCTATGGATCCCGCTGTCTCTTCCTTAGATCTCAATGTTGTCTCTCACACATTCTCGAGAGTACAACAGTGACATCAGCTCCTTGAACAGAAAAGGACAATCTGGAAGAGGATAGCAACACACACGAGGGACTGATTCAAATAAGAAATCCCACTTTTGCCTGCCCCTCCTGGCATGCAATGTCTCGGTCAAGTGTATTTGCAAATTATGCAAAGTCCCCAGACAGTAAAAGTTAAAGGGACACTCCAAACCCATAAAGCACTTTAGCTTATTAAATGCTATATGTTTGAAGAGTGTGTCCTTTTTTTATTTTATTTTACAAAAAGTGTACATTTAAATAGAAATTGTCACTTTTATAAATTAACCTTATTACACCTCATAAGCTGTCAACCACCCCTGTTACTTCCTGGTTTGTTTAGCTCGGTGTTGCTAAACTCAAGAGGCATGCAATTGCCCAGATCATCTGCCTTGCAAAGACTTCTCCTCCAACGGCTTTGGGAAGTCTGCAATTGGACAGACACAAACACTCTGGGCGAGAAACATGTGTGGGATTGCAAAGGCTGCAGACAAGAGAACTGCAGCTTTTGCAAGCAGTCTTCGTATACACGCTAAAAAAAATGCATAATTAAATGCGTGCATGGTTTAATATGGGAGTATATTTACTGAGCAGTGATATTTATTCATATTTCTTTTATATATGGGCAGTGGGGGGATCCCTTTAAACAGTGGTTTCTATGGCAGCCCAAGCTACCTATGACCTTTTCTGGCAGAATGTGGTTGCCCATATTGCACACTAATTTTCTTGTACCTGTGAATCTTTTGTTGCATTTTACTAAGATTGTAACAGTACTATGAGATTATCACAAATATTTTCAATTGAAATGTTTACAACATTACCACTACAACCTTGATATATTAGATCCAGCTTTCTAACCACTAAAAGGCATGCACCTGTACTGCAAACTTACACATGATGAGAGAGATAAAGGGTTGTGAGAGTTGTAGTCCATAAGAGTAGGGCATATTCTGTGTGTGTTTATTACTGTATTCACTGCACTAACTGGCTCCATGCACAATGTATCTCTATACAGTGACTCTCCTAATATAAAGTGTATTTCCTTACCAGCTGTAATGAGTGAAGACCTGCACTATCCCTCCAGTAAGCTCATAGATGGACTCCTGGGCACACAGCACTCCCACTCTGCAAGTGATAACAGGCAGTTTGTCCTCTGCCCTCCCACTCAGGCTAAACAGAAATGAAACCTCCCGCCATTCCCAGGAAGATAGACCGCTCTCACAAACCTCCGCGCGCCCCTGCGACACCACGGACGTGCGCGCCCCCGACAACATACGCTCTGTCATTCAGCTCGACTACCCCGTCCTGGACATTGTCATCCAAACACCAGCTGTAAAGACGGGGCTTTTACCAAGTCACATGACATTTATCAAAACTGTATATAACCCGCTTGCCGGCGTTTGTATTTGTAAGGGTGAGAAACGTGGCTGACGTTACCGCTGCTTTGAAGTGTGCCAGGCCAGCTCAGGGGCGCTGGTGACGTCACCCGTCAATCTTTCTGCCAGTGTCTCCGACGGTGCAGGGCAGCTGTTCCGCGACCGCCATGTGCACGTGGACTCCAAACTCGTTCAAGGCTACTGGGTTAGCTCCACAAACATGGCTCCTGTAAAGGAGCCACCTGAGATAATGTTTGTTCTTATTACTCACTTTGAGACCAGAAATTTCACAAACAAACCCAGCCGGCCAGTCATCATATGTGTGTGTATTTTTATTTTGTTTTATCCTTTTAAATTAAAGGACCACTATAGTGCCAGGTAAACAAACTCGTTTCCCTGGCAGTATAGGGTCATTAGGTCCCCCCCTCCCGCTGGGCTGAAGGGGTTAAAACCCAGTCAGCCACTTATCTTTATCCAACGCTAGGCTCCCTATGATGATGGTGACCTCTCCTCCCCCTCCAACGTTGGCTCCCGGAGCTGAATGCGAATATGCAGCAAGAGCCGCACGCGCATTAAAAACACCCATAGGAAAGCATTACTCAATGCTTTCATATGGACTTCAGCATCTTCTCACTGTGATTTTCACAGTGAGAATTGCAGAAGCAGCCTCTAGTGGCTGTCAGTGAGACAGCCACTAGAGGCTGGATTAACCCTGCAGTGTAAACATAGCAGTTTCTCTGAAACTATGTTTTCAGCTGCAGGGTTAAAACTAAAGGGACCTGGCACCCAAACCACTTCATTGAGCTGAAGTGGTCTTGGTGCCTATAGTGGTCCATTGAGAAATGCTTTCCTATGGACTGTTTGAAGGCGCCTGTTAAAAAAAATAAAAAATCCCTGCTTTAATGAACAATTACAGTGTATCTTAGATTGTGAATATGTATTACTGGAACTGTTTCAATAAACTTTAATTAAGCTGTGTAAGATGATTTACTCATTCTGTTCTCAGATATTGTACCAGTGGCTAAACTGTTGTAGACAAAAATATTAACCCAATCCATGTTGGTAAAATGCCTATTTACTCAATATAACTACAATCAGCATTATTCAACTTACTATGTGATTTACCTAAAAAGGCCACTAGGGAGTTTCCCTTTTTGACATCAACTAACACCCTCATTAACAAGATGGGGCTGGAATCTGGGGGAGACCTCCAAGATACCAGTGACATCACACCCGGTAGGAAGAGCAATAAATGTCCCCTCAGAATAAACTTTCCTCAAGTTTTTCATTAACCGGAAACCTGTGTCTGGTGTGAATTACTTTAGGAGCGTGCACGCATTACTTCTTAATTTGGCCGGGGGCAGATACGCAAGATAATCAATTTATTAATTGATTCCACATTGACCAAACTAATATAGTGAGGTCCCTGGCGCAATAATCTTTTTGGGCCCTTCCTACCGCAAGGGTGGCCAAAAAGGTAGATCCACAGCATTGTACAAGTTCCACAATGCTTTGCCACCCGGTATCCACCACTTGCCCATCCTTGCAGAGTCTTATTTATCAGTGTTTGAATGTAAGCTTGTTTTTGTATGCAGTAAGAGTGTGTGAATGTAGGGGTGCATTTGTATGTACTTTTGGCATTTGAATGCAGTTATGTGTTTTTATGTACTCTTGCCTTTTGAAAGCAGTGGTGTACTTGTATGTAGTTTTTTCTTTTGACTGTAGGCGTTCGTTTGTATGTAGGGTTGCTGCTTAAATGCAGGCATTAATTAGTACCTGCACTCACTACCTCCCATCATTTGGCTGCCGAGGTTAGAGGTGCCTGGTTGCGCTGTTAAAGGGCTGCAGCACATGACTGGGCCCCTGAGAACAAATGCTTATTGTGGTTACCCTAAGTGTATGGGACCCCTCTGCAGGCGGTCCTAGGTGCAGCCACGCCGGCTGCACAAGTGGTAGTTCCCCCGCTGACCTATTGAAAGTAGCAATAATGAAAAGGAACACTACAAGCATCGGGAGCCATGGCTCCCCCAAATTAATTTGTCAAATCTTTCAGGCCTGACACCCATCCCGATTTGACCAGGGAACTGTCCCCAGACAGCACAGTGTGAGTGCATCATTCATACCTGTCAATCTTCACTGCTCACCTTCCAGGACAGAAATGGGCAGGGGTGCAGACCTGCCCCTATAAAGGGTGGCCAGACTTACTGACAGCCTGTCACCTTAAGCAGGCCAAGAACATAGTCCTAGTGCCCACTCGCCTCCTGCATTTTGAAATCTGCCAGGGGATTTCAAAATGTGGTAAAAGGAAACCCAAGCACACCAGAAATTTTTCTTCATATAAAAAGTATTTTATTCATATAGTGGATAAGCATAAATTGTACAGTGAAAGTGCAGATAATAGTACAGGTATGTAAACAACACTTGGCATACCAATAACCACTATATATGCAATATAAAGTGCTCAGGAAAGAAACCCATAATAAACCAGGCATACTGACCCAAGAGCAGGAGACAATAGGACCCCAACGTTTCGGCAACCAAGCCTTCCTCATGGGGAATGTCTAACATAATGGTCTCACTTCCTACTAATATACCCAAGAAATAACCATGGGATAATAGCCCTATTATCAGGGCAGACCTTCAGATGATAAGGGCGGACATACAAGGTATGGCGGACCGCATGGCCCAGATAGAGGCAGACCATGATACCCTCACAGCAGCGCAGGCAGCCCAAACTTCAAGCCACTCACGACAAAAAACCCAAATGCAAGCCATGGCTAGACATATAGAAGATTTGGACAATAGGTGCTGCAGACAAAACCTGCGAATACGGGGCCTACAGGAAGGCGAGGAAACACCCGCCCAACTTAAAAGCATACTCACAGCCATTTTCAATTATCTCTTGAACCGCCCCAGGGAGACCCCCATAGAGTTCGTCACGGCCCACAGAGCGCTAAGACCCAGGGGTCCCCCTGAGGCACCGCCATGTGACGTGATCTGTTGCCTAGCAGCATATGCCCTAAAGGAAGAAAGCCTACACGAAGCCTACAACAGAGGAGAAATCACCCACGAAGGTCAACACCTCCAACTTTACCCTGACCTATGCCCAGCCACATTGGTATATCGTAGGGCGCTAAAACCACTCACCAGAGTGCTAGTGGCCCATGGGGGGTTGGGGAGGGGAAAAAGGGTATGGTCAAAGGTACACCCCAGAATAATGGGGAGGAAAAGCTGCAAGGGCTCGGGGAAGACACCACCTGACGGTAGCCTGGGCGGACCAGGTTAGAACTGAAGGAGGGGCCCTCTCACACACCACTGACACTCACCCAGTGGAACACCAACAAGCGGGACCCCCAATCTTCAGAATAGGTGAGGGGGGGGACTGGGTGGCAGGCTTGAGACCACCATGACGCACATTACTAACTCACCAACTAACGGGGCCACCCATGTCATCACATCCCAGTCCAACAGGGAGGTAGACAGGAGAAGAGGGTAGGGGATGGCCAAAGCAATATCCACACACCTTGACACTCACTTAGGGTACGGGGAGGTGACTGGAGGTTGGGTCCATGGAGCTACAATCCCACCTGTACTGTCTAGATAGCTTCGGGGCAAGGGGGGGCCAGGGGACGCAAGAGACCCCAGACAGAAGGACCTACCACACTCGGCCCTCTAGAAGGGAATCCCCGGGTGACACCGACCACCGGGCTCCGAACTGGGGACTAGGAATGCCCTTTGGGGTGTAAGAGAAAAAGGGCCATGCTCCCAGCGGACAGGGGTTGTACGGATCACGGCGGGGGGACTTGACTGTGCCGACTGAAGCGGCGGAGCCGACTCCTACCTAGCCTACACCCTAGTCTTTCTTGGCCAATTATCACTGTTTATTGTTGACGGTTACTGTTAAATTTGTTATTTCCTGCTGGGTGTCACGATCGCTCACAGGGACAGGGGATGATCCCACACCCGCAGACCTGCCCACAGGGCGTACACAAGCTTTCCCCGAACTCCCCAACCCCACCCACTACATCTTAATAACCTAGAAACGTGACCACCATGCCGCCTCATACTACACACAAACAAGCAGAGATTAAATTTCTCTCCATTAACGGCATTGGGCTGTCCTCAAAGGTTGTGTTAAAAATGCAATTTGTGTGTTTATTCTCATGTATAGCTAAAAATTGTATGTAGCATTCGCATGATGGTTCGGTAGTTTCATCCGTATTCCATACGAATGAAAACTACCAAACCATTAGACCTCCCCAGAGAGAAGTGTGCACCTTATTAGGCTTTCACACTTCTCTAACCGCAAGTTAATGAGTGCAATCGGTACTTTGTATATGTATCTGGGTGGCCGCGGTTCGGGAAATGAACGGGTGGCGGCGGCCATCTTACGCACGAAAAACTCAGCGGTGTTTGGTCGTCGAGTGTCTGGAACTCAAATTGGACACTCAATTACCCGAACATCGCTGAGACCTCCAGAGCTCCGTAACTCCCGAACGGAGGGGCCAACCATCCCCTCGTTCGGTGAATTAAAAGTACCGAACAAGGGTATTCATGCGAATACCGATTTAATGGTGGATGTCAAGTATTACTATTTATTTTATCTCCCGAACGGAGACCGACCGCAGGGCCAAAACACATGGAGCCCTTTTCGGCTACCACCTCATGTGCGGTAGGTGAAATTGTCTCTTCCACCTAACTCCCGAACCCCTGGTCCGATCTGGGTGAATTTTGAATATGTTGGTCACCGAGATCGGGGCTACCAGGGGGTGCCACTTAGATAATTGTACCTAACTGTTTTGGGGTACATCCAGAAACCGGGTAAAACTGTATCATATATAAGTGGATTATGTGTCACACTCATTGGCGGATCCAGGGGGGGGGCAACGGGGCAATTGCCCCCCCCCGAGAAATCCGCCGGTCTCCCTCTCCCTCCCCTGCCAGCCGTGCAATGTGCCTGCGGACCGGGGAGGAAGATCAGAGCTCTCCCTCCCCGGTCCGCAGGCACCGTGCTTACAGCCGGCGGGGGAGGGAGGGAGTGAGAGAGGACCCGGAGCTCAGTCTGCAGCTCCTCCGGGTCCTCCTCGCTCGAGATTTGGAGCGTTGCCGCGGTTACCACGGCAACGCTCCAAATCTCGCGAGAGTGAACTCTAGCCCGGGAGCGCGGGCTAGAGTTCACTCTCCCCACTGGGACCACCAATGAATCACCACTGGGACCACCAGGGATCGAAATATGTCCCCCCTCCTCCCCAGTAAAGGTAAGAAGGGAGGGGGGACATAGGATATTTGTTTTATTAAATAAAATTAAAAAAAATATTATTTAAAAGCCTCCTTCCCCCCCCCATTACACACACTGCCCCACAAGCACTGTCCCCATACACACACTGCCCCCATACACACACTGCCCCACAAACACTGTCCCCCATACACACACTGCCCCACAAACACTGTCCCCATACACACACTGCCCCACAAACACTGTCCCCATACACACACACTGCCCCCATACACACACTGCCCCCATACACACACTGCCCCATACACACACACACTGCCCCACAAACACTGTCCCCATACACACACTGCCCCACAAACACTGTCCCCATACACACACTGCCCCACAAACACTGTCCCTGACATACACTGCCGCACTCACACACTTCACCCTTAACACACACCACTGCTCCTATATCCCAGCAGACCCCAGGTAAGTTGTCAAACTGTTCTTAAGCGGTATGACTACTTACTCTGGGGTGGAATCCTGGCACTACTGACACCATAACTACTACACTGAGCTGTAGTGGTTATTGTGCCTGGATTATTTATTTAAATAATCTACAAGTGCCCCTCCCGAGATCAGGCTCTGGATCCGCCACTGGTCACACTGAGGGGAGGAGATGTATGGGAGGTAACTATTGTACTATTGGCTACTGTACCAATTAATGTGAATCCCTCCCTTGCATGTGAGAAACCTTTAAAAGGAGTTTGTGTGATTAAAAGTTGAGTTCTGCTCCTGATGCTGTGTGTCGTCCAGTCATTGGGATTGATGTTGGGATATTGTTGGATTGTTTTGCCTGCTGGAATTATTGCCTTATGGATTTATAATACTTGTTCCTGAGCCTTACTGGGATCTTAAGTGGAGTTAACCTCTGGAATATCAGCTCTCCTCTACATACCCAAAAAACATTCACATGCTCTGCGTCACTTTCATAGCCAGAGGTCACATGTAGTATTCATCCAAGAAACACATTTTAAGGAGGGCCAGGTGCCCAGACTGATGGATAGACACTATGCAAAGTGTTTTCTTAGTAATAACCCAGATTGGAAGTCCAAAGGCACGGCAATACTGATCCACAGGTGGCTACATTTTGCTCACACAGACGTACTGAGGGACAACCACAGACGCTATATCTGCGTTAAAGGAACAATAGCGAACCGCACATACACATTCGCGAACATATATGCCCCTAATAAACACCAACACCATTTCCTGCGCACAGCACTCAAGGCTGTGGAAAGGTTCACGGAGGGCTGTTTGGTCATTGGAGGGGACCTAAATGTAGCCCTGACACCGACCATGGACACATCCATGGGGTCCTCCATGACTCCTCAGCACATTTTAACTAACATAGCGAAAACGCTGAACGAGAGGCGACTGGTAGATTGCTTGAGGGTAATGCATCCTGTAGACCGAGACTATACCTTCTACTCTATCCCCAATAAGACGTACTCCAGAATAGACTACTTCCTCATCCCACATTACTACCTGACCGATATTCGATGAACTGACATTGGTACAGCGACATGGTCTGACCACGCCCCGATTATGATGACACTGATCTCCCCACTTTACAGACCCACATGCAGCAACTGGAGACTAAACAAATCCCTCCTAAACGACCCAGTAGTGACAGCCGAAGCTACGGACAGACTGACGCTATACTTTACGGAAAATGACACACCTGATGTCACACCTCTCTGCCTATGGGAGGCTCATAAAAGCGTAATGAGGGGCCACTTCATAGCGAAAGGCGCCGCAATGAAAAAAGCTAGAGCCACCAGGCCAAAAACCTTAATAGCAGATATACAGACACTGGAACACAGACACAAACAAACCCACCTACCAGCAGACTGGACACAACAGACGGAAATACGGAGGGAACTTTCCTCCATACTAAGCGCTAATCACCACAGAGCATACCTACAATCTAAGGCATTCTTCCACACCAACGCTAACAAATGTGGTGCCCTACTTGCCCGCATGATTGCCAAAAAGAGAGTGGCAGCCTACATCCCCAGGATCAAGGACAGAGACGGGAGGGTGCAATGCAGGCCAGCCGAGATGGCCAACGCTATTCGGACATACTATGCGGACCTATACTTGCTCGACCCACACAGGGAAGAGGGGGACAAGGCAGACAGAAAGACAAGCATAACACAATATCTAGACCGCTTGCCCTGATCCATACCGCAACAACCAGAAAGGAGGGTCTTCTCTTGCTCTACGCGGAGAAGGCCTTCGACCAGATCGCATGGGATTTCATGTTCAAGGTCCTTGAAACGCTGGGGGCGGGCCATTCATGATGGCCTGGATCAGGGCACTGTACTCACGGCCGACAGCACGGATCTGCATAAATGGGGCCTTCACCGACCCCTTTCCGATAAGGAATGGGACCAGACAGGGGAGCTGTCGAACTTTAAAATCAGCTTCTCCAAATCCACGATCCTCAATGTCTCCGTCCCAGGACCCAGAGCAAATGCTGTTTTCAATGGTCCGACAATGGTCCGACACCTCCCTGAAATACCTCAGCACGGTGCTAACGAAACACCTCGCCCAACGGCTAACTTTCAACCGCTGTTAAACACCTTACAGAAAGACTTGAAGGAATGGGAGCTGATTCGCCTCTCGTGGTTTGGAAGAGTGGGAGTGCTCAGAATGAACATCCTGCCGAGGGTTCTTTACTTGTTCCAGGCCATCCCTGCTGCCATCCCGGAGGCCTTTTTCACCTCTCTTAGATCGATGGCCCTCAGGTTCACCTGGCAGAAGCAGAAGGCTAGAATAAAACATGACGTTCTCACACTGCCGAAAGTCAAGGGAGGACTAGCCCTGCCAGATTTTAAGAGATATCATAGGGCCACACACATCCAAAGGATAGTGGAGTGGACCAAACAGAGAGTGACGAAACTCTGGAAGGATGTTGAGTCAGCACAAGTGGGGAGACCGATAGCGGTTCTTCCCTGGCTGGACCACCAACAAGGTAGGCAACTGGCAGCCCCACACCCCCTAATTAAAGCAACCATGCAGGTATGGCATGCAATGGCTGCACCGCTCTCACTTACCACCACACTGTCCCCAATGCTCCCCCTGACCCATAATGAGGCCTTCCCACCAGGAAGGGAACCGAAGACACTGGTTCAACTAATCGGACATTAAATACCAAGACTCTGCCATGCCATGGACAAAGGCCAAATCAAAACACTAGAGCCCATTACGGGGAACAACACTCACTCATTCATGCTACAATTCAGATACCGACAACTGAAAGGGTTCACGCAGGTGACCACTCAAAACAATCACACTCTAAGACCTCTAACGGCATTTGAAGAGATCTGTCTGGACCCAGACCCAATGGTGAGGGGCCTCTCCATGCTCTACAGCATGATCGGGCGGATAAGGAGACTACCACCCCAGGCTTCATGGGGAAATGGGAAGCAGCTCTAGGCACCACATTCACACCTAAACAATGGGACAAAATATGACCCTCTCACTTCACTGCACACCGTCCAGTGGGACGCAGGAAACAGCATACAAAGTCCTAGCCCTCTGGTATCGCACCCTGCTTAACACACACATATACGATACCACGGCGGACGACACGTGCTGGAGATGCACAAGACACATGGGTACAAACCTCCACATATGGTGGGACTGCTCAACCATCCAACCATTCTGGGCGAACATCTACACAATCATAAAAAGGTTCACAGACACACCACCACCCCTGAACCCTGCGACATTTCTCATCCACCACACCACGACAAAGACAGCAACTTACAAAAAGTCCCTAACAATCAGAATACTTAACGTGGCCAAAAGCCTAATCCCTCTCTACTGGAAAAAACAAAGCGCACCACCCTAGCGATGTGGTACCAACGCATGGAGGAGCTCAGGGCGCTAGAAGAGCTCTCCCTACTGGCAGAAGAAGACGCAGACATATATGACGATCTGGACACATTGGATTCTGACTACTGCTTGCGCGGACTTTCAGGACATGTTGAACTGACTGAGGACAACAGACAAGACAAAGGGCTAACAAAACCGAAAAAAAAACAAAAAACAAACAAAAAAGAAAACCTGTAGGACATAAAAACCACCCTGACTTTCCCTGCTCGGTAGGGAGCAACACGCTAATAGTTATAAAGTAAGCTACGAACCACCCCTGCCACAACAGAAGACCCAGAAAGGCTACAGTAACTAAACACTAAGGGGAACGGCCTATTCAAACATACACGCTTTAGGACCTGCAAGTCCAATCGAGAAATGTTATTTGTTGTTACATGGTGACTTTTACGCCACCACTGTTGATTTTTGAGTCCACTATATTTCACATTATCCATTGATACGTACCAATACTGGACCTGCGTGTCCACACCGACGGTTTCATTTAAAAAATTAAAAAATTAAATAAAATATTGAATAAAAAGAAATTCACAAAAAATACTTTTTATATGCAAAAAAAATTTCTGGTGTGCTTGGGTTTCCTTTTACTATGATTTATGGATCTGGTTGGGGATCAGATTTTCCCTTAAAGCACCTGGTTATTCTTTCCTATACTATTATCCATATTAACAGTTTGAGCGCTTACTATACATTTTCTTTACAAATATGATTTCAAAATGTGGGACAGCTCCCAGGCATCATTTTTTTTTTACATTGGCAGCCAGTTCTAACCCCCATATAACTAATGAGAGGACAAAATCATCTCTTACCCCAACCAACATTCTGCAGATGGAGGCACATTCCCTAAATAAGAAGTAGCCAGCATCTGCTCAGCTGCTAAAGGAACCTTCTAGTCATCATTATCACTTAGTCTCAATTTAGCGGTTATAATGAATGGAGTCACAGGCGATATCTTATTTTCAAGTATTAAACTGTTTTTGAATGTACAACCAAAGGACTAACCCAGGATGGCAGGACAGGGTCTTGCTGACCTCTGAACAATTGGAAGCTAGACTTGTGCAATTCGTTTAGTTCCGAATGTATATTTGGAAGAATTTCATGCAATTCAGATGCTTACGAATGCCCAAAGTGACAAAGTGCGGTAGTTTGGAAGTTCCGAATAGCCAAAGTTCCGAAGTGCTTCAGATTTCTGAAAAGTGGCAAAACAAGAGAAAGGGAGGGAAAACTATGTAAATTATTACAGGAATTTTGACCAATAAGCTAATTCCTGGCACTGGGAGCCCTATAGATGTGTAAGTGGTTTTTATGGTAGTCCTGGCACTGAGAGGCGAGAGCCCTATAGTTGTGCAAGTGGTTGTGGTGGCAGTCCTGACACTGGGAGCCATACAGATGTTGTGATAATAATATTCCATATTAATTAAGAATGATTGATTGACAGTGGTGGCTCTAGACTTGGCAAGGCCTTAGGCGAAACTCATACATGAGGCCCCCACTAACACCATTATTGGAAAAAATAGCAGTTGACTTGTGTGTGTATAAGAAGCTGTAGATACATTGAAGGGGAAACTTGCAGTACCAGATATAGAGAGCTAGTCTTTGTGTACATCGTTGCATTGTCTAACTGTGTGTGCCTGAGAGTGTGTGTCTGGCAATAAGTATCCTTGTATATGTATATGTATTTTTCTCTGAGCAGAGTAAGAGGGGGGTGACATAATAAGAGGTAGGAGTCAGAGTGAGGTGACTGAGTGAGAGGGGGGGTGACATAGTGAAGGTGGGTGACAGAGTAAGAGGGTGGGTGACAGAGTGTGAGGGGGTGAGAGAGTGTGAGGCTGGTGACAGAGAGAGGTAGGGATTACAGAGAGGGGGGTAACAGAGTGAGAAGAGGGTGACATAGTGTGAGGGGGTGACAGAATAAGAAAAAGTGACAGTGTGAGGTGGGATGACAGTCAGTGGCATACACACAATCCATGGGGCCCCGGTGCGAAACTGGTCGATGGGGCCCCTCCCCCTCTCTCCCCCCAACAGACAGAGACACACACATACATACATACATACAGACACACATACATAGAGACACACACACATAGACACATACAGACAGACAGATACATACACACATACATACACACACAAGATACACATACATACAAAGAAATACATACAGACACACATACATACATACACACAGACGGACAGACACATACAAACACACAGGCACATACATACAGACAGGCATACACACAGACACACACACAAGACACAAATACATACAAAGACACATACATACATACAAACAGACAGGCACACATACAGACAGACAGACACACACACAGACAGACACACACATACACATAAACACACATACATACACACAGACACACAGACACACAAAGACACATACATACACACACACACACAAGACACACATGCATACAAAGACACATACATACATACAAACACACACACACACACACAGACACACATACATACAAACACACACATATACAAAATATTTTAGTCATCCTCCTGTTTCCTACCTTTTAGGTGCAGGAGGGTGACATTCCCTGGGGTCCAGTGGTGGCACAGGCTGGTGGGAGTCATAGTTCCCACCAGAGAGGTGACAGAGTAAGAGGGGAGTGAGAGGTGACAGAGTAAGATGGGGGTGACAGGGTGAGATTTGGGGTGATAGGGTAAGAGGTGGGGTGACAGGGGGTAACAGGGGTTACAAGGTGAGGGGGTTGGCGGGCGACAGGTGGGGTGGCAGGGTGAGAGGGGTGGCAGGGTGAGAGGAGGGTGACAGGTGGGGTGGCAGGGTGAGAGGGGGTGACAGAGTAAAAGGGGGTGACAGGTGGGGTGGCAGGGTGAGAGGGGTGACCGAGGGGGGACAGGTGGGTGGCACGGTGAGAGGGGTGACAGAGTGAGGGGTGGCAGAGTGAGGGGGGGTGAGAGGGGGAGGACAGGGTGACAGGTAGGGTGACATGGTGAGGGGGGGTGACAGGTGGGGTGGCAGGGTGAGAGGGGGGTGACAGGTGTCCTGGCTCCTCGGTGGTCCGGTGGGCTCTCCAGTCTGCAACTCCACCTGATGTAGACCACATGATGAATGTCTCGCGATCTCCAGTCACAGCGTTGCCATGGTAAACCTTGGCAACGCTCTGAATGGCTGGCGATCGCGAGACACTTCAGTCTGCAGCTCTCCCCCAGGGCAGACCGAGCGGAGGGGCCTTGCACTCGGGCCAAAAAGGGCAAGCCACCGGGCACCCTCCAGTGTCGGGTCCTCGGTCATAGACCAACAACCCGACATGTCAGTCTGTGCTATGGCGATTTAGGCAGCTGCGAGGCCCCTGACAGCATGAGGCCTTAGTCGTCCGCATAAATCGCCTAATTAGAGAGCCGCCTCTGTTGATTGATCACTATTGAGCAAATCAAACCTTTATAGATAGTTAAGATGGTGCCGCTACACAGCACTGAAAATGTTAATAAAACCACAAAAAACAGCACCAGAATGACTCATGCATACCATCACGAGATAATTATTAGTGCAAGAGCTAGCTTCTATATAAGAGATAATTAACAGCACAGATCTGGCATAGCATTGTTGGTGGCCTGAACCGCCTGTCCAGCTGCCGGTCCGATCCAATGCTTTTGCAAGGTCTTTGCTGGGCTGCACAGATAAGGAGACTTGGTGGAATAGTTACAGACTATCCCATTGGTAAAGATAAAAAAGACGAGAAAACTTGGCACTCGCTTGGAGTACCACCCACCTGTAATACGGACGCGTATTGATGGTTCTGCTGATTCCAAGTAAGAGAGAGTCCCCTTCATGCCTGACTGACAGAAGTTCTCTCAGTCGAGTGCAGCAAGCTTTTCTTATGGTGATGTATACTTAAGCTGAATATCTAGATAATTAAGCTGTTTCTTTAAGCTGGATGATTACTTACTAATTAAGTCTCTGTTAATCAAAAAAGTTTTTATTGATTATTTACAAGTACTTGGTGTCAGTGTCTTTCCTTTTCTCAAATACTCAATTCACTCATCCCGAATAGGGTTTTGGTGCACATCAATATCTTTTAAAACCTTAGGGTAATTGATAATTGCTTTTTGATATTGGCGCTTCGTGAATTTAATGATTAAGCACAACAGATGTGTATTCAGCTGTCTCTGCGTGTTTTCAGCCGTCTCTGTGTGTGCATTCAACAGTCTATCTAAGGGTGCTGCCCTAGGCATGACAGATCTCGTGCACTCCCTAATTTAAATTTACCTGCCCCTTCCTGCCAAGGCCACACCTCTTCCGGTTAATATACACACATTTTGACTGACAGACACACACTCATGGACCAGCACACACTATCAGATACACTGGAATACACACACATACAATCATTCAGACCAGAGGCGGCTCTAGACTTTATGAGGCCTTAGGCGAAACTCAAACATGAGGCCCCACTAACAAAAAAGTGTCACATATACACATTGAGGCACTGTCTACCTGTGTATGTGCCTGAGAGTGTGTCTGACAGAGAGTATCTTTGTGTGTGTGAATGTATGTCTCTGTGAGCACGTTTGCGTTTTTGTCTGAGACCGTATGTGTATGGGGTAGTTGCTTGAAGTGTGTTGTGTGTATGGGGGGGGGGTGATGGTGAGAGGGAGAGGATGGTGAGAGGGAGAGGGGAGGGAGAGGGGGTGATGAGGAGGGAGAGGGGGGTGATGGCGGGGTGGTGGGAGGCTGAGGGTGGTGGGGGTGGTGATGCTGGGGTGGTGGTGATGCTGAGGGTGGTGAGGCTGGTGGGGGTGGTGAGGATGATGGTGGTGGGGAGGCTGAGGGTGGTGGGGGGGTGGTGAGGCTGAGGGTGGTGAGGAGGCTGAGGGTGGTGGGAAGGCTGAGGGTGGTGGGGGGTGAGAGAGAGCCTACTTTTACTCCCTGGTGTTCCAGTGGGCTCCCTGGTGGTCCGGTGGCCATTGCTTCCGGTCTGCAGCTCCGCAGAGCTGCAGACCATGTAATCTCGCAAGACCATCTCCTGGCCGTGGTAACCCGCGCCAACACTCTGATTGGCCGGTTTTCGCGAGACACATGGTCTGCGGCTCGTCTCACTGCTGAGCTGCAGACCAGTGTCTGCGGTGGCTGGCCGGGCAGCCAGGAGGGGCCTCGCACCCGGCGTCATACCGGGCAAGCCGCCGGGCCCCCTCCTGGTGTCATTCTGCCCACAGGTGGTTAAGGCGGCCGCGAGGCCCCAGCCATTGCGAGGCCTTAGGCGGCCGCCTAAACCACCTAATTAGAGAACCGCCTCTGATTCAGATGCATACACTCACTAACAGACACGTCCACTTACTGACAACATGCACAATCACTCAGACACACACACACTCACTGACCCACACTCCCTCACATTCACTGACACACACACACACATTTTTCCCCCCCAACACTCACAATTATTATTATAATTTTTTTTTACAAATTTAAGTCCACCCAGCCTCCCTACTTTTGGGACAGCTGGGTGGATTTTTCACCCGGGGTCCAGTGGGGCTGCTGGGCAGGAAGGTGGCTGGACGTGTAGGCGGGCAGCCTCTCTAAGTTGTCAACGAGGAAGCTGTGATCTCTCTGCTCAACTCCCTCGCGCGCTGCAAAGTGATGCCGGAAGCCAGACAGACGTCATATTCCGGCTCCCAGGATCACTGCGGTTGTGCAAAACAACTGGCCGCCTGTCGTGGGAGGGCCCAACGGTGGCCAGCCGGCCAGCTGTTGAGCCCCCATAAAACAAGGCATTAGCCTGGGCATTTGTGCGCGGTGTTTTTTGCCACCTCCTGGAAAGTGCCGCCCAAGGCAAATGCCTTGTTTGCCTTGCGATAGATTCATCTCATCGCTGGCAGTATGTGTGTATATTTAGCAGCATGTGGATGTATTAAGAAGTCTGATGGGAGAATGCGGAGTGAAATAGAACAAGACTATCCATCTCTAAATGACATGTACAGTGGGACCTGGTTAACATAATTTTCGGTTTCCAAATGAAATGAATTATGCAAACTAGCCGGTATTTGTCTTTTTACAGTAAAGGAGGCATCCCCAGCTCCTGTGTTGCAATAAATGATTGTGGGCGTGCTGTATAATGTGTTACTGTCATTCCTCTTCGTGTGTCACTTCCTGGGAAAGTGAAAGCCGGTAACACGCTGTCCGTGCTGGCGCTGTTTGTATCCATGTCACTCAGAGCATAGGTGGAGGAGCCAGCGTGAACCAGGCGGGGCGGGGCGGGGCCCCTCCCACTCCCATGAAGCCCGTGACGTATTTAGAAGTATGGACCTGCCCTGGTTGCTGTAACAACACTCCGAGCGTCTGTCGCTCACTCAACAAGCCAGTGACTTGGGCTCCAGGTAATGCGAGCAAGTTTGACCCTGCTGCCCTGCCGTAGACCGGATGACACGCTCCGTCACGTGACTGAGAGAAAGAAGCTGACAGCAGAGAAGGCAGAGAAGTGATCAGTGGAGGGCAGGGGGAGCTGGCTGTCAGACAACACACAGCCTTCAGAATAGACATTGTAAGTAACTATTCATATTATACTTATTATTATAATCACCTCCTCCATCTATATGTTTTGTATATCCCATGTCTTGTATGTTATTCACACAGATTGCTCACTGTGTTACTGGATAGGAGGGGGAAGGATGGATGTAAACAATGGGTGATTCTTAATATAGCTATATGTTAACAACTGCTACTGTTTTACTATTTTTATTTATTAATATATATATTTTTTAAAACATTGTAATTTTTATTTTACGCTTCTTTTACACTTTTGACACTCCAGGTTTATCAAACTTGCCATTGGCAGTTATTATATTGTTGTTACAGTAACCTATTTGTTAATTCTGTAGGTTGTTACATGTACAAGTTAAACAAGGCTATGTTGGTGAAATATACATCTTTAGGTATGCTGATGCAAATTAATTGGTTTCAGACTAGGAAAAATAAACTATAGGATTTATATGAACTGCAGTTGTAAATGAGTGTAAGTATTATTGAAACATAGATCATTTGTTATAACATTTTGGTTTGTATTTTATCATTGTTTAAATGCACATTCTAATGTTGTATTTTTAACTGCTGGGTGTTCCAATTTTGCTTTAAATTTATGCCCTACTTTCCTGTAATTCGGCGCTGGAACAGTCTCCTCTCAACAGTCACTCAACCTTAGGTGATATCATCATCTGTCTTTCAGTCCAATCTAGTGCATCGTAGAGAAGCATTGGGGACTTACGGATCATGTTCAGGAATTCCCACTCTCAGCCAGTGTGATATTTCTCAAAGAAAATTGGAAGCATTTGCATTGTCACGTGCTTTTTTTTATTTTATTTTTTTATTATTATTATAAATTCTGTTCCTTCCCTTTGTCCATCCTCCTGTTAACACTCCATCCATCCCTCTCTCCCTCCTCTAATCTGCTCAGATCACTTATATGCACTCTGAGCCTGTGAGAATGGTCCAATTATATGCATTTGCTTGGACCTCGGAAAGGAGGGTTATGGTGTGATAACAGGCAGGGCGTGGAGACGCTCAAAGAGAACCTCACCTGGCACTAGACTCAAGGTAAAGTGTGTTTTTTTAGTAATATAAATTTTTACTAAAAATGGGTGGGGGGGGGAAGGAGTGTGGACCAAGTGACAAGTGCCCAATAGAACATTATAGAGTAAAAAAAGGAAACTAGAGAAAACGGATTGGATAAACCCTTTAAAAAGGAATTGAATAATGATTTTACAATAGTTTCCAACAAACCGTTTGAAATTGGGAACATGCATATTAAATTAATACACTTAAATTTTAATATATTAAAGGAACTCACTCATTTTCTCTTCTGGTTCAACTCAATCATTAGTTTTTTTGTTTTTTAAATTATTTTAATTTTTTTTAAATTTTGTTTTGTACCCAGGCAGAAGAAACTACAAAACACGTATAAAGAAATTTTTCACAGTCAGGATTATGTAAGTGCATTTCACTTTATCTTGTATACATTCGTGTGTCTGTTATTTCCAATCTATATTCAGAACATCTAACTAGGTCTAAAGGTGTGCCTGAAAATGATTGCATTGGCTTGGAATGTTTTTATAGACTACAATTAGGCTATAGAACGGTGTTTTTGATAACTGTTGGTTGAAAATGTAGTTGTATAATGCTTGATATGATTTTTAGTATGCAAAACTATATTGTTTCATAACAACATTATTATTAAAATTATTTGGATTTTTATTTCTTAAAATTTTGCTATTTTGCATATGTGGGACATTATCTCCTCAACCCCTTCATTTTATTTTCCTTGATCTTTTACACAGGCATTAAAAATTATTGGAAACCAAAAAAGTGTGTAGTGCTTTAGAATAACAAAATTATAAATAGTGCAAAAATTAATTGCGACCAACCCACACAATTATAGCAGCACTCACCAAAAGTGACAAACAAGTGATACATAAAGTAAATGAACCAATAAACAGCGTGCTTAAATTGTGTACACCATAGATTCTTCAAATGTTGTTCTGCAAATGATAAGATAAACATACAAACAAACATAAAGTTACAGGAAGAGCCCTACTGAAAAATGGATAGTAAGTGTGTGGTTTATAAATTACAGGGTGCACTTAAAGGAAAGAAATCTGTTCCCATAACAGATATATACATGTAATAAAAATAAGAACTAATCCCAAGGTTTTGCAAAAAAAGAAAGAGTATTTAGTCATGCATATAAAACACAAAAGCATATCTTTTAAACAGAGAGTGCTAAACCAGTATATAGTACCAAAACCACAGTATAAAATGGGTTTTTGACTGTAACATTTCTAAACTCTGCAAAGATCTGCACCTTAAAGGGACAATATAAGAACCAAAACCACTACACATTAGTGCAGTGGTGCATAGATCTTGTCCCGCAGTATGACATTGTAAAATATTGTAATTTCAGGGAAACAGCAATGTTTACATTTGTCCATAAACACACTTCTTCTAGTGGTTGTTAGATTGACAGCCACTAGAGGAACTTCCTCAGTGAAGGTGTTTAATTATTGAGTCTTTGTGTGTTCTTCTTTTTAGTAATTATGTTTGAAGTGAATTTTATGTTTAACTCTAACTTTGAATGCATTTTAAAACACATTTGGCTTGGCTCCACTGGAGCATCTGCCATTTGTTTTCTTGTTTATTTGGTTCTTCTGATTTATACCTAATATGAGGTGACTCCCTGGTGTGGGGTTACTGGTGAGTATAACGTCATTTTAAAATGTATTTATTTTTATTTATTTTTTTTAAGGAGGTGGGCATAATCTAAAGTGTAAGGAATACACGAACACTAGTTAGTAATTTAATTAATGGTAAATTGCAGCAAAAGCATGAACTGTCCATTTATCTCTGCATATGCCATTGCATAATTTGTTGTTGCGATATATGAATTAAGATATTCATGCATATAATATATTCAAGGTTTAGAGAGCTGAAAAATTGAGCTGCACATTTTAGGCCAAAGTAGAGGAAATAAAATATTATACTTCTAAAAAATGTTTCTAATGTGACTGCTCTAAAATGTTTACTTCCTTGTAATTACCAGCTAAAAAGATACCCCCATTAGTCTCCCAATCTTCTGACCAGGTTTATTATTTGGTGTAGTTTAAATACAAATTTAGTCCACATTGGTAGATTTACCCAGTAATTGCAAGATATTAATTCTTATCTGTGACACCGGTAACAAGGGAACAGAGAGGAATCAGACTGTCTCCTTGGTAGAAGATTATGTAATGACAATATCTGAACCTTGTCAAATTGGTTCTTGTGATATGTTAAAAAGTTGCCAAGGGTGTAATTTTAACACTTGATGTGGTAGTCGTCGAGCCTGTTTTGTATGGGTCATACGTTTTACTGTTCTAACCATTAGCTAAGGAATGTGGGTTAATTACTACCGCCTACATGGTTATATATAACTTTCAACAATAAAGTTACAGAAAACATTCCTATAATGCGGATTTAAGGAAATAGTGCTGACTGCAATTTTTTATTTGCTATGACTTGCCCACATATAATGCATAAGTGAATAAAGGTACTGGAAACAAACAAGCCGTTTCTACTGACAGAGTTTTATGTTTAAAGGGTCTCTCTATAACAACTTTGCATCATCACATAGTTTTAGGCATAGAGAATATCCTGATCCTGGTTTCCATGTTCAAGTGGACTAGTCACACAGTAATTGACTGCTAAACCTATAAGTGTATGTTTTTATATCTATATATGCACAACTGTGAATAGTCTCAATAGACCTGATAGCAACCACTGTATGACTGACATCTGCTTTTATAGGAATTATATACTCCCTGTGTATCAAGATTGGTGCTGGAGGTTGAATTACATTTATGATAAACTTTACTGGGCAGGTTTTAGGGGATAATAAAAAAATAAAAAAACACTGCCCAGAATGAAAGGCTTTTGGTAGGTAAAGTGTCTTTGTGGTCTGGGAGGTGTCTTCCCGTTACAGCACTTGCTTACGTAGGTACTCAGTGTTGTATGAGATTAGAAGGTAAGTATGTCTTCATTTCATATATTATTTATTTTGTATTTTTTATTTTTTTGATGTGCGGGGTGGACCTGGTAACTGAGTTCCATTTAACTTTACTGTGTTTACCCATTTGCGAATGAATTACCAGTGAAGTTCTACCCCCGGGCATGTAATATGATACCTTGGACAGCCTCTGGGAGCTATTTCTGGACACTCCTCCTAGTGCTATACTTGGAAAACGTCATCAATATTTTCCAGTTATTATAAAATGTAACAGAGAACAACCTTAGGAACACTTCATATTGATGTGGCTCTCTTATCAGATACAGTCTATGCAGCATCATATAGTTTGTATTGAACATCTATAAATTTGTCCAGTAGTTTTAATGAAATTGCTCAAAGATGCATTTGTTTGTTTTTACAAAGGAAGCTTGAAGATACTTTGCAAACCATGGTATCTGAGTGGCTGCTAAATATATTAGAAATTGGTTGGATAAAAATAAGCATAATCTGCATAAGGTGTTTTTTTTTTTATTTTATTTTTTTTTATTGATTTACATTTTCAGTTGATAGTGACAAATTACACTTTGTGCAGTTATACAATGTACAAATTCATTTTTTGGGTTTTTTTTTTTTTTTGCTGTACATTTTTGCTTGTGCTTTGCAGCAGTGCATCCAAAAAGGGTGCCAAGTATGTGCTCAAACCTCTGCATACATATATTGCTACTGTGCTCCAACCTGCAATATAGAAATTGTGCTAGAAATGAACTTTGCTACTGTTTTCTAGTATACTATTTGCTACTTTACACATAACTTCACTTAAAGGAATACTATAGGGTCAGGAACACAAACATGTATTCCTGACCCTATAGTGTTAAAGGACCACTATAGTGCCCTGAGGGTACCCCCACCCTCAGGGTCCCACTCCCGTGGTGCTGAGTGGGAAGGAAGGGGTTAATCCCTTACCTTTTCTCCACCTCCAGGCTCCCTCTGCGCTGGGACTCTCCTCCTTCTTCTTCCGTCATCGGCTGAATGTGCATGCGCGGCTATAACTTTCCAATATATATAATTTTTTTTAAATATTTTTATCTATATATATATGTGTGTGTGTGTGTGTGTGTGTGTGTGTGTGTGTGTATGTATGTGTGTGTGTATATATATATAATTATTTTTTTTATTTTTTTTTTTACACTTATTTAACTTTTATTTTATTTTAATTCAGCCAGCAGGGGGACTACCTGTCATTACAGGCAGTCCCCCTGCTGGCAATGCAGCAGCCAGCTAACCCGGCCATGTGATTGTGAGGTCCTCGCAAGGACCTCACTCTTACATGGCCGGGGGGGATGCTGGAGGGAAGATCTGCCGCGGGGGGGGCTCCACCGGGTAAGTAAAGAAAGACCAGATGGCGTACTATTCAATCCTGCGATCGGTCAGCATAGCGGTCAGGGCCGCCCCCCTGAAACCATTTTTTAATGAAATATTTGACAGGCAAAGACAGGGGACGTGTGGCCTGGGGTTGCATAATCATACACAAAAGTGATTTAAAGGACAACTTTCACTAGAATGTTATTATTTCTGTATTATTATGACTCCTTGCAACAGGTAATGAAAATTATATAGCTTTTTTTTCTCTTAATGAAGTATATGTAAAAGTACCTGAAAATCTGAACCCTATTTTCACAGAACATTAGATCTCTCTGCCATATTAATTCATCCTTGGCTCGCCACAGAATGAGCACTCCAAGTGGGGAAAGCCCTTTTATAGGCTACAATGTGGGGAAATTTTCAATGGTTTGGAATATGACCAAGAGCGCTCTGGTTAGTAATCAATCAGAGTGCTCTGACAGCCAAGTCTCACTTCTCTCGAGACTTGCCTGTCAGAGCACTCTGACTGATTCTGACCGCATTTGGCTTTAGTAACTATGAGAATTGCCAATTCAGTCAGAATTAAAACCTGGCAGACCAAACAGAGCGAAGGATTCTGATATCACCAACCTGTTCAGGGAGTGAAGCAGGAGCCTAACAGTTGAATTCTACCTCCGACCGACCGAAGGTGTATAAATATGGCCAAGGGATCTACTCCGAAGTGCTGCATAGTGCAGATGCATTAATGATGTGCTCATGCTGTGCTGCCTGGGGACACTAGAGAACTAAAGCGGGACACTGAAATTGAAACTGTCCTGCCTCAAAGGGGACTGCAAATGACAAAACATTGTTTTATTTCTCATCTTCATTTCAACTTCCTTCTGTGCTGCTGCATCGTTTAGTATTCCAATATAATTAATTCAAAAGCTACAAAACAAGTGAATAGTAATAATAAACCAAAGATTAATTTGTGTGGGGTTTTTTTTTCCTCTCTGATCCCATAAGATCTACAGGGTGGAAAAAAGGCTTTTTTTAATTTATTTTTTATTTTATTTTTTTAATTTAATTTTTTTAAATATATTCATATATTCTTTATTTTAGTTGTGCATTGCATGACGAGTTTACAAAGAAAAACATTTCTCAGAAGACATGAGCAATAGTCGATATAGATATAACGTGAAATGTTGAGGAAGCTGCACATTTTTAGTAATTAAGAAGCATTAGGAACACAGTACTATGTTGATGTGACACAAAGAAAATGGCAGGGTGCATAATGTGGGAACTGTGGGAGAATAACAAAACATAGAAAAAACGCTGGTATTGCAGCTATAGCATATGTAAAGAATAGCACAGGGGAGTTGAAAAGCGAGGGTATGTCTAATACTTAAGGCGCTGCACACTTTTTAATCATATAGAGGAATGGCCAAGCCTGGTAGGTAGGTAGTGGTTAAAAGGCATATTAACAACATAGGTCTAACCTAACCCAAAATATGAGTAGAAACCAGACTCCAAAATACAGAAGAGGGGAGTGAGAAACCTTAAAGGGAAACTCCAGTGCCAGGAAAACAATCCGTTTTCCTGGCACTGCAGGTCCCCTCTCTCTCCCAATCCCCGGTTCCTGAAGGGGTGAAAACCCTGCATTCGCATTAGAGCTCCCCATGGGAAAGCATTCAAAATGCTTTTCAGTGCTTAACAATGGGAAACAATTAAAAAGAAGGGTGCATATATTGGGTTAAAATACAATAAATTAGAGTGCTACAATCACCTGTGGGGTCACTCCACCACACATAAAATCAGTGAAAATAAAATAATTGGTGAGAGCACACACAATTAGTAGATTTATTTACCCTTGTATTCAATTAAAATCCTGTAAACATAAAATCAGGAAAAAAAACATAGGATAATAACGTCCAGATAAATTTTAGAATAGTGAATAAATTTACAAACTCACATATTGCTGAGCCACTTAGAAGCTGTCTCAGACTAAGAGCGTTGAATGGATAAGAAGTAGTGGTAGCTGGAATCAAATGCCGACTGTTTGCTTGTCCCTTCTTTAAAATGCCCAGGATGCAGGTTCTTTTTAAAAAGGTTTTATTACAAGGTAAAAACATCAGCAAAAAATAGAAAACTGCAATCTCACTCTCCACACACTGACGCGTTTCAGCCAAAGCTTTTTTCAAAGTGTAAATCCATTCAGTTCAGTCTTGTTTTAAATAGGACTTCTTTCGTGCCTTTTTCCTGCTCGGTTTTAGGCTCCTCCCCTTCTATCTAGATGCAACCGGGCATCCTAGCGTCTGTAGTTACCCCCTTTACTTCCGCATTCGTCAGAATGACGTAGAGCGATGGGAAGGGAATTTCCTCACTTGTACCGGATAATCTTTAACATTCACAGAAGTCATTCAATAATACGTGCGGTGTGTGTGTGTGTGTGTGTGTGTATGTATATATATATATATATATATATATATATATATATATAATATCTCAATGATCAGACATTGCAACTGTCTAACAATCAAATTGATACATGTACTCACTCTGTATACATAAAAGAATTCATAAAATAAAGTATAAAAACATTATGCTCTGCTAAAAGACAAGGTAAAGAACATAAATACAAATCAACATCTTTCAGAATTCATTGTCATTTCTAATAATTTTTTAGAAAAGTATATACATACATAACTTTATATCTTAAAGGTTAATGTATTAATAAAAATGATGTTTAAACAAATTGTGCAAGTATACAATCAAATGACATATAAATAAATCAATTACCTAAAAAAATGATTTAAAAATTAATAAACTTATTAATTACCTAAAAATAATTTAAAATTAGGATTAATAGACTTATTTAAAAAAAAAAAATCTTATTTAAATATAGGTGTGTTTCTCAAAATCGGCATTAAGCCCCCTTGGTATGAGTGTATCCAAATCGAAGATCCATCTCATTTCGGTCTTACTGAGGAGATTATCCTTATCCCCGCCCCTCCAATGAATTTTTATATGATTGATTGCAAAAAAATCGAAACAACTGGGATCTCCATTATGATACTCCATAAAATGTTTGGACACACTGTGATTAGGGAATTTTCTTTGGATGTTGTATATATGCTCCCTGATTCGTATTTTAAAGGGGCGTGATGTTTTTCCCTATATATTGTAGTCCTCAGGGACATACCAGCATATATACAACATCTACAGTTAAAGCCAATATGATTTGTTTGGATAAAGGTTTTAAAGAAGGAGTTTTAAACAAAAAAGAATATAAGTTTTTAGATGTTAGATTCCCCAGAATTCCGGTTATTTATGTTTTACCTAAGATACACAAGGATCCAAAGAATCCACCAGGGAAACCTATTGTTTCTGGAATTGGGGGGGATGCGGGGCTTCAAGAAGGTTGCTGCTTGGCGCTGGCCTCATGACGGGAGATCGGCCATTAGGCCGCCTGCCATGCTAGGCCGCATTGTGGGGTACGTTGTGTCTCGGCAGAAAAGCATGAGACTGGTCTCCTCGAGCCCCCACTCGTTTGAACAATGAGCCACCATCGAGTTGGGCTGCAGAAACCCCGATTATGGTTTGTAATAGTCGCTTTTAGACTCAGTCAGGCCAGAGCTCTCAGCATGCACCTCTGTTTAGCTCGGCTCTCAGGCCCTGCCCCCCTGTTTGTTTTTCTTAAAATACTAAAGCCACTTCATTTAAATTTTTAATAAGCATTAATAAATGAGAGTTGGGACATGGGGTCCATGCCCCCTGCCATTTTTAGCAAAACAATCCAGCTCAGAAGAGATTTTTGTCCATGTGAGTTCTGACATGTAGACAATTTCAGAAAATAAGCCTACCCCAGATCTCTATTTAAATCATTGTCAATTACATTTAAAGATCACGTTTTGTTTCTCTTTATCCAACGATGGCCACACCTCCCCTTGCTGTGACTGACACAGCCTGCATGAAAACAAAATGGCTTCATTTTCAATCAGATGTAACTTTCCTGCTCTGTAAATTGCACTTTAATTACATACAGGAGGCTCCTGCAAGCTATTAACAGAGCAGAAGATAAGAAATTCAAAATTAAACCGGATAATAGAAAGTGTAAACATTAGATGACTCTTTAAAGGACGTGTTTAGGAAGGCTGTATAAGTCACATGCGGGAAAGGGAGGTGTGCATAAGGCTGCATAAACAAAGTCATTTAACTCTTAAATAGCATATAATTGAGCGGTGACACTGCAGGGGCATGACTTGTAAACCAAAACTACTTCATTAAATGGACACTCCAGGCACCAAAACAACTTTATCTAAATAAAGTTGTTATGGTTCCAGGTGACCCCGGGAAGCACTCTTACCTTAGGGGGTTAAAACTTGTCTCAAACAGTTTAACAGTTGCCTTCAGCAGCGATCTACACTTCTCCTCTGGCAGCATCTGGCTTCTGAATTTCTGATTCAGTAATCACTGAGTGCCGCCAGCAGGGGTGCAACTAAGCCAATCAGTGATTCCACATTCACTGGCTTGGAAAGAAACATACCTTTCTCAAGCCAGTTTAGTGAATTATGAGTCACTGATTGGCTTAGAGCATCTGCTGACACACTCAGCCAATCAGCGGCGTTTCTGCCCGGTTTAACCCCTGGAGAGAAGAGTGCCTCCAGAAGCCTCCTGGCATCATAATAACTTAATTTATATGAAGTTGTTTTGCTGCCTTCAGTTTCACTTTTAAGCTAAAGTTGTTTTGGTAACTATAGTGTCCCTTAAAGTCCATATTTAGCCATGATGGGTCTCCCAGCTTTATTCATGTGTACATTAGTTAGCCAGATAACAACAAATTAGCAGAATCTGATCACTGTTATATTGAGACAAGAAGAATTAAAATGATCCCATACCGAAAACACATAGATTTTTAAATATTAAGTACCATAACGACTGCAGCCTGTTTTAGCACTATTTGACATATACCTGAATCTCACAAGACCTTCTGGATACTAGTTACCCACTACTTTATTGCTAAGGTTTGTGAAAATACTGGTCTTATGTTAAAAATATATATCAAAATAGGAACAGGATATGTTTAAAAAAATTAAAAATAGGGGGGCGGGGCATGACCGCAGAGCCGTGTGGACGTGTATCAAAAGAGCACCTGCACTAAGCTGTACTAAAACCCTAATTCCACGACTTTAAAAGCGATTGATCGGGCCAGGAAGGCCAGCAACTGCAAGGGAACATCAGGCTGAACAAAATGTTACCCCACAAGGGACACTACAAGCTACAACCACGGGCCAGGTGTCCGGGGCCTACTCACATGGCGAGCACAGGGGGGACGGCCGCCCTCCTGCTGCCAAGACCGGCTATCTCTGCGATCGAGAGCCCGTATTCCCCCCCCCCCCCATGGGCCGGCGGGGGTCATCCCGGCCCAATCTCTACAGGGCCATGGGACCCTGCTAGCCTCCGTGACCATAGGCGACCCACACTCGGAGGCCAAGATGGCGACTGCCGGCAAGGCTCTAGGGCCTCCACTCGCTCAGCCTCAACCCGAGCAGCAGACAAACAAGCTCCCCTACAAGGACAACATAGCGGCGGCCTTCGACCACTTCTGGATGAGATGGTGGGACATAACACAGACCCGAGCCACCACAAAGACCTCTCGACTGCCCACCAGATTACCTGCACAGAGCCCGGCACCGAAGCACATAGCCAAGCCAATGACCGGGGCACGGCGGCAGGAGGTGAGGGGAGCTAAACCCAGACCTCAAGGCCGCACATCGCATACCCGACGTCGTCAACCCGAGCGTCGTCAGCATCGGAGAGCAACACTCCACAGCCCGCCGCTGCTTAAAGCAAAAAGGAGGCACACTCGACGGGCCAATACCCGGTCCACAGCAGACGGTGCAAAGAGGGCCTATCAGCACATCATCCACCAGCGGCGCTGCAAAGCCGCAACTAGCTCTCAGAAGGACTTTGACCCCACGTTCAACAGAAATTCAGAGACACTTACCCGCAGAGCGGTGGCAGGAGAAGGAAAACCACTGCGCCGCCACAGTGGTGCCGGTGTCCCCGCCATCCAAAGCACTCACGTGGGTCTGGGAAACAATGGTGGTGACCCTCCACATCTTCTGACGCGAGGCTCTGAGGATCCATGGGACTTTCCAGTATGTGCCCTGCCAGAGCCGACTACAGGAGTCGGCTGACTCTCACTGACTCACCCTGCCGCACTGCGGCCTGGACTGCTGCCACGCCACCACGCTCATGCAGTCATGGAGGACTATACCCCGCAATAGTTTCAAGCCTTGCTACCCTGAGATAATCGACAAATAGCACACTCATGCTACTACAAAATTTATGCCTAGCCAGACAAGTACACTTAGCCACCTCACTAGGCAATTTAACATGTACCTATTATACAGTCGTGCTAAAGTAAAAATTATACCAGTCATGTTTTCCCATCTCTCTCACTACTCTGAATACTACTCCCTAACAAGACCATATGATATATAAGCATGAATATCCTGGTGTTATTTGTAACTATAACTTATGATATTCATTTGCTCAGATCTACCTGTTTACAGATTTACCCAATAAGCATAGCTAGTGATCAGCGGCCTACTTTAACATATGTTCTCATGCTTTATAAATCTTTACGTGTCAGAGCCTCAACGTATCCTAACCCTGAAACATGAAAGCATGTTACCACATCTCACTGGTACTAACGTAGTTAACCTATAACTGTTAAGCATTACTTATTCTCAATTGTTTTACATATATCTATTCTGATAGTATAATCATCTAATTAAGCTGGTTAATACTCTACGAATGTGCAAATACTCCTGCTACTAACAAACGTGGGTTAATCTTGCATTACGCTTAGCTTGTTCATAACCCAACATTTAAAAATTGTGCTGATACTCTTATGCCATAAATGTACAGCTACTGTGTTCATATCTTTTAAATATGCTGCTGTGGCATTTACAAATGATTTGTTACTCCATGCACAAAGAAAAATAAAGAATTAATAAAAAAAAAATAAAAAAAAAAATAAAAAAATAAAAAATAAAATAATAATACTTTTATATAAGTAAGCATTTTAAGCTATTTTGATTTCCCCTCTCCCTTCCTGTTCATGTCATCCAAAATGTTCTAAATGTCAAATGAAAAGAGAAAAACACACTCCACACCCATATGTTTCCAGCTCATTCCAAAATGGAACTTGACCTGGGTGTTGCCAGGTTTTTCTCTTCCTCCCTTTCACCTTTTAAATGTAACAGTGAATAATATTGGTAGTGGTTTCTAAGGCACCGGTCCAGTTTTACCTAGTTAGATCTAGTGCTTTTTTTATTCTCCATTCGTTAGCTCCTGCATCTCCTAGCTTTCCAGCTGTTGTTGAAAGCCAACTCTCATAAATCTTAAGTACCTGACTGGATACATACAACCTAAAGATTATGGGGCTGTTTACGCAGCCAAAACAAAACTAGTTGGTTTTCTCTTTTCACAAGTGTTTAGAAAGGATAAAATGACACATTATACTGTGTTATTTGATAAAATATCCAAATTTTAAAAGCTTTACTAATACTTGAAGCAGATTTTGATATTTTAAAAGACTGAATGTGAATTAAAAGAGAGAAATCTAGTTTTAATTATAATAAAAAAATGTTAATCTGTAAATGTTTACACTTCCCAACCAATCTCGGCTAACTCTCACACCAAAATTATTTTTTACAATCTTTTATGCATATTCGTAAAGCAACATTATAGGCATAGGAATACAAACCTGTATTTCTGGTATTTATTTAATTCTTTATTTTTCTTGTGCATTTGGATACATACATGCTTGCAGTGCCACAACAGCTACTGTGAGCAATATCAAAACTTTCAGTGGCATATCTGAGGAGTTGCACATTTAATATTTATAGAGTATAACATGCTAACAATCGCTAAGTTAACAATAAGTACACATGTTGTTGTAGCTGGGTAATACTAATAGCCGTAGAGTGGCCAATATGTACTAAAAATACGCTCCTAATAATAGCTATGGATTAAAAAGCTTAGACAATTCAAGAATATACTTAGATTTTAACAGGTTGAAACTTACGTTGAGTATTTGGGTCATAGTATTATCATACATGTCCTTATATGAAGTAGTGTAGACTATGTGGTCGGTATGTATTATTTGGGCATGCGAGTAAAGTTGAGACATACGTGCTAGGTACTTGAGTGGGATATATGTGGACGTAGGCTCATGTAATGCTAGGCAATCATGTATGCGGCACAAAGCTCGTAGGTGACAAGGTGTCAGTACAGGTGTGAGTGTGTGGTGTTCGCTGAGTTAAACAAGAAACGTTCAACAGTTATTCTTTTAACTACTCCAGCAGACTGGGTGCCTATTACGTATGCCAAAAGTCACTTAGCCCACTCCTGCAGCCGGCATGTTGTTCCCCATGGGGCCCATGGTATGAGGCCCATGGATTGATGCAGATGTCTATGTGCGCTCGTGTGGGTCTGGCCTCTTGGTGTTGGGCCCCCGTTATCAGGCTGGCGTGAGGGTGGGTCGATGTGCGTCCGCACTGTTACCCGCTGGTTCCCAGGGGCAGTGGGTATGCTCCTGTTGCCACCCGACTGATCTCCAGTCCCCTGCTGCCTTGGATTGTCCCGCTGCTTTCGGCCTTTTGGGCGGCTCGGTGTTTGAGGTGTCTGCGCCTTCTTTTGTTTGACTCTGCTTGGGTGAGCGTGTGGCCGGGTGTCAGGTGCAGTCGCTGGGTTCGCCGGGAACATAAGAGCCTCCAGTTTGTCCCAGAAGATTTGGAAGGCCTTGTCTAGCCTGTGCTTGACCTCTGGCTGCTCTCTGTGAGTGCTGGAGGAGCATGCTGCCTCCGCCATTTTGGGTGCAGTGTCGTCGCTTGTTGCGGGACCCTGTGTCGCCGCGGCATTCTTACCGGGTTGTACCAGGGTCTCCCGAGGGTGGACCGGGATAACCCCCACCGGACCATAGGGGGGGGGACGAGGGGCTGGTCTCCGCTTGTCAGCCGTAGATGTCGGCGGGGGAGCGGCCGTCTCCCTCACGCCGACCACGTGTGTAGGCCTCATGGGTAGGGCAGATGTAGTATGCCGAAGTTGTCGCTTGTGTGGCATCATTATGTGCCCCTGTTTGTCACCTTCCGCTTGGTGTCCTTTTTGGGCCGTTTAGGTCCTGTTTTGATGGCCGAATTCTACTTAATTAGAACTGCAGAGCAGGAGCTATACAAGTTTGCTTCCTCTGCTCTCAGTGGTCAGGCCCCGCCCCCCAAACCTGTATTTCTAATGCTATAGTCTTCTAGTAAGATTTATACACCTAGTAGCCTTTGCCATGCTGATCCCCATGTGCCAGCCCCACTACCTTGGCATAGAGCATCAGTTTTGATGATCTCAGCCAATCAAATGCTTTCCCTTTAAGAAGCATTGGGAGGTTAGTGCATTTGCATAGAAAATCTCAGCGCCCATCAAATGATCTCTAGGAGCAGCATTTGAATGAGAACAGAGTCTGACTTAGTTGTCAAAGCTGAAGCGTTTCTAGTGGCTGTCAGGCAGACAGCCACTGGAGGTGTATTAACCATGCTACCATCACATTGCTGTATCTACTAATTGGGAATTTTTCAGGGTTAATGCTAAAGGGTTACTGCAGCCTGACCACTTCATTGGGATACATTTTAGTGGGATACCTCCCTTTCTTTAAAATATATATAAAAAAAATAATAACTAGGACAGGTTTACAAATTGTAACCATGTAAACAGCTGAATCTCCTGTTTTATGGAGCATTATTGTCAATAAAATCCATTTTGTGTTCTTTTTAGTTCGGTATGCTTCCATTTGGTATTCTTTTCTTACAATGTCCATCTTTCATCACAAATAATAATAATAACCTGTACACGTTTCATAATCTCACTGCTTTGCATGCATTATTATTTTGGTATGTAGCTGAATTTAAGTTTACTGTAATTTTATTTTGTTTTCTTCATTTTAGAGATTAAAATGAAAAACCCTGTGAATGGTCAGTACTAGGCCACAAAAGGAACATGCAAAGATTGTGAGAAGCTTCAGAGCTTCCTTACCACTTCTCATTTGAAGTAAGTCCTTCATCACCATTAGGTAACCATTTCATGCATTTGCTACACATATCACATTCTTAATAGGAACACTATAGTGACATCAGTACAAACATGTATTCCTGTCACTATAGCTGTAATAAAGCTATGTAGGTGTCCGGCTACCATGTAACCAATGTAAAAGGTGAGTTTACCTGCCCCCGTTCAGCCTCCTTGGCTAAGATCATCAAAATTGACCATCTCCGCCAACCCAATGCTTTCCCATAGGGAAAACGCCACGCTGCGCCAATCAGCATCTCATAGATACATTGAATTTGTGCATCTCTATGAGGAACGTTTAGCGCCTCAGTGCTGATCCATGAAGCAACTCTAGTGGCCATCTGAGTGACTGCCACTAGAGGTGTTCCTAAGCAGTAATTTAAACACTGACTTTTCCCTGAAAAGGCAATGTTTACATTAAAATGCCTGCAGGGACAGACTATACACACCAGAACATCTGCATTAAGATGCAGTTGTTCTGGTGTCCCTTTAATTGTGTCTCAACAATGAATTCTGCTCCATGGACATGAACATGCATGTTTGCATTCAGTTGAACTTGCATACCACTTTTTATCAGACTGGTCTATAATAGGGCATTGACAAGGTTGTAAAATATCATGTATATGTATACAGAAAATGCATAGGGATATAATATCGATGTAACACAATTATCTGATAATCACAGTTGGCGACACTTCTTTTTTTTAATAGTATATTCATTAGCATACTTCTGTTCAAAGTAATTTATCATAAGAAACAGTTTTGGTAGGTCATAGTAATTTTTTAATCTTTGTCTACCCCTGTCAAAGATGTGAAACCCCACACTGAAAAGTGCATGGATGTACTCCCTTGTTAGTTCGGTAGATGTTATTTTTTTACAGGAACTAGTTTTTTGATTCACTGTTTATTAAATACAATCACATGTAATGTCTATTTATATTTAATTTAGCTTTACCGATTGCCTCAGATTGAGGTGGAGAGGAACAGTAGTGGGGGAGGATTTTATAGCGCAAGTGCCATTGGAGAACTGTACCCAACTTTATTAATTTTTTATATATATATATATATAATTTCTCCATGGGGACCAAATTTTCATGTATTTATCATATTGGTAGGTTTCTTGATGAAAACCTGCTTCCATTCTATGTTGAAATTCAACTTGTTGTAGTATTTCTGCCCATATAAGATGGCCTTTATTTTTCCAATTTTGTGTGACACATATTTTTACTGCCATTATCATGTGCACCATTAAACATTTTTTATATATTTTCCTGGTAGATAAATATTAAATCAAAATGACTTTGGAGATAATATCATGTCAAAGTCAAATAAACAACTTAATATATTTTGTAAATGAGATATTCTAGATTTCATAATTTAACAATCCCACCAAATATGAGTGCAAGAACCATTGGTCAATTCACATCTCCAGCAGACTTGCGGAATTGTTGGGTTAATTTAATGTAATCTCATAGGTATAAGATACCAATGTAGTATTAACTTATATTGAGTTTCTAACAAGTTCATACTATGTATGTTCCTTTTTACTAATGTTATTCCTTTAATCCAATCCTCACTATCAAAAAGATTTGAGGAAAGAGTGTCATAATTCTTTTTTTATATTTACATGACCAAAATAAATAAAATAGTTCCAATTTGAATTCATATTTCTCTGTCTCCAGCCAGACTGGTCTATGAACTAAAGAGTTAACTGCATGTGCTATCATACTATTATATAATTCAAGAATATTAGGAAAGAAAAGTCCTCCATACTTTGAATCTTTTTGTAGAATATTTGAAGCTATTATGGGTTTTTTATCTTGCCAAATAAATACATTTATTAGTTGTTGAAACTCTTTTAATGTGGAAATGTCAACTCTCTGGAATTCTAAATAGATAAGATACTTTAGGGATTAAATATTATTTTATTATTTCGGCCCGTTCCAACCAAGATAACTCCATACTTTTCCATATAGATATTGTGTTTTTAAAACTCTAACAGTTTTAAACAATAGTTTTTCTTTTACTATTCATGCCAGATCCATATTTAATGTAATACCCAGATAATTTATAAGTCTAGGGTGCAGTCAAACTTAAACTTAGACTTTATATATTTTGTATCATCAGGAGACATTCAGTTTAGTATTATTTGAGTTTTATCAAAATTTAATTTATAATTGGAGTATCTACAAAAGTCTTTTATAATCTGGACTATGCTAGGTATTGAATTCATCAGATTTACAAGTGTTAAAAGGACATCATCTGCATATAATGCCAACTTACTTTCTATTCTACCAATCCTTATACCGCTGATAACTTTAGCTTGCCTAATCAAATTAGCTAAATGTTCCAGAGTCATTATTAATAACATTGGGGCTAACGGGCAGCCCTGCCTTGTATCGTTTTTTTATTTGGAACCAATCCGATGATAACATGTACCCCGCTGTTATAGCTGTTGGTGTAGTATATAATAACATGATCCTTTTCCTGAATGTGCCATCAATGTCAAAGGCCTCAAGTACTTCGTCCAGTTAACTCGATCGAACGCCTTTTCAGCATCGAGGGCCATTAGTACCAAACTATCATGTGTTTGATTTATATGATGGATAATATTAAACAATTTTCTGGTATTGTCCTTTGTGCCTCTATCTTTGACAAAACCACATTGATGTAAATTAATTAAATCTGGAATGATTTGTTTTAATCTCTCCGCTATTTAATTTCTAATTAGTGAGGTAATAGCTGCTTGATCCAGGGAGACATCCGACTGCTATTTTGGGGTCAAAAAGGAATTTTTTCCTAGTTTGTTGCAAAATTGGAAGCGCTACAGACTAGGTTTTTGGCCTTCTTTTGGATCAACCGCAAAAACATATGTGAGGAAGGCTGAACTTGATGGACGCAAGTCTCTTTTCAGCTATGTAACTATGTAGCTAACATTTTGAAATAGAGTTTGGTGTCTAAGTTGGGAAATTGGTCTATAGTTTGTAATGGAGGTATGGTCTTTATTGAGTTTAGTATTGGGGTATTTGTTGCTTGCAGCATTTCTGTTGGAATTTCATTATTAGCAATGAATTAAATGAATTGACAAAACCAAGGATGTGGCTAATGAGCCACAGTAAATTTTAAGATGACGATAATGTTTTTCTTACTATATTTATTTAAATAAATATGCCTATTTGTCAGTTTATCGAAATGTTTTACTTCTCTTATCCAGTCTGTAACCATTTTATCACATTTTAGTCTCTCTAAAGCAAACACTGATGATGGTTGTGCAGAGATGACCCATGTGAAGTCCGCGTAATTTATTTGGTTATACAAAAATTATTTCTTAATACTCTATTATTTTTTATTTTCTTCTTTGTACTTGCTGTCAGGGTCCACAGATGGGTCAAGGACTTTGGAGAGTAGCAAGAAATCAGCAGTTCCAGCAAGGATTTCTTGAACCCAGCTACCTTACTACAGATAATGGTAGAAGAATAATTGTCAATGATAACCTCAATCATCGAAGGAACATGCAAGGTGGAATGGACATATACCATTTGCTGAAAGCAAGAAAAGCAAAGGATGAACAAGGGTTTATTAATCTTGAAATGTTACCCCCGGAGCTCAGTCTTACCATTTTATCGTACCTAAATGCAACTGACCTGTGCCTGGCGTCATGTGTTTGGCAAGACCTTGCTAATGATGATCTGCTTTGGCAAGGGTAAGTAAAAGCTGTGTGATCTTTTAAGGAATTGTAACCCCTGTCACTAGTCTTGACGAACAGGTACATTGTGAGATGCAGCAGTATCCACGATCTACCAGTTCATTGTGTACTAACTGTAAATGGGGAAACAAAGGTCTTGATTTAATATTGCTGGATAAACTTTTTTTTAAAATATTAATATTTTAAAAAATATCAATATTACAAAATGTACTTTTTTCATAATATTAATTTTAAAAGTTTATACAAAATATTAAATCATTTGGAAAGCTTACAGCAGTATTTAATCAAAGACAAAGTGCGTTATGCTTGTGGTAAAAATGCAATCCCCTAACTTCCTGCTTCTAAAAAAAAAAAAAAAAGTTGGTAACATTTTATTTCATGTTGGTAGGTAGTAGACTCTGGGCACCGATACAATGTAAAAGTATTTGATGGATTTTTGTCTCCAGTAATATTCTGTAGTTTTTTTCTTGCTCAAATCTTTAAAGTTTTTGCTAAAAAAAAAAAAAAAAAAATTCTGTAGCATAAGCCTGCATTCTTAGCCTTGCCCCTCATGCCAAAGAGACTTGGTTATCAAAAGTATGCACGACGTTGCAGCCCCAACAGCTCAGAGTGAGCTGCTTTTAATTCACAACCTGGCTGCAGACAGTCAGAGAAACTAAAAACAGGTAGTGATCTAGTGATATCCTTACTATATGTCTCCCTGGGTGTCCTCTCCTTCTAATACAGGTTGTTTTGTTGTTTTTAGATCATTTAGTATTGTCAGCTAAAAAGGCAGGATTGTAGTGGATTATTCTGCAAAAAAAAAAAAAAAAACAACTATGAAGGTTTGAGCATGCAAAATATTACAGCATATTAATGAGGCCACAAAAAATACATTAAGGTAGTATTGGTGCCCAGAGTGTTCTGTTCCTGAAAGTATATAATGGCAAGCAGATATATGCTGTTTATCCTTACATGATGTGTGGTAACTGTTTAAGTGCCCTGGTTATTTAAAGGTTCATTATTTGTTTTATGGTGTATTTTACAAATGGTGGGATACTATATTACCCAAAATGAGAGATGAACTTTAAAACTTGAATCCAAGTGTCCAAAAGTTGCTCCTGCTATTCACCAATACCCACACATACTTGTGGCCGCAGTGTAAGTGAGGTCAGGTTTTAAACAAGACTGGAAAAATATTAAAGAAAAAGTGCTTTCAATTCTATCCCCTGTTACTTGATCATGGTTGCAATACTGAAAAAAAAATATAGCAGCGGTAGTAGGATATGCTGTGTGCAGCGCACAAAGTGCTACAATAGTGATTTATTTGAAGGACATACAGATGTACAGCAAATGTTTTGGTTTTCAACCCTTCATCAGTGCAAATGCCCTTATAAGACAAATTCAATATGTGTGTTTGGAAATGTAATGGCTCATAGTATAGCACATGGATATAGAAGATAGCATGCATAGCATACAATACACCTAAGACCAAGTGATTAGTTAAATGTGAAATTAGTTATACATATATACAAAAATTACAAACACACTGTATTAGCCTACAAAAAGCAAATAATGAGGCTCTCATACAGGGAAACATAACAATATAAGTACAGTACAATATTATCATTATAAAGTGAATAAATAAGAGTGGGTACCCAGACATTCTTTGCAGTGGGCACCAACTGCTACTAAATGGGATGTGTATTATGGGAACCAGTTCCAGACACACACTGGTGTATTTTTATTCTTAAAAATGTCTTAAAACAAAAATGTTTAGTTATGTGTTATATGTAACATAGCAATCGTTGATAAATGCACTTGCATACTGTGCCTCAAGGGAAGGTTAGGTAAACGAGCACATCAATAGATTAAAGAGGTCTGTGAAGTGCAAATAGGATGGTGGACATCATCACAGGAATAGTAAAGAAAGAGGACAAAAGGTGACAGTTTTTTTATTTCCTGGACTAGCACACAACTTTTTTAGCAAAAAATAAATAAAAATTGTGGTCATATATTAAAGTGAGGAATTTAAAAATGAAATCAGATTGACTTTTTTAAATTTAAGGTCAGAATATCCAAACTAAAAAAGTCATATTTCTTTTAGATTTAGATAACATTTCCCAACAAATACACTTTTAGTGAATAATCTTAAATAAATTTGAAAATATGTGCAAAAAAACCAAATTGAATCATTAGATGCTTGACAAAGCCCAGGCGCCAGCTCGCTATGGTGACTAGAAATTTTGTCCTAGTGCCTGGGTGTCTGTCAGCCTAAGGGAGCGTGGAACCAGGTGGCGAGGGCGCAGAAGCCTTCCTGCAGTTCTTGCAGGAGCAGAGCGCAAAGAGCTTAAAGATTACACAAGCCCCACTGTACCCCAGGGAATTTATCCATTCCAGCTATCTGAAGGGTAGGGAAGCTGGATGGACACTAAAGAGACAATATAGTCATCAAAAAAACTTAAAGGAACACTGTAGGCACCCAGACCACTTCAGCTCAGTGAAGTGGTCTGGGTGCCAGGTCAATCAAGCTTTAACCCTGCAGCTGAAAACATAGCAGTTTCAGAGAAACTGCTATGTTTCATTGAGGGTTAACCCAGCCTCTAGTGGCTGTCTCACTGACAACCGCTAGAGGCTCTTCCGTGATTCTCACTGTGAAAATCACAGTGAGAAGACGCTGGACATCTATAGCAAAGCATTGAGTAATACTTTCCTATGGGTGGTTTGAATGCGCGCGCGGCTTTTGCTGCGCATATGCATTTGGAGCTGACGTCGGCAGAGGGAGGAGAGTTCCCCAGCACTGGAGAAAGGTAAGTGGCCCCTTCAGCCTAGCGGAAGGGGGGCCCTGTGGGTGGGGGGGATCTAATGACCCTATAGTGCCAGGAAAACAAGTTTGCTTTCCAGGCACTATAGTGGGTTCTTTAAGCTTAATGAAGCAGTTTTGGTGTATAGATCATGCCCCTGAAGTCTGACTGCTCAATTCTCCACCATTTAGGAGTTAAATCACTTTTGTTTCTGTTTATGCAGTTGTAGCCACACTTCCACTGACTGTGACTTACATAGCCTGCATGAAAAAAAATGGTTGCACTTTCAATCAGATGTAACTTGCTGTAAAAGTTTGTATTTCCTGCTCTGTAAATTGAACTTTAATTATTTACAAGAGGCTCCTGTAGGGTCTAGAAAGCTATTACAGAGCAGGAGATAAATAATTCTAAATTAAACAGTATTTTCAATACAGGAAGTGTAAACATTAGATGACTCTTTGCAGGAAGTGTTGGAAGGCTGTGTAAACCACATGTAGGGAGGTGTGACTAGGGCTGCATAAACAAAGTGATTTAACTCCTAAATGGCAGAGAATTGAGCAGTGATACTGCAGCTGCATGATCTACACACCAAACTGCTTCATTAAGCTAAAGTTGTTTTGGTGACTATAGTGTCCCTTAATTAAAACAATGTGTCTGTCTGTCTGTATCTTAGTGAGTGTTTGTGAGTCTGCCAGTGTGTGTGTCTGTTTAGGTTACCGGCCCCTGTCTGATCCCATTGGAAAGGTGTTTATATTCAGTATTTTTCCCACACCATGCCAGTTTGCCATAGGAAAACATTGGGAGGCCATTGCGCATGTGCAACAAAACGCTGCGCTGATCAGCATCTACTCCTAAAGATGTATTGAATCATTGCATTTCTATGGGGAACATTCAGCGCCTTCATGCAGAGTGTGGGGACACTTTTCTCTAAAAAGGCGGTGATTACATTGAAGAGCCACCAGGATATAGACCCCAGAACCACTACATTAAGCTGTAGTGGTTCTGGTGACTATAGTGTCCCTTTAATTAAGAATTGTGTTTTTGTGTTTGAAAATTAAACTTTGTTAGTTAAAAATCAGGCTCCTAAATTTTTTTTTTTTTTAGCTTGCTCCTAGATTCCAAGCAAATTTGTCAAGCGCTGCATTTACCATACAAACACTCATTTAACCCCTTAAGGACCAAACTTCTGGAATAAAAGGGAATCATGACATGTCACACATGTCATGTGTCCTTAAGGGGTTAATGTTTCAAAGTGAAATATTGTTAATAATTTTAAATAGGGTGATTAGTGGAAATACAATCTTTGGTTGTGTACTTCTTACATTATGCTGCAATTTTTTTTAATTTTTTAATTTTTTTTTTAAATCCTGCTTTTTATGAGAGTAAGGATGGCTTAATGAAAGTCAGCCAACTGTCCTGAACTAACAGGGCCATCATCCTAACTGCTCACCCATTTATGGCTAATTGGATTTTTAGTCTATTAATAGCTGGTACACAGCCAGCTGCTCAGTCATACTGTAAACTGGCACTACTAAATGTCAGCAGTCCAATCGCCTAGAATTTGTTCACATTCTCTATCTTTGTTCTGTGTTTCAGATGCATATGAATGAAGTTGTTTGTTTTTTTAACTAACAGAATGGTTGTTTTTTGGTGTCTGCATAAATTCTTTTTAATGTTTTTAAACATGTGCAGATAGCTGCAAATAAGCAATCTGAATATGGCATTTTTCTTATCAAAAACGTCTTCCGGTTCCATCTATATGCTGAATTTTTGTTTGTTTCCCATTATGTTGTTTTGAATTCATTAGATGTATTTCTTTGTTATAGAAGGGCATTCACTGCAGAATTTTAGGTTACATTTATTTTGTTTATTAACATATGTCATGGACCTTTTTAGTTTAGATTGGATTAGCTGTCTTAGTCCAGTAGACAAGATGCCAAAATACCAGAGTATTGCATTATGCAATGATACCTTTTTTTATTGGACTATCATAATATTTCAAAGACAAGGTTTCGAGAGTTTTTAGAAATATGAAAACTATAAAACCTTGGAAACACTAAGTTCAGTGTTGTGGTTAAGCTCTCAGGCAATCACTACCTTCCACGTAGGGTTACATTGACATTAATAATATGGAAGTATACATTCTGCATTATCAATGTGGCCAAGGAAGGGATTGGTGACCGAGTGCTGGGAAATAGCTTTGTCAAAAATTGTATTTAAAATAAATCTTTATAATCCCTTCTTTCAACCGTGTGATCTTATAGGAGCACTTTAATATTAGGAATACAGCTTTGCATTTCTAACACTAAAGTGTTCATTGCCCACTGCCACTCCCTTGTGCACTCCCAGCAAATAAAGGGTAAAAAAACCCTTTTAACTCTTACCTTATTCCAGCACCAAGCTCCCTCTGTTCCTGATAGATCTCCTTGACATTTATGCATGCGCATTAGGCCTTCCTGTGGGGGATTGGAAGATGCTGGACATTCACATATAAAGCATGAGGCCCAGCATTGTCTCCCGGAGTCAAATTCTGCAAAACAGCAGGAAGTGCCTCTAGTGGATATCTGGTAGACAGCCATTAAAGGCATTGTTAGCCCTGAATTTTCTCTGAAATGGCAGTGTTTTACATTGCAGGGTAAAGGGAATAGGGACAATGCACCCAGACCACTTCAATGAGATGACGTGGCCTGGGTGCCTATAGTGTCCCTTTAACTTTGAACTCCATTTTATTTTCAATTTTAATGTAAGCTATCAATGTCCATGCTCCTCATCTCCCTGCTTATGTAGTTGACTAATCATAACTTCAGCCATGCAGGTTAGCATGCTGATCTTTCAGGAGCTATGCTGTCCCTAGTCTGGTTTATAACATGCTCAATACAGTTATGTTATTAAACTTGTTCCGTTCCTGAAAACAACATTTGGCTATCATGCTTGATACCACACCTGGTCCAGCTCTCCTCTAAAAGTTCAGTCTTCATGCTCTCTAGCCTAAGTTCTGATCTGCTGTGTTTCTACATAAAACAAGACATTTGCATGAACTCTTTAAAGGGAATATTCTCTTTTGGACTAAACTGGGCACCAGCCTCTTTTTGGTTACCATCTTCTTACCTTGGACCTCAAGTTTGGCAAATTCTCTGTGTTGCAACATCTAACTACCATAATTTGCATTTGCTGAATGAAACCATTCACCAGGCGAAAGCTGATGCATGCATTAGCATGCAGAATATTTATATTGTTATATTTTCATGAATAAAACTATTTGTTAATACTGAACTAGAACTCTTGTAATTTGCCTCGGAGTAGGAGTTTGTGGGATATCCACAGCTCTCACATTTTTAACAATGCGAGGGCCGATGATTATCTGAGAAATATTCAGCCTTTGTCTGTGGAGAAGTTGGTCTGCAGCAAACGTGGGAAATTAAGTTATGTATTTTTAAATAATGATTTCAAATGTGTGGTTATCTCCAGGCTTAAGTGGACCTTTTGAAGATGTTAATTGGTGCAGCAATTACATGTTGTTTGCCCTAAAAATTCCATTATTAAGGAGTGTTCGGTGTCATTTTGTCCTAGAAGAATTAAGCACATACATAGTAGACAAATGCTGTACTCCAGTCATATGCATAAAGGTGCAGATATTAACTTGATTTGTAAAAAAAAAAAAAATTGTAATGGTGTAGGAGATTGTTTTTGTCACTCATTTACGATTTGTTTACTTTAAGTCTGTTATTGTCTGTCTGTTATTGCTACCTTCCAGAAAGCCACTTTAGCTGAAATATAAGCCATGAAGAATCCAGTTTGAAATTATGTTTTCATATTAAAATTTGACTGCCTACTCTCATTATTTTAGTAGCAACAAATGTGCCTTGCTTATTTTCTTATTTATTTTTTACATTATTTCTTGTAATCATTCTGGTACTACTATTATGAAAACCGAGATCAAGAGGTTCTCACGAGATTTTTGTGGCTTTCTGTTGTTTAGATACTTAGATATGAGCATGGCTAAGAACAGTGGGAAACTGTATTCTAGAAATTGTGAGGCCCTTGTAATGTCTCTGAGGTGCACATCAAAGGTCAATTATGTAGAGCTGAAAAGAACCAACATTTAAGCCCTCCTTGCATTGCCCTGAATTTGCTGCTCAGGTTACTTAAAGTGATTGATGCAAAACATGAATGATTAGGTTCAGATGTTCCTTAAATACCACAATATATGGTATATTTATTCATAAGAATTCAAGAAATGCGTCCAGGGGAAAAAAAATTCTAAAATTCTGCTATACTTCCCTGGAAGCTGGAAACGTTTATTTAAATTAGGAATTTTAGAGTTTCCCTTTATTGTGGAAAAGTAACTTAGTGTGAAGACATTACTTAATCAATTAATTGTTTTGGGTTATGTCTCCACAGACATGGAATTGTTTAATTTGGATTCCAGAACCTTGTAAGTTTGTGTGATTTAAAGTCTATATGTTTTGTGTTTATGTAATATATATTATGGCCATTGAACGCTTTATAAGTTGCACCCATCTAACACTGGGTTTGAGTTGTATTTTTCCTTTGGCCTGAATTATTTACTGCTTGGATTCACTAAGGTACTGACATTTCTTAAAGGAGCACTATAGGGTCAGGAATACAAACACTGCAAATTTTCTCTGAAAAGACAGTGTTTACAGCAAAAAGCCTGAGGGGATTGATTCTACTCACCAGAACAAATGCAATAAGCTGTAGTTGTCCTGGTGACTATAGTTTTCCTTAAGAATGATGGTTTCATAGTAGAAACTATTTCCTGCAGACCTCCCACTCAACACATTAGTTTGAGAAAGTTCTATTCATTTTCAAAAATTAGTAAAGTGAGGCTCAGGGTCAGGAAAAATGCTTGGGTACCAGTGTTGTATTTGCCGCGAGGCAAAAAAGGAATTTGCTTTGGGCGGCACTTTCCAGGGGGCGGCAAAAAACGCTGCCCCCAAATGCCAAGGCAAATGCCTTGTTAGCCCCGGGGCAGGCGGCTAGCTGAGGTCCAGGCGGGTGGCGAGGGAGAGCTTATTTCTGAGCTCTCCCTGCTCGTGCGCCGCACAGTGATGCTGGGAGCCGGAATATGATGTCACATGCCGACTCCCGGCATCACCCTGCAGCACGCGAGGGAGTTGAGCAGGGAGAGCTCAGAAATCAGCGCTCCCTTGCTGCCTGCCTTGACCTCAACTGACCGCCTGTCTGCCTGCACATCTTCCTGCCCCACCGGACCCCACGTAAAAAATTCACCTAGCTCTCCCAAAGTTAGTCTGAGTGTGTGTCTGTGAGGGAGCCTGTGTGTCGGAGTGACTGTGTGTGTCTCTGTCAGTGAATGTGTATGTGAGTGATTGCGTATGCCTGTCAGTGTGGGTGTGTGTGTGTCTGCGTCATTGTGTGTATGTTAGTGAGTGTGTGCGTGTCTGCCAGTGTGTCAAATCAGTGAGTTAAGTGATTGAAGGGTTTTTAACCCTTGCAATACTGGGTGCGGTGCAAGGTCGGGATGGGCAAGAGTAGGGATCGACAGATTATTGGTTTTGCCGATATTCAGATTTATTTCTTTTTAACTATAGGTATCAGTCGATAATCACCGGTAATACCAATAATGAGGTGGGCCGGTGAGTCCATAAGGCGGCACAGCGCTAGATTGGAGTGACCGGCAGGAGGTGGGCGCACTTATGTTTCCTGTACCTGTCCGGACTGAAAGGAAGTGCTCACTGAGAGAGCACTTCCTGTCAGCCCGCCTGGGTACAGGAGACTGTGGGAGACAAGACAGGGGGAAGTTACACTTTGGGAGAGGAGGGTGAGGAAAAAAACGCTATGGGACGGGGAGGAAAGAACGCTTATGGGACGGGGAGGAAAAACGTATATGGGATGGGGAGGAAAGAACACTATGGCAATGGGGAGGAGGAAAGAACACTATATATGTCTATGGGGGAGGAGGAAAGAACACTCATGGCACGGGGAGGAGGAAAGAACACTTATGGCACGGGGGGAGGAGGAAAGAACACTATGGCACGGGGGGAGGAGGAAAGAACACTATGGCACGGGGGGAGGAGGAAAGAACACTATGGCACAGAGGAGGGGAGCAGGAAAGAACACTATGGGACAGGGGAAGGGAGCAGGAAAGAACACTATGGGACAGGGGAAGGGAGCAGGAAAGAACACTATGGGACAGGGGAAGGGAGCAGGAAAGAACACTATGGGACAGGGGAGGGGAGCAGGAAAGAACACTATGGGACAGGGGAGGGGAGCAGGAAAGAACACTATGGGACAGGGGAGGGGAGCAGGAAAGAACACTATGGGACAGGGGAGGGGAGCAGGAAAGAACACTATGGGACAGGGGAAGGGAGCAGGAAAGAACACTATGGGACAGGGGAAGGGAGCAGGAAAGAACACTATGGGACAGGGGAAGGGAGCCGGAAAGAACACTATGGGACAGGGGAGGGGAGCAGGAAAGAACACTATGGGACAGGGGAGGGGAGCAGGAAAGAACACTATGGGACAGGGGAGGGGAGCAGGAAAGAACACTATGGGACAGGGGAGGAGAGCAGGAAAGAACACTATGGGACAGGGGTTGGGTGGAAAGAACACTATGGAACAGGGGAAGGGAGAACACTATGGTTTAGGGTGGGAAAGAACAATATGGGACAGGGGAGGGGGGGGAGAACACTGGGGGGGGGATCAAACATTAAGGGAGGGCACTAAGGTACAGCGAAGGGAAAAGAAACACTGGGGTGGGGCACTAAAAGATAAGTGAGAGAAACATTAAGGAGAATGGGTTGGGGGGGGGCAGGGGATTAGCTACCGCACATATTTACACACAAACACACTGCATTTACTAATCAAATACTCTCACTGCATCACACACACACACACACACACTCTCACTCTCACTCTCTCACTCTCTCTCTTGAAAACATAAAAAATCTGAATGGCATGTATATTTTGTGAATTTACTGCTTAATAAAAAAGAAAATATTTGCAAAAAATATAATTTTTTTTTCTCAAAATGGTAAATGTGCAGAATATCGGTAAGCTATCGGCCTGAAAGTTCAGATTATCGGTATCGGCTCTAATAAATCAACGTCAGTCGATCCCTAAACAAGAGGAACACAATAGCGTTTGAAATACACTTTTGTATTCCTGACAGTATAATGTTCTTTTAATGTGGGTACATTATCTTTGAATAAATACCCCGCCCCCTCTCTTGTGAACAGCCATCATTTTTCTAATTCTGATTATGTACAGAAATGCAAATTGTTATTTTAAGGACCTTTGCTGTGAAGACATATTTAACCCCTTCACTATGGAGCACTTTTTAATTGGAAAAAAATATTAGCCTAACACGTATTTGAAGCAAAGGATGCATAGCTAGCATATAAACATTAAAAATAAAAAAAATACACAAATTTGTGCAAATTTTAAAGTTGCAGACAAACTTTCAAAATTATGTAAATTTCCTCAATTCTTATTTTTCACTTATTCATTCAGCAAATACACAAATTTGTGCAAATTTTAAAGTTGCAGACAAACTTTCAAAATTATGTAAATTCCTGACAGTATATTTTTCACTTATTCATTCAGCCTTCATTAAAATTATTTTGGAAAAGCTTTTGATGGTGTACAGTGTCCTTTAGGTTCAATTGATCCACATATGATATCAAATGTTGGTATAAAAGAAAAAATTCTATATTTCTCACATATATTCGGTGTGACTGAAATATATAAATGTAAAAAATGGTCCAATACCTTTCTTATAGGTATTTGTAAGGACCGTGACTGCCTTAGTAGTAGTTAAACTAACTAAAAATGGCAAGAGAATGTAAAAATAAAAAAAATAATGCATTTAAGAACAGTCCTGGACCGCCAAGCAGAGCAGACGCATGGCACTATAGCTCCTGCTATTCTCAGACAATTTGGTCCCAAAAACGGAACTTCTGGAGCTGAGTCACGACAGGCAAGTGCACTGAGAAGTGCCAGTCCTGGAGAACAATCAGCGACCTGATTCTTGGCCCCTTTTGGGGGGAACATGGAACCCTAGGACCGAGGCATGGTCAAGCCTATTCAGGTGGTGGGTAGGGTGGACGGCCACCGCCCTGCTACCCTGCCTGGCTGCAACATGGGGGTCCCCTAACTCAGTGGGGTGATGGCCCTGCTTCCCCCCTTTTGGTCTGGTGGGGGTCATCCCGGCCTACCCTGGGGCTCTTACCCGAGCAGAGACTTCACTCCGGAGACATCACCTAAGATGGCGGCTGGGCCTGACCGGCACGCTATGGAGGAAGAGGCCCCTCCTCGGGGCTCTTGGCGCTCACTGTGGGCTACTCAGGGAGAAATCATTTGAGCAACCTACCTAACCTGAGACCCGACCTGGAGTGCTCCAATCAACACCGAGGACCTTGAGCGGAGACCAGCTGACTGACAAAGCGACTCCAAGGGTATTCAGGCTGCAAGCTGGCACGATCCGGTGAAGCCAAGCCACACACACGACGGCCGCGGTTCACTATGAAGACCTCACACATACCCAGCTCCCAGCCGCAACCGGCTGATACCGTCCTACAAGCTACACCACAGCTTCATTATTCACAGAAGGAGCTGAGAAACACAGAACTGTGACCTGCCAGTGATGGGAGTTGGCTGCTCTCTGCACAGGGACTGGGGCTGCCTACTCTCTGTCTCTGAATAACCACAATCAAGATCACGTCCACCTCTCCTCGGGGAGGAGAGTCTCTGTCCGGGGGACCCAGTGTTCTTTAACAACGGTGACATAAATTTCCTTTTTTTTTTTTTTTTTTTAAAGCAACACTAACCATGCCATCTTGCCTACCAAACCTGTCTCTTTCACTCAATCTATAATAACTATGATTTCAGTTTTAGCCTGCACTTCCATCTCTCCAGCCTGTTAATTTAGCTAATATGTCTAAACAGATTTACAATTAACCTACTCAGGCAAATATAACTGTACTGCATGTATACAATCTGTTAGCTCTTGACACAAAATGCTAATAATATGCTCAGATAGTGCAGTGATGTGACCTTATGTACCAAGCAAGTCTCAGCTATGTTCAGCTAGCATGTTAATCCCCATAGGCTGCATGATTGACCAGTTTTTTCTTTTGTGCAACCATGATTCAATGTTTAACCTCTAACATGTTTCCCACCCTGAATATAAAAAAAAACGGTGCTATGTATTTTAATGCCATACCTATGTTAATGTATGTTTCCATACCTGCTTGCACCAGCTATTGTGGCAGTGCAAACATGATTGTTCACGTGAAGCACAAATAAAATAAAGAATTAAAAAAAATAAAACTTCTTTAGCAATCTTTAATCACTCTCTGGACTTCTGTAATGATGAAGTAATGCCAACAGTTCAATGGTAGTCTGTTTATTCCTCCTCTGTCCTTGACTGTGAAATTATATGCCTAATTGAAACCTCATTCATGTTTCGTGTAGAATATTATATATTCTATGTTACTATTTGTATTCATATTGAGTATGGATGTCTAATGAGTTAAAAAGAAAATAGATAGTAATTTGCTATGCTGTACCATGAGAAGTCTGGAATGTGGGTATATAATAAGAAGATTGAGGGTCCTTAGGTGGTGTCCTTATATGGTCAAAGATTTAGCTAAAAGTTCTGATGTCATTATATCTATGTCTATAAAAGAACCGTAGACCATGTTCTAAAGTTCTGCTGTACTGTTTTTCTGGACAAAGACGCTTACTCTCTCTGCAACATCGTTAAGCTGTACCATCTGTTTTTTTCTTTTATGTGTGTACTGCTGTTTGCATTGTGAGTGGAGTACATTTTTTTTTAAATTTTTTTTTTTATTATTGTATTGCGTATCCCAATCACCCATATACATATTTATTACAGTTTGGAATGCAGTGGCTGAGCTTGCATTTTCTGAGCACTTGCAACCATTAACCACTTAAAGGGACACTGTAGGCACCCAGACCACTTCAGCTAATTGAAGTAGTCTGGGTGCTGTGACCCTTTTGCACTTAAACGACCTTGTTTACATTGCAGCACTAAGTCTAACCTCTGTGACTGTCTAACAGACAGCCACTGGGGGGTCTTCCGGAACCCAAATGGACTTTTGTTCCGTTATCTGACGCTGGAGGTCCTTACGGACCTCCAGCGTCAGATTTTCCCCACAGGAAAGCATTGAATTTCCCATGGGGAGGTCTAATGCGCAAGCGGCCATTGCCGCGCATGCGCATTAGGTCTCCCCCTCCGGCTGACAGCGGTGGAGGAACGCGGGCGGAGACTGGATTCAGGTAAGTGCCTTAACTGGTTTTAACCCCTTCAGCCCTGCAGGAGGGGGGCCCAATGGGAGGGGGAGAGGGGCTATTAACCCTGTAGTGCCAGGAAAACGACCTTGTTTTCCTGGCACTATAGGATCCATTTAAGGTTGGAGGGAATTGTCCAAGTTCTGAATCAATACAAAATCTAGAATTTGTGCTTGGTATTTGTTCAACTGGGATATAAGGGATTCTCTTAAAGTGCCCCCATACCAATTATATTTATATATATATATATATATATATATATATATATATATATATATATATATATATATATATATATATATATATATATATATATATATATATATTTTAAAGGACTTTCCTTTAGTATTCTATTTGTTTACCTAAGGCATCATGAAACAAATAGGAGGGGGAAAAAAGTTTATTTATTTAGTTATTTATTTATTTTTTTGTTCCTTCACATTTTAGTTTTTTATGGTAATTTTAACACAACCAGTGCAACTAAATAAAGAGCTCAAAATAGATTCACATATCAGTCCTGATTATGAAATGCCTTGTATGTTTAGGATCTATATTTTTTTTATGATTAACGCCAACACTGTGCTTATTCTAACCCTAATCGTATACCTGTCATAACCTTACCCCTAACCTTAACCCTACACTACTCCTAATCCTAAATCCGTATTAACCCATACCTTGCCCGAATACTAAGTCTACACAAACTCTACCATTAACTGTAACGCAAAGGATACCCTCTGCTGATATCAGTAAACCAGTATGGCATATTACCACTGTCTACTGGCTGTCTTCAGTATTGCAGGAATATCCTTGTATTGCTGAAAATCAGGCATGCCAATTACACTTGGCCTGAGGCAATGCTGGGTGCCTATAGTGGTCCTTTAAGTTGCATTGTTTATAAATAAGTGAAACTAAAGAGTAAAACAAATGTGTTTTTTCCTCAGGTTGTTTGATGAAAATAAGAAGTTCATTAAACATTAATTGTCCACTATACCGCTAAGAATACAAACCTGTATTCCTAATGCAATGGTGTTCTACTAACGTCTGCGCTTCCCACCCCATGTGCATAAGACAAAAAGATAATAATATGGAAAATGTTTTTATTTTCCAAAAACTCACTCTCAGTATGTGATTGGTTTATTTGGGTATTTATTGTTGCAGCTATTGTTAGTTTCAGGGTAACATTAGCTGTATAACATCTTCATTTCCCAATGGAAACATCTAAGCTTTTCATCATCTTAGAGACTTTGATCAATGGGATGTACTATGTATAAGCCTAGTTGGTTCTAGATAATGTTGTCTCATTTTGAAATCAGGTTCACATGCCTATATATTTAGCAGTTTAATCTGCAGGTTTACAGAGAGTCGTTTCATGGAATTATTCTTAAGCAGTCGGAGTTACTACTGTCAACAACAATAGAAGATGAGAAGCTTGGCCAGAACGTCTAAATTATAACCAACGTGAACACTGTTTACTGAATTGGTGTTAACAACTGTGAATGGTTATAGAGCTTATTGAAGAAAAGGCCCCTAAAGGCTTCTATTAAGCAGCCGTCTTGTATATTCTGAAAATAATCTGGAAACACCTCCTGTTATAACAATAATAACACACAATCCTAGAGCTTTTTCAAACTATCTTGGTGTAAGCTATTCAACAACATACAGCTGGCTATAAATCTGTATTGGCTCCTTTAAAGTCTCAAGAATATTTACCATCTGGTCCCAATACACAGCGTAAATGGCCAATGCAGTTTTGATCCTTTTTGCTTGGAAATTATTCACTCCATTTCATTTACTGTAAATATCAATGGGTTACCTTTTTCTTGATTTATAAAAAGTCCAGCTTATGATTTTGGGCTGTTTCTAGTTCCTTGTTAAAGTAATCCAGATTCCAAATGACTTATATGCGATTAGATAATACATTTTTGTTTAGTTTGTTTATTTTTATTGCTACCATTGAAATGTTACAATTGTCGTTTAATAGTGAACGTGATTAAAGCAAAAAAAAAAATACCAACGAATATAATTGACTGTTCAATTAAAGAGCCGTTCTTATATAAGCTTAGTGGACAATTAAATATTAAAATAGATGTGGTGTAATATGAAGAATAAGAAAATATGTATGTTGAATATCATCTGCAAAGGCACAAAAAAACATTTCATACAAATCTGTCCCAAAGAAATAATTCCCAGACACAAGAACACCTAAATGGATCATTTTATTTACTTATATAAAAAGGATTCTTAATAATGTGACCTTCCAGGCACATGGACAAATGTCATATATTGTAATATGCATAATGTTGGACCTTCTAATCTGAATTAATTATACAATTTAGCTTCTCCTTCGCCTATTAACTGAGTATGTGCTTGATGTCTTTTTTCCTCTGTATGCATTGATTGACTGAAATGATTAAGCCGTATCCTTGTTGCACAGAGGTGAGCTGCATCAAGGCAGAATCTGTATATTCCATAATAAATAAAATTTAAGATTTTTTTTTTTTTGCAAAGATATATATGAATATCATTGGTTTGCCTGGTACCAGCCCATAAGGCTTATATTATCCAAATGAAGTAAAATACATTGATGCACTCATGGTCTTTCCATTTATTATATTTTTTTATTACAAATACATGTACCGGTAATCCCCAAAAATCTATCGTTTTTTGGGGATTACATGTATTTGGAATAAAGAAATATCGTTAGTGGCAAGACCATGCGTGCAGCCATATATTTACTTTATTTATACACAATTTTTAATTTTTTTTTTAAAGAAACACTACAGGGTCAGGAGCACAAACATGTATTCCTGACCCTATAGTGTTACATTCACTATCTTTTCCCCCACACACTTTTTTATTACAATCTGGTGCTGGCTCTGCCCATGATCTGCCTCCTTGGCTGACCTTATCGGAAGTGATGATCTGAGCCAATCACAATGCATAGATGATGGTTTTAACACTATAGCATCAGGAATCTATGTTTGGGATCCTGACCCTATAGTGTCCCTTTAAATATCTATGTAAAATGCACAGGCAACTGTGGTCAATGTTTGAAGTTACTGTAGTGTAATTAAGCATAATCGTCCTGTCAACTTCAATCTAATCTTGATGTGCTTGTAATATATTCACTTTCTGTTGTGCTTTGCTCTTGATTTGGAAATTGTTCAAGCCATAATAAGATTTTGCTATTCTCTCATCATATGTTTGAGCTATTGCCCTTAAAATCCTTTATTTGTAACAAGTTGAAGCAATGAAAAATGATCATGAGTGAATATTCTAACTAGTCGAGCAAAAGCTTTAATTTAACAAAGACCTAGTTGGCCATCATAAACTAAAGGTGGTTCTGATAAAATGCCAGGGAAGGCTTAAGGCCATATGATATAGATTAGAGAATAGGTTCCGCTCAAGTATTAAAGGTCAACAGACACACCGGATTTTAGGGGAAAACAAAGTTTAATATTGATATTGTTAACTTAATCTTATATTTTTCTATCATGATAGGATAAGTATTATTATTTGTGTAATGCAAGACAGTAAAATTGGAGATGGTTGTTTTCATTTTTTTTAAAGTTTATGTTTGTTATAGTTATAATATAGTAAGATAATGCTAAAGTGAGCGTGATGGTGTCTTGGAAGTTAAGGAGCTTTTAAAGCATTTTAAAGAAATATTAGCAGAAATGATTGTGGGCATGTTGGGTTGTAACATTTAAATTGGTTTATGAGAGAATTTTGTTTTGTATAATAGTTTCTGGTATATTTATTTTTGCTCTGAAAGAGAACAAGTCTCTAGAAGATACTAGGACTAAACAAAATCAGCACCTAAAACATAGATGTCTTACCCATCCATATGCTTCTTAATCTCTAACCCTGAATAATTTTACTGAATTTTTGTAAAACCACACCTAAGCTAAAACCCTTTAAGAAATACAAATAATATAAACTAAATATGAGGAAAAGAGGTTTTGCCAGGTGGAATGACAATATCATACATACAATATATTTATAACTGTTTTTAAAAAAAAATGTTTACAGAAAAGAATTGGAGTAACCCTTTAAGAATAAAGGTTTTTTTTTTTTTTTTGTATTCCTGACCCTATAGTGTTAAAACCACCATCTGGCCCCCCTGGGCCCCTCATGCCTCCATAAATATAGCAAAATCATACTGTATTCAAGCCTGAAGCTGTAGATCTGCATGCTGTTTGCCTCAGAAAAACATGCTAGCTGCTATCATCAGAAGTGGTGGCCTGATCCAATCACAATGCTTCCCCATAGGATTGGCTGAGACTGACAAGGAGGCAGATCAGGGGCAGAGCCAGCATAGTTCAAACACAGCCCTGGCCAATCAGCATCTCCTCATAGAGATGAATTGAATCAATGAATCTCTATGAGGAAAGTTCAGTGTCTGCATGCAGAGGGAGGAGATACTGAATGTTTTAATGCATTTTAGGCAGCCATGACCCAGGAAGGATCTCTAACAGCCATCTAAGGAGTGGCCAGTAAAGTTATCACTAGGCTGTAATGTAAATACTGCATTTTCTCTGAAAAGACAGTGTTTACAGCAAAAAAACTGAAGGTAATGATTCTACTGACCAGAACAAATTCAATAAGCTGTATTTGTTCTAGTGTCCCTTTAATGAAGAAGTTTTGGTGCAAAGATAATGCCCCTGCAGTCTCACTGCTCAATTTTCTGCCATGTTGGAGTTAATCACTTTGAAAGAGTCTGCAACTCACATGCAGGGATGTGACTATGGCTGTATAAACAAACACATTCTGTAAAGATAGATCTAATGTTTATACTTCCATTATTGCACAGTCTGCAATAAAGAACATCCTGTGTGTGATTAATTCAATTTACAGGGCAGGGGTCAAAACTTATAAAGTAACTTAACATCTCATTGAAAATGAAACCATTTTTTCATGTAGGCTATGTGAGTCACAGCTGGAGGAGATGTGGCTTGCGCTGCATAAACCAGAACTTAACTGATTTAACTCCTAAATGGCAGAGAATTGAGCATTGAGATTGCAGGGCTTGATCTATACACTGAAACGGCTTCATTAAGCAAAAGTAATTTAAACCCTTGGTTGGGCCTGGTCCGTCATGCTGGGGAAGCACTGAACGAAGGATCCATTCCGCCATGCACTAAAATTACCCCTCAGGGGTTAAAAAATATATATTTAGCTAGCTGGGGTGGGTGGAAGTTAGTGGGGAATTGGGGAATTTTGTGTTAGGCTAACTAGGGGTTAACGTTAAAGATTTAAAAAGTTGAAAAAAAAAATGTTTTAATAACGATAAAAAAAAAAAAGTAAAAATAATCCCTTACACAGTCCTAATAAAAATTAACCCCTTCCCTGCCAGTTCATCACTGCTTACGGTGATCACAGTATAATACTGTGAATTGTATTTTTATCTTTTTTTTTTTTTTTTTTAACCCCTGAAAGTTAACTTATTATTTTTTTTTAACCCTCATGGGTTCAATTTATTTCATTAATTTAAACATTTTAAAATAATATTTTGCTAACTGGGATTGGTGGAAGTTATGGGAAATTGTGGAATTTACTGTTAGTGCTGCTTACTGCTAGTCAGGGGTTAATGGTAAAAATAAAAAAGTTTATACAAATTTTAAGTGTTAAAAACGTTTTAAGAAAGTTTAAAAAGTAAAAAAAAATATAAGTAAACAAAAAAGTTTAAAAAAGTAAATACATTAAAAAATGCTCATTATAACTACACCGGCAACAAACTGCTCCCAGGCTAAGGTTCAAAGTATGCCATTTGAATTACCCCAGAGTGTATTCTTTAATAAATAGTATGTGTTTATGGGATAGTGTTTGAATAACCAACCAGCTAAACTGCTCCGAAATGAAACATGGACACAGCGTAAAACTTCAAAGTTAGAACAAAAAACTGGCTACGTCTCAAACGTGCCCCTTCAACATCCACATATTCCTGGCAAAGGTACATATTGTTGTACTTGGACGACATAGCTGAGCAACATATAAAATATTATACAGCCTTTGCATACATAAGATTTGCAAAATATACGGTGCAAACTCACTTTGTGTGTCAAAAAGGCAAAAAAAATGCTTATTACCACTACACTTGGTACAAGCTAGTGGAAAAAAGATGACTACGCTAAGGTTCAAAATATGCCTTTTGAAATACCCAGGGATGTCTTCTTTAAAAAAATGGTATGCCTTTATGGTGTAGTTGGAATATGTTGCTTGCTGAAGTGCTCCAGAATGGAACACGGAGCCATCAAAACCATCTATGAAAATGCACACTTAAAAACCTGAACTTGTCACGTCTCTTATCAGCTCTGTAACTTCACAAAATAGTGTCTAGGTCATACATTTGGCATATTGTTTTACTCAGAAGATGTAAATGAGCATAAATTGGGGGATTTTATGACAGTGGCACTTATCAAGTGTAAGAAATACTTAGCAAAAATGCAACATGTATGTAAAAAAAATAACATTTTATTTCCTCACCACAAACATTGACATAAACTGGTGAAAAAATGGTGACAAGTTAAGGAACAATATACACCATATAAGATACCCTTGGGTGTCTGCTTTCTCAAATGGAAGCACTTTGTGGGTGTATTATAACATTTAAACTGAAATGATTATAATGCCACAAAATGTGACATACTGTAGAGGCCCATCAAATCAATCTATGAAAATTCTAACTATAGAGATTGAAATAGCCTTGTCTCTTTTATGGCACTGTAGTTTCACAGAATACTGCCAAAGGCATACAATGGGGGTATCGTTGTACTCAGCAGATATACCTGAACACAATATGGGGTTCTGTACAGGAATAACACACCCATGTTTGCGAAATACACTTAAAAAAATAACTTGTTATGTGTATATGCCAAAATAGAGAAAAACACAATTTTACTCCAATATTTAGCAGAGATTAGTGATGAAATAGCTATGTAAAAAGTGTCAAAATAACCTTAGGTAAATAGCCTGTGATGTCTACTTTATATAAATATATACTTTTGTCTGGCAATTTTGTTTTTTGTGATGGCTACTAAACTTTACAAGACAAACATACCAACTTCTAAAATTCTTTCACATTGAAATTATATTTTAGTCCTTGTATTTTGTGACCTGTAACTTCAAAATAAGCTGAAATCCTATACATATTATGTAGTCTATAAATCAAGACACATAAATGAATTTATTTTGAATTACTTTTCTTAAGCTGGACATATTATGCACACGCTATTATTGCCAAAAGTGTGCATTTTTTTTTTGGGGGTTCTCCCCTCTATTTTTTAATTATTGACAATTTACATATGGATATGTGACATCGATTTTTTTTTTTGTCCTCTAAAAAATGCATATATTATGTGTTAGTGCAATAAATGAGAGAGATGCAAATTGTGGTTGAACACAAACAGCAAAAAATGATGCATAAATTGCTTGTGTTCTTAAGGGGTTAAAGGAATACTCGAAGCACTGTAGTGATTATGGTGCCAAGAGTGCCCTCTCACCATACCACGGTATTATTAGTCAAACCAACTTTGAATGGCTTGATAACTTATTGGGCCCACTGGATGCCCATGGCATCCGGCTCGATGTCTATAGAAAAAAGCATAGCAGGACTGCACTTTTTGGCTGTTATCGGAGGCAGAAAATTTACCAAGGTGTAGTGTCTGGCATGGCGAGCACCTAGTATACCTAGTTATTGCAAGACCTCATATTTAGTCTTATAAAAAGCATAAAAAGATGTTTAAAGATTGATCTCAATGGACTGGAGTCTTCTTTTTTTTTTAATCTAGATTACTATAGCACTATGTAACTGTGTCTTTGAATTGACATCACAAAGATTAGTGCTTCTTCTGGACCAAGGGGTTTATTGTATTCCTCTAAATTGTATGGTGTTCGTTTAAGAAGATCAAAAGAATGCTGCCAAGTGCACAATTTCAAATTAGGCATGTGGTTTCAGTATTTTACAAAGGCTATTTCTAAAAATGTTAAATCAAAACCTATTAAAGTAATCCTATTTCAAAATGTTGGTTTGTTACAGACTGCTGATCATTGCAGTATTTTTTTTATTCTCAGATCCTTGTATATTCATTGTAGAGAGTGGTTCCCAAACCAGTCTTTGTGGCACTTCTACCAGTCCAGGGTTTATGGATTACCCAGTTGTGTCTAAGGTATTTTTTTTTAGTTCTTGTTGATTTGGGTAATCCCTAAATCCTGGACTGATAGGGGTGCCTTTAGGACTGGTTTGGGAACCACAAAGAGAAATGTTGCAAATGCATTTTTAACATATACAGAAATACTTGGCAAAGCTAAGGGACTAAGATTTGTTTTATTTGACAATTAGTGATATGTAATGTGAATACAGCTTTAAAACTATTTGAGGTGAGAATTGTACATTTTAAGTTAAAGGATTACTCCAAGCACCATGATCATTTCACTGATTTTAATTAAGATAATAAAAGTTAAATTGGAAAAATTTTAACAATTTTGGCCCATATAATGCTATATACAATTCCTCTTTTTAAATTCACAGTTTTTTAAAATAAGCTTTATCGAGTATGATGTACCCACAATAATGTAATCAAACAGTACTATATTTGCATGCAACTAAATTAAGTTGTTATGGTGCCTGGAGTCTTTAGTGGGTTAAACCGTTCTCTATGGTTTAACCCAGCAGTTCCCGAACTGTGTGCCGCAGCGCCATGGAGTGCCGCAACGTGCACACAGGGGTGCTGTGGAATGTTTCCCTGGTGCTATGATCTATAAGAGCTATGCTTTGATCTGTAAAGAGACATCAAATGTTTAAAGTTCCTTTATTGCAAATTCGGTTTAATTTAGAATTTCCTATCAATGCTACAATGCTGCCGCCCATCCCATGTGTTCCCTATTAAGGGTTAATAAGTATATAGGGGTGTATATAAAAAATACTCCTCTGTCTCATTAGAGATATCTTTGCCAGAAGCTCAAGGAAGCAGGCTGAAGGGTCAGTGTTAGGACCCGCTTGGGGGGGGTCTGCCTTGACGTTGGCAGGCGGGCATTCCCTCCAATGGCCATTGTAGCAACTAAATGACCTCCATTTGTCTAAATATACATAGGGATTAAGGAGAGAGCGCAGGTAACTTTTTTTTCTTTTCTTTAATTTTTTTCATGTTGGCTTTATGAGTCACAACTCAGGGAAGTGTGGTTTGGGATGTATAAACCGAAACAAAAGCGGTTTAACACCTAATTGGCAGAGAATTGAACAGTGAGACTGCAGGTTCATGATTTATACAAATTAAAACTGTTTCATTAAGCTAAAGTTGTTTTGATGCCAATAGTGTCAATTTAAGTTTGCAGAAATGTCATCACTGTTTCCTTTCCTTCTTTAAGATTATGCAAATCAACCTGGGGTCACTGTTCCATATACCACAAAAGATATCCACCTGGATTTTCCTATCGGAATCTATATATGAGGCTGGATGAAGGAAGCCTAACGTTTAACGCTAATCCTCATGAGGTAAGATTAGTGGTTAAAATTATATATTTTTTTTGCAATATTGCTGTATTGCTGTGGCACCAGCAACACTCTTACAATGTGTGCATGTACCGGTGAGTGAGGTTTCAAATGTATATCTATTAGGGAGTCTAGGCTAACTTCCTTGGTTTTGCACCTTTCAATTACCTCATTACAGGATCCTAGTCAACCTTGACCCAGGAGAATGTATTTCTCAAGTAATTGTGTTACTTATAAGAGCAGGCATTAGGTTGCTAAAATAGGACCTGCTAAAAATAAGATACATTGTCATTGTGGCTGGTTTATACAATGTAGGATCATATACTAACTTCGTGAGTGAGAATGCCGGATTTTGTGTGTGTCTGTGTTTGTGTATGTATGTGTGTATGTATGTAATATATATATCTCAAATACAGCTTGGCACTCTCCTAGTCACTGAATAAATAAAGGTAATAATTGCCTAGGTGCTACCCGCGTTAAGCATATATCCAAATAATATCAGGGGTGCACGCACAGGTCTTGTGAAAAAAATCTTGGTTTAATGGAACAAAAAACTTTGGTTACATCTGTAATGCAAGCGACGTTTCGACCCCTTACGGGTCTTTTTCAAGATTTTGAAAAAGACCCATAGGGGATGAAATGTTGATTGCATTACAGATGGAACCAAAGCTTGTTGTTTTTTTGGTTTTTTTTGCTCCATTAATATATATTTGTAATGCTATACCTGAAGTACCTGGGGAATTATATATATGCTACGTGCGTACTTGCTGTACCTGAATAGCACATTCTCATTCTTAGCTCAATGATGGACATTTCCACAAAGTTTTTCAGTGGCATAACTATAGTCTTGATGGAACTACTCACAGAAGAAAGGTGTTTACAAAAGTGTTTTAAATGTAGTAACATTGTTTTGTTAATAGGGCAGATTAAACACGCCAAACGCCACGCGTGCCTTGGCACACACCTATAGAGAAAGTAGTCGATCCATTTTTAGATCGGTTTAATAACTTACCTAGTAGTTGTTAGGGAAATGCAGATTTAGGCAAGACCAGCGCAGCGATGAAGATAAAGGGACACTGCACACTTTAACCACTTCAGCTCATTGAATTGGTTATGGTGTCTAGAGTCTCCTTCCACTGTCCCTCCATTCAGTGTTTAACCACTTTCAAGCATTTTAATACTGAATGAGGGTGCCTGGCTTCCCATAGTCCAGCCCCCACTGCATTTGTGGCTAAGGCAGAAATTGCCAAGGAATTTCAGACACTATAACTACTTCAATTAAATGAATCCGGTATGGTGCCTACAGTATCACTTAAAGTAAAACTCAGTTTTTTTACTTAAAAAATTTCTCCAAAGATTTCAAATTAATTTGAAAAGCTCATCCAAAAATATTTAATCAATTCCATAATTGGTTATTATCTTTACTCTCCCTTTTGTTAGTAGCTGTAGATTCTATATGTAATGCATATATTGGGGAAAAGAGCACCTTAATGTGAATCTTTGTTATACAATACTTTGTAGGTAGTAATTTTAGAGTAGGTTGGTATTTCTCTTATAAGGGAATTTCTCTTGGTTATTTATAGCTTTTTTTAAATAGTGTAACATTCTAAATATTTTGTAATAAAGATTTATATTTAGTAATTTTCTACTCACCACCTTCTTTTCTGTCGTCTCTTTTTATTATCTTTATGATGGGGTAACACACCAATTTGTGGTGGTTGGCTATATATTTAAATTTATATTTAAATTCTTATGTTGTTGCTAAAAGAGGGCACATTTGTCAGATTAGTGAAATGATCAGAGAAACTCATGGAAAATGCAGGGACATTCCAAATATTTTTGTGGTGACTGCATTGCTTTTAGAATTTTGATACAACTGCTCTGTTAGCAGCACTTGTATACATTTCTCCCAGGTTTCTGTTGGGATTTATGGACTGCCTTTGTCATTTTTATATCTGCGTCAAGGCTCCTACTTGATTGACTGACTAAATTGAAATTGTGGTCTGTGAAATCTTCTCTGTGTCTTTTGTAAGTGTAGATATTCGGAATTATGTTAAGCCTGCTTTAAAGCAGGTGTCTGGACAGTCGAGAACATACACCATGTAATGCACAATTGTGTAAACTTATAAAAACATTAAACAAAAAAAATACTTAACAGCTCCAAAACATATCAAAGCTCAATTTATTTATAGAAATAAATCGGACCTGAAACGCGTGTTTCCTGCTAAATTATCTACATATAGTCTAATTAAAAATTAGCATTATTTAAAAAAAAATATATATATATATATATATATATATACACATTACCCAGTGGACTTATTTATTTTATTATTGTATTTTTTATTATTATTTTTTAAATATTATTATTGTTGTTTGTTATTAAAGGACCACTATCGGTACCCAGACCACTTCAGCTCAATGAAGTGGTCTGGGTGCCATGTCCATCTAGGGTTAACCCTGCAGCTGTAAACATAGCAGTTTCAAAGAAACTGCTATGTTTACATTTGGGTTAGTCCAGCCTCTAGTGGCTGTCTCATTGACAGCCGCTAGAGGCGCTTCCACGCTACTCACTGTGAAAATCAGTGAGAAGATGCCAGCGTCCATAGGAAAGCATTGAGAATGCCTTCCTATGGACAGACTAACTGCGCGCATGGCTCTTGCCGCGCATGCGCATTCGGTGGAAGAGGGAGGAGAGTCCCCAGCGCGAAGGGAGCCCGCCGCTGGAGAATGGTAAGCCTTTAACCCCTTCCTCCCCCTAGAGGCCGGCGGGAGGGGGTCATGAGGGTGGGGGGGGGACCTATTAACACTATAGTGCCAGGAAAACGAGTTTGTTTTCCTGGCACTATAGTGGTCCTTTAACTGAGAAAAATTATTCAGATCATTTTTTTAATTTTTTTATCCTACACCAGAAATGAGCATATATAAGAACTGTTTAATTAATTTCCATGTCACTCACAGTTAGCACAATTTGAATATATACAATTGTTCTTGTTCAAGGGAATTGAATACTTTCTATCCAGGGGAATACTTGATGATACACCAAAAGAAATAGCAAAGTTTATATTTTATACCAGAACACTAAACTGGAAAAATCTGAGGGTATATCTTGATGAAAGGTAAGCTCAATTGTTGGAAAATTATTGTATATGCATTTTTTATTTTAATTTTTCATTTTTTTTAAATGAAAATGAAATCCAGACCGGCTGAATGGCAACAGATTATATCTTTATATTTCACTGTGTTGCTTGCATAACAAAGTATTCAAAACAAAGTGTGACATAGTATCTGATTAATAACTTGTTTAATTTATGTCATTTTTATTTTAAATTAACACAACCCCAATATATCAAAATACACAATTTTATTACTCTAAATATATATTTAATAAATGAAACTGAAGAAAAAATTCTATATTGATCAAGCTAATAATTTGTTTTCTATAGGATTTGCACTGACTGTTTAATCCATTTTCCTAAAATAGAAATGACTCTTCAATAAAATGCAGTTACCTGTTCTATCTGCTTCTGTTCCTTGCTGATGGTCTGTACAGCAGATCACATCACATTGTTTCTGATTTAGAACATATGTCCAGATTTTGGGACATCACTCTGTGAAACATGAGATTGACACAATGATCAGTTCAGGGTTAAAAAAAATTTTTTAATTCAAATATTTACATTTTGAATTTTAAAATCTTATAATTATTATTTTAAAATGTAATGTGATTTTAAATAATGACTTAAATAAAATCTTTCTGCATCTTGAATTGGTTAGAGAGGAGTTAAGATGTCTTAATGAAATGTAGGCTCTTTCACTATTTGTCAAATACATTTTTCAAGACAATAAATATTTGCTAATATTTGATTTTTATACTATTACATGTGCCATAGAAGTCTCAAAATCTTCCTGGCACTTGAAGTGTAACTTTCACCTGTAATAGACAGCAACCAATTAAATTTAAAAAAAAAAAAAACTTTTACAAAACATTTAATTCCTTCTCCTGCTAACATACATTCAAAAGCTGATAGGCTTTTAACTGTAATGTAAAATGTTTTGATATTATTAAAGGAACACCATAGGGTCCGGAATACAAGTTTGTGTTATTGTTTAAAAAAAAAACAAAAAAAAAACCAAAAAACTATTTAATTCCCCCCCTTAAAGAAGTTAAAATATTACCTTTATTCTAGCGCTGCACTAGCCCCGCCTTTTTAAACAATAACACAAACTTGTATTCCGGACCCTATGGTGTTCCTCCTTGGCTGATTTTATCAGAATTGATTATGTCAGCCATGCCAGTGCTTTACAGTGGATTGGCTGAGATCGTCCTTTCTGGTGATCTCAGCCAAGGAGGCAGGCATGGATGCAAACGCCACCCTTGCCATTAAGCATTTTCTCATAGAGATGCATTGAATCAGTGCATCTAAATGGGGAAAGTACAGTATGCATATAGTTGTGCAGCACTGACCCTGGAAGCACCTCTAGTCGCCATCTGAGTGATTGTCACTGGGCGTGTCCCTAGGCAGCAATGTAACCCACTGCCTTATTTCTGAAAAGGCAGTGTTTACATGAAAATGCCTGCAGGGACAGGCTATAGACACCAGAACAACTGCACTAAGCTGTAGTGGTTTTGTTGGCTATAGTGTTTATTTACCCTAAAAAAGACTCTGCTGAATAAATCTAATTTTATTGCAACCTTGTGTTGGGCAGTTTTCTGACCCATTTGGGTTTTAATTTCTGTTTTTGCTTTTTTATTAGAATGAGTAGAGCACATTTGTTTGTGATGTCATGCAATGTGTAACACATTGTAAGCATTAGACTTGTGCATGTGGTTTCTCCTGAATAGAAATTTGTCCTAATATTGGGCAATTGCAGTGTCTTTTCTCAATTTCTGAACAACTAAATATGGATGATATGCACAAATCACAAAACATACTAAAGCGATAAAAGAAAAAACTATTTCATTTGATTCACGATTTGGAGATCTGTCCATGGCTTCCAAAAAAAAAAAGAAGATAGATGATATGAATAAAGATTATTGATAGTTAGGGGATAGACATTAAATATTGATTTTATTCAAAGATCAAGTTAAAAGTGACCAATGAAGGGAGGGAAAGGAGGAGCAGTAAAAATAAAAAAAATATATATTTGTATATTTAATATATAAATATACTTTAATATGTAAAATAAAACATTCAACATTGCTACCATCATTTAAAGGAATCCTATAGTGTCAGAAAAACAGTCATTTTCTTTGCACCACCTCTTGAAAGGGCTAATGGGGCTAAAACGCCTTCAGCCACTTACCTGAATCCAGCACCAGTGTCCCTTGGTGCTGGGTCAGGCTCTGCCTACGGCGACTGCAGCCAGCTGGGGAGACCTAATGCGCATGCGTGACAATGGCCGCGCATGCATTAGACCTCCCCATCGGAAAGCATTATTTAATGCTTTCCTATGGGGAAAATCTGACGCTGTAGGTCCGTGAGGATGTCCAGCGCCAGATAATGGACCAAAAGTCTGTTTGGATTCTGGAAGCCCTCTTGTAGCTGTCTGCTAGACAGCCACAGAGGGCAAACTTAGAGCTGCAATGTAAACATTGCAAAAGGGTCACAGCACCCAGACTACTTCTGTTAGTGGTCTGGGTGCCTACAGTGTCCCTTTAACTCCTTATCCTGCTTATCATGTATTCTGCATCAGGTATTAATAAGCTTTAGGTTCAAGCATATACCTTTAGCATATGAAGAATAATTCACGACATGTTGGTAAATATTGTGAGCAAGAGTAAGAGCAAGAGTATTAATATAAAAAAGGTCATTGGAAATATTTGGAATGTCTAAAAAGCTGCTGAGTCCTCTAAGAATTAAAACATACAGGTCATATTTAAGCTCTATTTCTTCGGTAACTGAACTATTTCCATGTCTGCACTTCCTCATACACAATGAAATAAGTGTGACTATAGTGTTTGGATGTAAATCTATAATGTAGTTATGCATGGAAATTTCTGCTGCTGCTGCTGTATGTAATAACTTTTTTTTTTTTTTTTACTGAAAGGCGAGATGTCTTGGATGATCTTGTGACTCTGCACAATTTCAGCAATCAGTTTCTACCAAATGCACTGAGAGAATTTTTCCGGCACATACACGCGCCAGAAGAACGTGGGGAATACCTTGAAACACTCATCACAAAATTCTCACATCGATTTTGTGCTTGTAACCCAGGGCTTGCAAGAGACCTTGGCTTAAGCCCAGGTAAGAAAAAAGAATAGAAATGTTTATGTAATGCCAATCAGAACTCAACAGTGAATCACTAGATTGACAGTTCGAACATCTGATGATCATGCATCCTCCAAGGGGTTTTTAGTTCCTTGATGGAATGTTAATGTAGTACTCAATGCTTTGTGGGGAAAAGCCCTTTACTGAAAGTATTCACCAGTCTCTGTCTTTCAAAACAATATTTTTTTATTTAAAAAAAATATATATATATATTTTGTCCTCTTATAAAACAATAATAAAGTACAAAAATGGAGGTAACATACATTAAAAAGGAGGATGTTGACATTTACATAATTATTAATTTCGCTGCATAACACAACATTTTATAACCTTTCTGAGAATATGCACTCCAAAAATTACACTATACAGTGAAGTATATACTTGTTTCTCCTCTCAGGTGCCTATTATACTTTATGACCTTCTTCTATTCTGTTTTCTTAATAAGAATTTCCTACATTCATTCTTCCATTCCTTCATTCACTCTTGGTTCATATATATTTAACAATCTACTGAAATCCTATATTCGATTCCCTATTAACCCTGTTTAGAGAGGGAGTAAACATTGAAAGCATACCATATATTTCCTCATTCTTTTCCCTCACTTCACAAAATAAAACATTATCATAAATACAATGATATATACGGTATAATAGGCTGTCCAAGCGGTGCCATGCCTGTCACAGCAAGCATCAATCCCATGGGGGAATAATCTTAAACCATTTCAAACCATGGAGTCCAGATTTTATAATATGAGTCTAAATTACCATTTAGAACATTAAAATAATATTCAATTTACCCTTGAAACAAGGTCTAAATGACGATCTGAGACCACTCTGGAAGGCTTAATTTCTGCCATTCCCTGGCTATACAATTTTTATATATATAAAATGTTTGTATGCAAAAGTAGTATAGGCCATGGGTATAGGAGAAAAGAAAGTGTCTCCGAACCCTCATTAAAAAAAACAAAAACAAGGGCTACACAGTGGGGGGTAGAGATAGTGACAGCAGGGCATCGTTATATATTTATATTATGTAGCCAAAACTATCACAGAATTATTAAACAACACAGATATTAGTATTATTCACACACAACAAATATTTAACTAAAAAAGAGGGGCATTCATTTTTCAACCAATTGTTTCTTGGACACAGCGCCTTATAATAAAAGGTGTATTCCTTCTAAAGGAAACTGTAATCAATAGATGATAATCAAGCAAAATAAATATAATCAAAAACATAACTTTGTTTGTTCTATAAGGAAAATATTTTTCAACCAAGGAACTAGGAAAAGGTTTCACAGATTAACCACAATATAGAAAGGTTTTAATTGAGTAAATAAGGAGAAGTCCTCTCAAGTTTTGCTCAAGTAAATACAGCCGTTGTGGTGTCTCAATAAATCTGTAAGTAATCCAACCAAAATGAAGAAAAAGGAATAACTTTAAATTTTTTTTTTTTTTTTTTAAAACACCATATTATATAATCCAAAGGAAAATATGGATATCATAACAGAACCGTAACCACTTCACAAATCATTGTTAGTGGGCATGATTCTCTCTTCTTTGATTTCCTGAGAGTTTTTGGAGTTTGAGAATTTTGAGGGTCTCCTGGTGTCAAGGTGGTAATAAAATCCTCTCCTTCCATTTGGTGAATTAATTAGAATATTCTGCCCATCATGTTGGAACAGTACCTTCACTGGAAAGTCCCATCTGTATTTAATACCTTTACTTTGTATTTGTCGAGTAAAGTCCTGGAACTCTCTCCTTTTAGCCATAGTAGCAGCTGAAAAATCCTGAAAAATTCGAACATGCTTGAATTCCTCAGGAAAATGTTTTCCTCTTCTCAAGGCACCCAGAAAATAATTTGTATGTCATAGAAATTAATTCTAGTAGTGATGTCTCTTGGAGCCTCATTCGGTGCCGAATTTGTGTTCGGCAGTCTATGGCACTTATCTATTATTAGTTCTGAATCAGAGACGTTTGGTAAAATTGAGCGAATCACTCCTTTCATATAATCTGAAAGCTCATTTGCAATATTTCGTACTCAAATTTTGTTCTGTCGGCTCCGATCTTCAATATCAGCCATTTTCGTTGTAATGAAAGTAAGCAGATTCTCTATCAAACGGACCTTGGATTTAATCTCCGAATGCAAACTTACGTGTTTGTTGAGTGCTGTCTCGATGCAGTCTGTTCTGATCTCCAGCTCAGTAACCTCTTTTTTTCACAGCTGCAATCTGGGCATTCAAATCCCTGCTAATTCTTTCATGCAGGTCGTCCAACATAATCTGCATTTGTGAAACAGAGGGAAAACAGTCACCAGAAGCTGCAGGGACAGTAGTTAGTGTCCTTTGCTGAGGTGAATCCAGATCCGCTATCTTGGATCCAGGGGAAGATGCTGTTTTTTTTTCACTCATTTTAGCACTGCAACTCAGTTTTTCTGATTTCTTTTGCTTGATCATGATGTTGTAAGTAACTCCTTTATTTTTTTTATGGCAAATTAAAAAAAAAAATTCTGGCAATTTGATTAGTTTACAGCCCTGTAACTGTCACAGCTCTCTCAGACTGCAACCATCATAGGTGACAGTTGTAATTCAATATTTTTAAATAATTAATTTTAATTATTTTTTACAATATATATATTTTAATTTGGCTTCATTCAGAAGTCAGAATCCAAGTTTTTATCCCTAATCGTTGTAAATTTTATTTTTCATTTTTTGTCCCCTGGGCATCCACCCAATTAATCAATATTATTTTTACAGAATATTCTGCTGACAAATTATTTTATGGATACATTACACATACCATAGCCAGGATTATATTTACCATTCAACTTAAAGGACCACTATAGGCACTCAGACCACTTCAGTTTCAGAGAAACTGCTATGTTTATATTTGGGTTAATCCAGCCTCTAGTGGCTGACTCATTGACAGCTGCTAGAAGCGCTTCCGCGCTTCTCACTGTGATTTTCACAGTGAGAAGACGCCAGTGTCCATAGGAAAGCATTGTGAATGCTTTCCTATGGACTGGCTGAATGCGCGCGCAGCTCTTGCTGTGCATGCAAATTCAGCCGAAGAGGAGGAGGAGAGCTCTGCGCCCGGCGCTGGAGAAAGAGGTAAGTTCAACCCCTTCCTCTCCATCCAGCCCGGCGGGAGGGGGACCCTGAGGGTGAGTTTGTTTTCCTGGCACTATAGTGGTCCTTTAATGTATATGAGTTTCTGGAAATTGATGATATTTTCCTTGTAACTTTTGTATTTCTTTTATGCTTTGATTACTCTTGTGCAGATGTTGTTGTAGGCCTTTCAGTTAAAACTAGATTTGACAAAACAAATAATACAGTCTATAAAATTATTTGTTATGGTATTAAAAATACTGTCATACAATGTGAGGGGCCTTAACACTCCGCATAAGAGAAGATTAATTGCCAAAGAAGCTAGAACTCAAAAATAATAATTATCGCAATTTCTATTGCAATACCACTCTACATACAAGACCAAATCGAGAGATGTATCTATCTTCTTTAATAAAAATACAGCCCATTCCACTGTTAAGGTCATAGTTGATGAAAGTAGGAGGCTTATCATCTGGGTTGGGAAAGTAAATAATGTGACTTATACCATAGTAAATGTTTACTTTCCAAATTCTAATCGGTTAAAATATTTGAGGCGTCTTTGGAATAAGATAATGAAAGTGGTTATAGGAAAATTGATAATATGTGGCGATGGCAGTGGTACTGAAAGGCTGGCTGCAGTGTGTACTAAATTTGTGCATGATAACGGTCTTTATGATGCTTGAAGAGTGTTCCATGAAGGGGAAAAGAACTATACTTATCACTCCGTTTCATGCAACAGGTACTCCTGTATTGACCGATTTTCAGTTGACGAGAGTACGTTGTTATCTATTACCAAGGCAGAAATATTAGAAATAACATGGTCTGATCATGCTCTTGTTGTTTTATATGTGTCGGAGTCTGTCCAGTCTATCCCAAATCGCACCTGGAAATTAAGTTATCATCTTGTTTTGGGCCTGAAAAATAAAACATTAGTTGAGAATGTGTTAAAGTAGTATTTTAACCCCTTAACGCTGTTACGGCGTTCCATGCCGTCGCGGCTTTAAAGGTCTTTAAAACCGTTGCGGCGGCAAAGAACGCCGTAACTGCTTAAGCCCCCAGGAGGTTTGATCTACTTACCTCCGCCGCGATCCTCTTCTGGAGGGCTTCCTGACAGCCCAGGCGGCCCTCCCCCGGCAAATGAGGCCCCCGGGGGCCATGTGATCTCTCTCAAAGAGTGATCACATGGTCCCCTATAGCTGCCAGACAGTCCCCCTGCTGGTAGGTGGTGTAAAAAATAAAAAATAAACATGTTTAAAATTAAATTTAAAAGTATTTTATATATATATAATATATGTGTGTGTGTATGTGTATATATATGTATGTGTGTGTGTGTGTGTGTGTGTATGTATGTATATATATATATATATATATATATATATATATATATATTTTTTTTTTTTTTTAAATTTATTTATATATATATATATATATATATGTAACGTCATACAAAGTGTATTTTAATATTAATATAAGTATATATATTAATATTAAAATACACTTAGAATGACGTTACATATATATTAGATATATATATGTATATATATAATGGATATATACACATATATTATATATATATATGTGTGTATAATTACAATAATAAATAAAATATTGAAACAAAATTTTATATAAATTATATATTCATATGTAATCTCATTCTAACTGTATTTTGTTATTAATATATATTTTGGTAACAAAATACACTTAGAATGACATTCTGTATATATCTATCTACATGTAAAATACAAATAACCGCAAATATATATAGATAGATAAATACATATAATTACATAAAAGATTACATTAGTATTCACGTAGAATACCTATAAATACATATATATTAAAATTCTACGTGTATATTTAAGTAATCTTTTAACATAATTATGTGATTTGATTAATTAAAATTTGATTGACATGCCTGACAACACAGGGAGAAAGTGCAGAGAAATTAATTCGCAAGCACTATATTTGACCCTTTAACTCTCCAAGACACGATAAAACCTGTACATAGGGGGTACTGTTTTACTCGGGAGACTTCGCTGAACTCAAATATTAGTGTTTGAAACTGGTAAATTGTATTACAACGATGATATTTTAAGTAAGTGACGTTTTTTGCATTTTTTACAAATGAACGGCACTTTTATAGACTATATTATTGTTGTAATATGTTTTACTGTTTTACTGTTTTAAAACACTAATATTTGTGTTTAGTGAAGTCTCCCGAGAATAACAGTAGCCCCCCCCCCAATGTACAGGTTTTATGGTGTTTTGGAAAGTTAGAGAGTCACATATAAGACTTGCATTTCATTTTTTTGACATTGAAATTTGCCAGAATGTTGCATTTGAGAGCGTATGGAATGAGAATTACCCCCATGATGGCATACCATTTGCAAAAGTAGACAACCTGAAGTATTGCAAGGGGGTATGTCCAGTCTTTCTTAGTAGCCACACTGGCCAAATATTAGTTTTTTGTTTTTTTTTCACACAAAAATAAATATGAACGCTAACTTTGGCCAGTGTTTGTGACTAAGTGGCTACTAAAAAAGACTAAACATACCCCACTTTCAATACCTTGGCTTGTCTACTTTCTCAAATGGTATGCCATTATGGGGGTAATTCTCATTCCTGGGCTACCACACAGTCTCAAAGGTAACATTACTAATCTGGCAAATTTCAATTTGAAAATGGAACGTTCTATATTTGACCCTGTAACTTTTCCAAAACACCATAAAACCTGTTAATGGGGGGTACTGTTGTACTCGTGAGACATCACTGATTACAAATATGTGCAATTTTTGCAGTAAAACCTAACAGTATTATGAACTACAAATATTTTAAAAAATTTAAAATTTCTCACAGTTTTTTTTAATTTTCTTCATAATAAATGTTTCATATATAAATATTTGATATGAAATGAAAGCCCTGTTTCTCCTGAACAAAATGATATATAATAAGTGTGGGTGCATATAATATGAAAGAGGTGAATTACGGTTGAACAGACATATAGTGCAAATTCCAGTTTTTGTTTACGTTTTGTTTTGATCAGAACGTGTACTATTGACTCCGTCCTGAAGGGGTTAAGGATCAGTTTTCGCACCGGGGCTCCATGGGTTGTGTTTACGCCACTGCCTATTAGCAATGATAAAAGAACTAAAAAAGAAAATCGAAGTGATCCAAATAGAAAAAACTGCTTTCATGATCAGACGACTTAAACAGCTATATTATTCAAAAGGCAATAAGGCCTCCTCCCTGCTGGCGTCTAAACTTAGAGAGAAAATAGCGCAATCACGAATTGCATATTTGCTGTGAGAGGATGGTAAAAAGATTACTCATCCAATTGAAGTTAGTAAGCAATTTGCAAACTATTTTAAATCATTATACAATTTGACCTCTGATTCAAAAACCATACAACCCAATACAGAAATACATTTTAGACAAAATGACTCACCCCAAGTTGCCCCAGATAAATTACATCTTTTACATTCGGCCATATCCCAACAAGAAGTATTAGCAGCTATAAACAAAATTTCAGGTGGTAAATCACCAGGACCAGATGGCTTTACCATGATATATTACAAACATTTTTCCAAAATACTTTTGCCATATCTAACTAATTTATTTAATACATTCTGGACAGAAGGAAAGAGACCAGGGGAGTCCTTGTGTGCGCAGATCACCACTCTGTCAAAGCCGTGGTGAGAGTCAGGACTGCTGTGCCAACTTTCAGCCGATGTCTTTAATAAATAATGATATTAAAATCTACACTGAGAGATTGGCACAAATTGTCCCTATGGCAGTTGATAAAGACCAAGTGGGTTTAATTGCAGGAAGACCAGCTCCAGATGGTACAAGGAGATATATAAACCTAATACATCATATTAAAGCAAATCAAATGCCTGCTCTACTCCTCTCTTTGGATGCGGTGAAGGTGTTCGATAGGGTTCACTGGGACTATTGGAGGGAAGTTTCAAATTTAATATACCCACCCCCCCCCTTGTTAAAGCAATTTTTGCATTATATCAAAACCCGACTGCAAAAGTTTCTGCTACTGGTTTCACCTCTGATAATTTTCCACTAACTAATGTAACGCGACAGGGTTGCCGATTGTCCCCAATATTATTTGCATTAGCGATGGAACCATTGGCCGCATTGATAAGGAAATCACCAGAGATTAAGGGAATTTCAGTAAAAAAAATACTGAATATAAAATAGGTCTCTTCGCGGATGATCTTATCTCATCTTTGGCAGAACCCAAAACTTCAGTTGAATCCCTAAATTCTATACTACAGGATTTTGGAGAAGTCTCATTTTACAGGCTCAATACAGGAAAAACGCAGGCTCTCTCTATACACATTCCTTGGTGTGATCTGGATGATTTGAAAACTAAATTTGACTTTGACTGGAGAGACTCATTCATGGATTGCCTTGGAATAAAACTATGCAAAAATTTAAACAGTATGTACACATTTACTCTTAAAAGAGCTTGGCCAATATTACAAAAGGAAATGGAAAACTGAAATAATTTGGAACTTTCCTGGTTAGGTAAAATTACATCTTTTAAAATGAACATCTTACTTAAAATACTATACTACTTGAGAACTATTCCCTTGTCAATTCCAAAGACATTCTTTAAAACCGTTCAATCTGCTCTAATTAAGTTTATAAGGGGAAATAAGATGAGCATAATTTTTCAGTATTGAAAAATCTCAAGTCTTGTGGAGGTTTAGGGATACCTGATTTTAAAAAAAAATATTGCCAGGCAACTAATGCCGCTGCAGTACTTAAGTTTGGCCTACAAAGTCAGATTCCACGCTGGCTTGAGATGGAAAATTATAGGATGTCACCATATTCTATTAAAGAAATACTGTGGCTTCCGATGTCTGGGCGACCGAGGATAGCTGAGATGTTTCCCACTACTAAGATTACCATCAAAGCTTGGGATACTGTGTTTAAGCTAGTCGGCCTTTCCTCTGGGTGGTCGCGAGTAATGCGCTGTCTGTATTAAAACTAGATTTTCCTGATTTAAATTTGGATAATTGGCACACTAAATCAATTCAAAATTTAAATGACTTTTTCTTAGGTAATTCTTTAATGTCTTTTATGAAACTTCAGGATAAATTCAGCCTAGAAGATAATGTGCAATTAGAACACAAATTAATTAACAAAATGAAAGATACATTTTTTCATTCAAAATTTAGACCAAAATTATGCAGAAAATGCATTATCTGATCTGGAAAATACATACCTACATAACCCTAATAAATGCGGTACTTTATCTCAATGTTACTTTTATCTAATGTCCATACCTAGATGATTACAAGCATGGGAAAAAGATATGGGAGCTTGTTACAACCTGGAGGAATGGCTTAAATTTGTACCAGCTCCTAAAGGACTTACACAGTGCTTCAATCATTGGGAAAACTATTTCAAAATAATTTATAGATGGTATTTATCCCCCTATAAATTGAATCAAATGAACTCCAGATATCCAGATAAATGTTGGAGAAAATGTTTTTTGGTATTGTCCTAAACTCACACAATTTTGGCAGGAAATACGTAAATTAATCCAAAAAGTAAATTCTAATATTCCTGTGCTCACTTCAGGATTGGCTTTTTCAAATGCTTCCCTAATGAAAAAATTGATAAAATTATAATTGGACATATCCTTTTTGCTGCTACTATGGTCATCCCCAGATACTGGAGGTCACCAACATCCCTACTATTAAAGAATTTTTTTAATTATATACTAGAAAATAAGGGGTATGAATTGGCTGTCAGACAACCTTCTTTGCAGTTAGATAACCTTAGACACTACTGGGAAGAATAGGAAACATAGATTGAAAGAGAATATAGGTTTTGATTGTCGTATTAAGAAATGAATTTGAAAAATCTGAACTAGATATTGTGTCATGCTTTGTATACTAGAATTTGTTATAGTCAATAGAATTTAACGTTAAAAAAGTTATAGTGGATGGATGCACTCTCCTTCCCATTTTTTCCTTTTTGTTTCTTCTTCTACTTCCTTCTTTAACTCCCAACCCCCTCCCAATTTATTTGTTGTTTTTTTGTTTTAATAAGTAACATTGTAATTTGATTGCATAGTTCAATCATACCAATATGTTATCACAATTAAAATTGACTATAAAGTGCCTCTTTAATACTTTCGTCATTGATTTACATATGGAATGGATACATTGATATTTACTCTTTTTATGTATAACATTTGTTTTTTTCTTTTTCATTGTTAGTTATTGTTATTGTAAAAATATCTCTTTAATAAAATATATTTGACAATTTGGTTTATTAGGGTATTAATTAACAGGTATTTAGTGTCCTTATCTGTTTGGGGCATTTCCAAATGAAAAAGTCAAAAATACGATCTTAATATATACCCTTGTTGTAAGATATTTGAAATTCATTTCTCTGTTTCTTGTTTGATTTGATACAGTCTAGGTTACTCCCACCATATGTGGAATAAAGTCCCTGTAAACTGGTTACACCTCCAGCATATATCAATGGTTTCTTTATTAATCTTACTAAAGCCATAAGGGAACAGATACCATCTATGTATCAATTTATAAAATGTTTCCTGTATATTGGCAGAGTGCACCGATTTTATAACCTCTGTCCAAGTTTTACACCAGATCTGCACCGAGAATTCTGTCTCAAGATCTCGCTTCCATTTCTCAATACGAACAATAGGAGCACGGTTCTGATTATTTACTATTAAATTCTTTAATCTGGAAATGAGTTTATTCCCGTACTGTTGCTTTATAAAATCATCCAGAACATTTGACTCTGAAATGGGATTATTTTTAAAACAATTTTTAATCCTCAAATATGGGAAAATATCCTGAATTAAAAGGCCATATTCTTCTCTCAGCTGTCCAATTGGATGCCCCTATATAGCTGTATATCTGCAAGCGTCGATATGTATTTCTCAGTCCATCCGGTAAGATCCATATCTTGTATATTTAAGCTAATAGCTCTTAGTGGAGTGGATGAGGTAAGAATATACCCAATACCCAACCTATCTCTCACCTTTGCCCCAGTTTTTAATGCATCTTTCAAGATTCTGTAGTTCAAGTTTAGGAATTTACTATATTGGGGATTCAGCCATAATGTGAAAAATAGACTATGGCCCTTCAAATTGTATTTCTCACAATGAAAGCACCCCTTCCTTACTCCAATTTTTTTTGTTTTAATGCTGCAGCTAGAGTATAGGTGAACATTGTCGTATCGTGTATTAATGCCAAATCCGGAAAATATAATCCCAGTTGAGAACCATCTCTATTTTAAATTTTTTTTGTGAAATTCTATAAAAAAAAAAATATATATATATATATATATATATATATATATATATATATTAGTAGCAATAACACTGGTTTTAAAAATTGGTGAACTCCAGGAATTGTCCCTTTCTCCTCCATACATTTTTTTTATGAATACAAAATAGTACTGCGGTTGAAATCATTCTGCACACTACAAAAAAGTGTTATATCTTAATTATGCAATAATCCATATTCTACAACAGAAAATAAGTCTCCACTGTCTTATTGTAGAGACTTCTTAATCATTACCTCATTCAGAGTGCAGTTCAGGCATTTATCAAGCACTTCTTATGTACCTTTGAAAGCACTAATTTAAATTTAACCCCTTAATGACACAACTTCTGGAATAAAAGGGAATGATGACGGAATATTTCCTTCATGTATCCTTAAGGGGTTAAAGGCTATATTGGTTAGCTGGAACACCAACTTTATATAGATGGCTTATAATGGCGCTGGACTTAAATGTCCATTTTTTAAAAAAATTTTTTTAAGGTTTTTTTTTTAGTTTTTATTCAGTTTTTAAACATTATATCAAATAAAACACATGCATAATGATACATATTGTACTAATAATGACCATATTAATAATATTTGTCTTGTACCACTATACAAGCTGCCTGGTTAAAAAATTAAAATGAAGGATCTAACAGGCCTTAATTTAATCATGAACACATGCACAGTCCCTCTCTGCAGTCCGTTTCTAAGCAAGCTATACTACTTATCACAAGTGCTTTAGTTTATTTATACATATGTTCTGCCTCCCTGCTAAGTGAAGTTAATCTATTCCATACTAGAAGTTTAGCACCTTACACATCTGATCAAGCGTAGACAAGACTTTGCCACTTCCATGTCTCCCAATTATATTCTTCTAATCAATGGCTGCCCAATATTTAAATCCCCAGATGTAGAACTACAACTCCCATGATGCTTTGCATGCCTTTAGAATGACAAAGCATCATGGGAATTGTAGTTCTACAACATCAGTGGGAATCTAGCTATTGGGCAGCTCTGCTGTAATCAGTGCACCCCTTTTCACTCCAGCCGACCGCAGATGGAATAGTGAGATTAAAACCCCAAATATAGTCACTCAATATATTTTATGATCGTAAAAACACTTTAGGGTATGTTGTTGTACAAATCTGTATAACTGCCTTTCTATGACTGAAGTATATTATTTCTAATATGCATATTTGTTACTAAATGTGTTGTAAATTATTAGGTGATTATTCTCAGATTACATCATCTGGCTTCTGTCAGGACTGATACGGAAACTTATTTAAAATATAAAACCTTTCCCTACTTTCCTTTTGGGTGCAATTGTACTGTAGTAATGTCCCATGGGAGCTGAGATAACATAAATTCAACTGTAAAACTGAAAGTGAAAACACATGGAGTTAGTCAAAAGGTCAAACTAAAAATTATTAGTTGTAAAATAGTCATGGATAGTGACAAGAACCTACTATGGATCTTCGTTCATTGGTGTGTTACATTTAGAAACCATTAATTAATCTGTTTCAAGGTATATGTTTGCAGTTTTGTTAGGATGGTTTTCCAAGTTTTAAAGGATTATGTATATAAAAATATATGATTAAACATTGCACAGCCACTATGGGATGCAGATTCCAGAGATCGCAAGCAGGGGTGAATAGAGATAACCATGATATCGGGGCCTTACTTGAACGTCCAATAGCTCAGAAGACACCTACCATGCTAGAGCCAGATGCCTGTTCTACAAGTTCTGACTTGTTATCGGAGGATCCCGCAGAACTTACACAGCCTCCGACAACCCCTGTGGTAGCAACAGACAGGGATGCCTTACTTCCAGCTACCAAACTTGATATCCACAATCTTTTACTTGAAACAAGGCAAATGTTTAGGGCAAATGTGGACTTGGTGCAGAGGTCCAAGCAGTGACGGCCCAGGTGCAAGCCTCCGAAGAGGATATCCTTGATGTGCAGCAGGACATACAGGGCCTCAAGGAAGATTTACTTCTGCTCCAGTCTTCCCACTCAGCTTTACCTAGATAAACCTCGTTGAAGATCGTAACTGTCAGACATAACAGGTGTGGTAATATTAAGATCAGTTTTGTACCGGACACAATCAGTCTGTCCGACATACCCCACAATCTCGACGCTTGCTTGCCCCACACACTTAGATGAAAATGCTCACTTTTGATGGCTGCTTCTGAATCAGTGCACCAAGGAAGAAACTCACGACCACTCCCCGTGATGTAATACTTCAATGCCACTTGCTCACAGACAAAAACTGCATCCTGGCAGCAGTGAAAGGGGCAAGACCCTGTTTACCTTTTGAGTCCCCTCAACTCACTTTCTTCCATGACTTAACCAGAAACACTACAGTGGAGGAGGGCATTCGGTCCTGTTATCAGCCAGCTTTGCTGGTGTGGAATATAGGTAGGGCCTCCGAAGGGACTTGATGGTGGTCAGGAATTGCATCTCACTGACACTTGCCTCCATGTCAGAAGTCGAACCGTATCTGCAAGCATTGGGACTCCCTGCAATCCCCGTCTGTGACAGAAACGTCTACGTCACATGCGAGGGATCTTGCCAAGACCCATTTCCCATTCCCATTTACACTTCTTAGGGGAGGAAGTCTGGATGCAGCTACCTGAACCACTCTACAACATTGTGACACCAGATATGCTCTAATGTTTTATTATTATTTTTACTCGTTTTGCTCCCATGTTAGGCACACTGTTCCCCTGTCGAGTATATAATGTCCTACCATGGATTTCTCTTTTTACCTTGCAAGAAGGCATCCTTCCTCCCCCTCCTCCTGTGGTCCCCTTTGGTTAGGGGCTGATTCTTGGATTTGTTTTAACTTGTGCAGATATTTGGCATGCATTCCTCTGAGTCTTAGTCATTTTACCCCTCATGGGTACTGATCCTGTGTAATACACATTTACTGTAGTGCTAGTTTGAGTTCCCATGGTATAATTGCAATCTCTTCCTGGGCATTCCTTATGTGGAGAGTGGTGACCCTCTTTTGGGCCTCATGTGTGGCTCCTTGATATGTCACTATAAAGCACTGTTTGCGTAGGGATGGAAGTGACACTTTACAGCTACTCAGTTGTTTCTACTCTCTCGTAGCATTCTCTTTTTGTTTTATTACCGATATGTCATTTGCATTTCTCCTTACATGTCACTTTATGACCTAAATAAAAAAGAGATTGAAATTTTTTTTTTGATTAAACAAAATAATAAAATAATGCATTTCTTTTCCTCACTTCTAGTCTGCAGCATTTCATATTTAGCCACAATAGCCACATTCATGAAAAAAAATTGGTTATTATGAATAATGTTACAACATTAAGCTGTAATGGTTCTGGTGACTAATAATGTCCCTTTAATGTTTAAATTTTGTTGGATTTGTGCCATTCGTCTCTGCAGATTCTCTCAAGCTTTGTTAGGTTGGATGGGAGCCGACACTGGAGAGCGTTTTCATGTCTTCCCAGAGACTTGAATTGTGTTCAAGTCTATGCTCTGGCTGGGTTAGTCAAGGGCATTCACAGAATCATCAATAAACCACTTTCATTGTCCCTGGCTTATGCTTAGAGTCATTCTCTTGTTGGAAGGTAAACCTTTGGCCAAGCCTGAGGTTCATAGTGCTTTGGGCCAGGTTTTCATGAAGGATATCTCTGTATTTTCTTGTGTTCAGTTTTCCTTCAACCATGACCAGTCTCCCAGGTCCTGCTACTGGAAAACACCCCAAAGTGTATGGTGAGTTCCCCCTGACCTGACACTTTGAATTCAGGCCAAACAGTTCAATCTTCATTTCATCAGATCAGAGAATCTTGTTTTTTACAGTTAGCCCTTTATGTGTTTTGTAAATTCCAAGTGGCTCTTGCCACGAGGAGAAGCTTCTGTCTGATCAGTCTGCCATAAAGGTCATATCAGTGGAGTGCTGTAGTGATGGTTGCCTATCTGCAAGTTTCTCCCATCTCCACACATGATCTCTGGCGCATAAGCAGAGTGACCATCGAGTTCTTAGTCTCCTCACTTACCAAGGTCCTTCTCTCCCAGCTCAGTTTCAAATATTAACAACTTATCTGGGTCCTGTTAGAAGCTCCTTCAGCTCAATTGGGCTTAGCACCATTGTGTAGAGTTGCTCTTATTTTCAGAGTATCAACTGAGACCTCCAAGCCAACTCTGCATAGCTAAGCTTTGCTCATTGGTAGGAGCTTGAGGCAGCAGCATGCTCCTGGCAGGACTCAGGTAGGTTGTAAATGGTTTGATTACTTATCCTGGAAGTGCATCAAGTCACTGCTGTACAGGTTTGGGGTTTGAATTAAGCTGCTTGTACCCAGGTCAGACTTTTTTTTTTTTTTTAATGAAATTAGCTCATTTTTGCCAGTATAGCTTTCTGTATAAGGCTCACAGATGAACTATCTACCTATCTCTATCTATCTCTGTCTATCGAGCTGCACTCATCTGAACATGCACAAATGGGGTGCTGCTGGGGCCAATTCATACAATACCCAAGATCCAACGCACTCACTCATCCATTAAACAGCAACTTCAAAGCTTACAGATATTATTCGTTATTTAAAAAAAAAAATATATATAATCTAGGCAAAAATAATGGGGGTTTTGTTACAGTATGTGATCATACATTGCATAAGCCTTCCACAGTGTCAATGTACTCCATTTTTGGAAGGTCCTACTCTAACAACCTAATGTGACAAAAGCTTAGAGAAACTTAGTAGCTTGCCCTTCGGTAAAGCCCCGCTCGGGTCTGAAAAGAACATATTCTGAAGCATTTCAGAATGATCCCACCCGTAAGGGCAGTCCAGACTCGAAATCCCAGCAAGTTCTCTCTGCATGAGAGATACAGCAACCCCAGATGATCGTTTCAGTTTTCTTTGGGCCTCGTCAGTGAAGTGTAGCTGATCCCCCTCTAGGCAGAGTGAGCACGGGGTCCACGGCTGGATTACCCTTTTAACTTGGGGAGAGTTAATGCAGTTAATGGGAGAGTTAATGCATTGCAACAAAAACAAAGGATATTTCTGTATCCCTGATGTTCTCAAGGAGTGTTTCTTTACAGTAATAACATTTTCTCCTTAACCCATATCCCTTCTTGTTCACCATTTAATTAAATTGTTAAGTAAAAAAAATAGTAGCTCTTAAAACTTAAAAATACCAAAGAGATTCCAGTTGTTATGTGCCTCAGATTACGTTTCAACCATATACAGGATTCATAAACTCAAACATTGCATTCCTGCATGTTATACTACTGAACGTCTCTCTCACTGGCGTTGTACCTTCAATTAGATTAATTAAAAAAACAAAATATGAAGGCTTTTCAAAGATGGTGATTTACAGGGGGGGAATGATGGGGGAGGGGAGAATACCAGAAAAGGATGAGAAACTAATATTAAAAAAAACAAAAACTTTTATATCCTTGTTGGTAAAATATGCCACAGATAAGAAAGTTACCATTTTATATTATCATAACCATTTTTGTAATTATTGCATTTGTAATTTCCACTGTTTTCATACATTCTGTTTTCAACAGTATGCTATTAATGTGACACATTGTTTTTCTTTTTTTGTTCGTTTAGATGCAGTGTATGTTCTATGCTATTCTTTGATTCTACTTTCCATCGACCTCGCCAGTCCTCATGTGAAGAACAAAATGTCAAAGAGAGAGTTTATCAGAAATACACGCCGTGCTGCTCAGAATATTAGTGAAGAATTTGTAGGGCATCTTTATGACAATATTTACCTTGTTGGCCATGTTGCTGTTTAAAAGCACACATTCTAGGTTCTAGAACAATAGTGAACTACTACAGCTACTGCTCTCCAAAGCTTTGACCGAGTGCCAGACATTGGGGTTATGTTAGTGCTGGCCATTCTAACCTCAGTCTACAATCTAATTATGTGTTCTGTGCTTTCATAGAAATTGACCACGAACCGTGAAGAATATTATTTTTTTATTAATAGTATTGTATCTTGCACATAACTGTGCCATTAGACTGACCTAGCCATCTACGACTGTTAAACTGACATAACAATGTAGGCATTTTTCAGGGTAAAGGATCTAAACACTAGATTTTTTTGTTTTTTTTTCAACGCGTTTACCAATGCATTATTTTTTAATACTTTGTAATTTGTACATACTAAACTAAAGAGATTTATAATCGTAATATAAAATATTAAATATGTAAGGTATTTTAACTAATGTGTGTGTGTTTTATTGTAACTTTACCTTTCAAAAATTCCAACTTCTTACAAATGAGTATGACTCCCATTCTTGAAATAATTCCCCTCTCACAACTTGCCTCAATTTAATTTGAGCTGTTCATGCTTTTCGGCAGTTTACCGGCTCCCATCGATTTGGGTGGATTACATTACAGCTGTTACATGCTTTGTGGAAGCCGATAATATGAGTTTGAATATCAAAATCAGCGCTGCAGAATCTGTTGGTGCTTTATTAATACCAGTAATAAATGAATAAACAGTATTTATCCTTTATATTAAAGATAATGGATGAGGTGATTTAATTTCATTTAACAGGCACATAATGCCCAATAAATTGAAAGTTTATAAATGTTTTATTATTTTAGAACTGTTTGCTGCCAGTTGGCAAATAGTTGAGGAGAAAATAAAGCACCTAAATGGACAATATGATCTCCACATTACTATATGGGAGCTTTACCTCCCTTATTGCCACCACTATAAACTGGGATGTTTAAAAATAAAAATAAAAAAAAATAATGTACTTACAATTTATAGAGCAAGACCTGCTCTAGTTTTCACAGCATGGGTGGTACTATCCCCACCTAAGGATATGGTGGCACCAGGTAGCAAACAGGATACAAAGTGGAATACAGAATGGTTAAAAAGTATTAAAATTAACTAGAGGCTTTATCTGGAGAGGCGAAACGCGTTAAGTGGGACTTTTTTTTTTTGGACATTTATTTGTACCTATACATATTTTTTATGATATATGTTTTTTAATAAATAGTTAATTTTAATACTTTTTCTGTATTCCACTTTGTATCCTGTTTGCTACCTGGTGCCACCATATCCTAAGGTGGGGATAGTACCACCCATGCTGTGAAAATTAGAGCAGGTCTTGCTATATAAATTGTAAGTACATTACTTTTTAAAAAAAAAAAATCGTAGTTTATAGTACTTACTATACTATCAGAGTTTTCTCTCTTCTACTTTCATATTTTATTCTCACTCGCATTTGGAGGACCAGTACCATCTCTATCACCCTATATCCTTAGACGGGGATCATACCGTCCACGCGCAATACAGCAGAGCTCTTATATAGCTCTATCCAATGTGAGTGGTTTGCTTACAGCTATTTAGTTAATATCTCGCACTTTATCAAATTGTATTGCACTATTATTGTTTTTCTGTTTTATTATTTTGAGGTATTTACCACCCCTCCCTTCTCCAGGTGTATGTACGTATGATTTTGGGCGCAGTATACGCCATATTCTAACTCTGACAGGTGAGACTTATGTGGGACGATTTGTATGTCAGAGCACGCTGACCGAGCCTTTGCTTTTCCCACTTCATAAGCTAATTTTCCTCCCTACGTAAGGGCGATGGACAAAGAAATATCAACTTCTATATTCTACAAATAGCCCCCACTTGCCAATCATAGAGTGGGGGTGGAGAAGGGACACTATATCCCCCATTTCATAGTGCACACCTGCTGCCTATTGATGCAGTTAATAGAGCCCCACCCGTATATCCAAAGGTGGGACACGGGTGAACGGTGACCTGTCGACATCTGATTATTTAATGTTAAGCTCCCACGTAATGTCCACAGTTAGGGGCACTGGCAAGAAGCTCTTCTAGGTTCCCCAATGTATTTTATGGACAAATGGGCTACAATAGCTTCCCAGTCACTAGTGTGCCAATGGCTGCTCACTGTTTAGTAGACATGTCCCCACTAAGGGCATAAGGGATGTACTAAACCTCCCTTATAGTAATACTAGGCTCATATTGACCTTCATAGACCTTATTTTAATTTATTGTATTTTTTTTCTTAATGGTAGGGTGATTAAATTATCAAGCCTAGTTGCTTAAATGTTGTCTGGCATTAAGTACAACTAAAATTCATTTAAAAAAAATAAACAGCCCACAAATTTGATCATTTTGATGCATGCTAAACGACTTATGGGCCAAAACATTGTAATGGATTGAGCCTTTGCCATGGATAATAAACAAAAAATAAGTAAGCTGCGCAAATTGACAAGTAAATAATGAATTACATGAAGAAAACTTAATAGTCAATACCTTCAGGTTTTAAAAAATGTTCTGATTCCAAATAAAGACAATACAGAAAAAAGAAAATTATAGCGGAATATCTAATGCACAAATGAAAGAAAAAAAGGAGGAATGAAGCCTACTCACATAACCCAGAGTTGTATTAGGCTCTGTATAAAGTTCTCAGTATTAAATGGCAAGATGAGTGGAAAAGAGAAAAAAGCAGACAATAAAAAATATATATTGTAAAGAGCTGCAGAATTAGTTAACGCTATATAAATACCAATAATAGAGTGGTAGAAATGTTGCACTCTGTTTAATTCATGTTAGGCCTCATGTTTTGGTTTTTTAACCATTTACCTAACTGTTTTTAAACTATAAAAATTGACACAAATTGATAGGATTTTATGGATTTAGGGCAACATTTAAGAAGTCGGACAGATGCTGAGAAAACCTCCATTTGCGTTACCCTAGCATTTATTGGGGAGGAGGGGGGGGGTTGCACATTTGTATTATTTTGTAGCATAATTGCAGCACTCCTCTTGGATGAGAAATATAATCCAAACATATTTCACATGTTTTATAAAATAAATGTGATTTTTTTTTAAAATAACTTTTTTATAATATTTTTTTAATAATTATTGTAATTTGAAAATTCAATTAAGTACAAAATACACAGGCATAAAAAAAGTGTAAACTACTTCATCATGGTTAAGGCTATAACATTTTAAGGTGTTTTTCTTATTTTTTTTGCTAAAAAGTGATTTGTTAGGAATTTAAAGTGAATTTAAAAGTTTTTTGTCAAATTGGAAACATCCACAAATTTAGCTAGGTTTCTAATTTGTCCATAGTGGCTAAAATGTGGCGTTCTCTGTGAATTCCTGATATTTTACACTTTAATGAATAAGCCCTTTTTTATAGATAAACATGCGAACCTAAACATTCAGGGGCTAAGAGATTATTTTTGTCAGTTCCTAATGAAGCCCACTTTGCCCCCTCTCCCTTACAATCTAACAAGTACAATTACTGAGACAAAGGACAGGCACAGAGGATTTCCTGTGTCTCCCATGGGTATATTTTGAGTGAAGACAATATTTCAGAATTCTTGAGAAATATTTAGTAATCAAGGTATCACCAAAAATCAGAAAACCAATAATGATGGTTTATTCTGTCCATTTCAAAAGGCCTCAAACAACAACAGAAGTGAAAGTAAAGAAAGTTTTCCTGGCTTAAAACCCCAACTATTGCTGTTGTATATTTCTAAAATAGTCACACTTCAAATAGTCTGAAACATTTGAAATCTGATTCAGCTTTTGAGATAGATTGGGGGGAGATTGTGAGCAACAGTTTTCACTCTAGAATAAAACCTGATTGTATAATTCATTTTTCTATGTAATCTCTTCCCAGACAAACGTTTGTTTTTCGAAACGCAAGGAATGCTGTTTTTTTTTCTTCCTTTCCAATTAAGGTGAAGAGCAAAAATAAGAAAGGGCACACAATCTTCTTGGAGGGAAGTTGTAATTGAAAATGTTGGCTTTCTTCTTGCCATTGCGAGACAGGAAGGTTGGATTTAATTTAAAATGATTAATGAGATTTTCTCAGACTCCCAGCTTTCAGAATCACTGCAGTATGTCAGCACAACAACTTGAAACAGCCGGACGCCACTCTGTCGCCCAAAACAGTATTCTAGTAGAAAAATAAACTGCCTAACTGATGCCAGGTACATATCAGTGGTATTGTCTCAATGCTGTTGACAAAATCAGTAGGCTTAGCTCCCAAGTCTATACACTGAAGTTGGTTTAAAGAGTAGATATTTTGCCAATGTTCACATTCTGGTATTGCATGCAATTTTGTAAATAATAATAATGCCTAATTGTCAAATATATTTATGGCAACAAAATATGTCAGCGTTAAAATTAGTGGGTGTACATTATACCGTCATAGGTTATCAGCATTTATCGAGGAAATACAGTTGCAAGAAAAAGTATGTGAACCCCTTGGAATGATATGGATTTCTGCACAAATTGGTCATAAAATGTGATCTGATCATCATCTAAGTCACAATAATAGACAATCACAGTCTGCTTAAACTAATAACACACAAAGAATGAAATGTTGCCATGTTTTTATTGAACACACCATGAAAACATTCACAGAGCAGGTGGAAAAAGTATGTGAACCCCTAGACAAATTACATCTCCAAGAGCTAATTGGAGTGAGATGTCAGCCAACTGGAATCCAATCAATGAGATGAGATTGGAGGTGTTGGTTACAGCTGCCCTGCCCTATAAAAAACACACACCAGTTCTGGGTTTGCTTTTCACAAGCAGCATTGCCTGATGTGAATGATGCCTCGCACAAAAGAGCTCTCAGAAGACCTACGATTAAGAATTGTTGACTGGCATATAGCTGGAAAGGGTTATAAAAGTATCTCCAAAAGCCTTGCTGTTCATCAGTCCACAGTAAGACAAATTGTCTACAAATGGAGAAAGTTCAGCACTGCTGCTACTCTCCTTAGGA